GCGAGGGCCTGGAGATCCGGGGCACCCGGCAAGGACTCGATGCATCCGCGCTCCGGAGCCACGGCGCTTCACGTTGCCGCCGCCAAAGGATATAGCACCGTCATGAAGTAAGTCTTGTTTCGCATTGTCGCATGCGTGAAGATTGCCGGGTTGCAAGTAGGGGAGACGTGTTGAGGAGTATAGCCGGCTACCTGCTTCGATAAAGATATGCAAAGTACATTGCGCAGCCGTGCCAGCAGGTTGCGCTTTTGGCTCCAAAAACTCGGCATAATAATTTTCGTTATTAATTTTATAATTCCTGAGACACATGTACACAAATAATATCACAATTGATTTTCATCCTCCGTTTACAAGACGAATGTTGTAAACACGTTGCGAAATTTATGCGAGACTTGTCTAATGAAATTTAATAATGCAATGCTTTCGATCAGAACGAATATTCGGATATAACTACAAACAATTGATTTCAAAGCATATTCAATGTGCTATAAAATAATTACGATAAAAGAATTACGATGATTAATAAAATAAAATAAGATATAAAAGTAAATTTTTATAGAAATTATCATATAAATGGATAACTATCGTTTAATATTGTTAATTTGTATTTATAACATAATTTATATTATTATTCTTTTCTCCGTATTTATCAATAATTTGAAATAATAGAATAGATAATAAAATATTATATTCTAAATTATTTCAAATTATAAAATTACTAAAATTCAAAATAAATTTAAGGCTTTAAATTTGTCGTCCATTGATTCAACTGAATTGATCATTTGCATTCAGACTGTATGTCTTTGACTACAATCACTATATATTATATATAATACATCTATTTTTGTAAAAATAGATAAAAAAATAAAAAAATTAAAAAAAAACTATGGACTATATCGATGATCGAAATTGTTTTCAGTATTTTGCTGCAAGCACGCTGTGACGTTAATTCGCGAGACAATGATGGATGGACGCCATTGCATGGTGCAGCGCATTGGGGCCAAATTGAAGCTTGCAAGCTTCTCGTAGAGAACTACTGTGATATGGATATTAAAAATTATGCTGTAAGTTAATGTCATGACAAGAAAATGTTTATGCATGTGCCGAAAGAGCAATTCGTTTTCCTTGTCTGTAGAAATGGATTTTGTTTACTTTTACATTAATTTATTATTAATTTTATTTTGTTTCTGTTTTATATATTTTATAGGGCCAGACTGCATTTGATATAGCTGATCCTGATATCGTCAAGGCCTTAGAAGAACTAAAAAAGAAGCAGGAAGTCTTATTAAAAGACCATCCACAAATCATAAATAAACAACCAGCGATACCAAAGAAACGGTATATATATATATATTTATTTATTTATTTATTTATATAATATGTTAGCATTTAAATAAGTTCTTGTAAATTCGTAACCTTAATCACTATATCGTATATTGTGTTATAGTGTATCAACGAATAAGGAGAATTTAGTTATTGATCAAGAAGGAACGGAAACGTATGAGGAAGAAACGCCAAACAAAGTTAAGAAAGTTGAACTGGAAATTCAATCTGATAAAGAAGAGTCAAGTGTTGGGACGAACAGTGACGTTGGTGAGTAGACATTTTTTTTAAAAAGCGCCTTCAACTTTTAGCTCAAGACTTGTGTAAAACTGTTGCAAAGATATTTATAAATTTGTTTTTCGCCTTCAAATTCATTACTTTTTAATATAAATATTTTTCTACCGTTATAATTGGGTTACATAATCGTAGACAAATATATTCTCAGGCCATTTAAATTAATGTCAAGGTAAAATTTCTACCTAAATAAATTTTTATATCTACATTATTGCAATTACTTAAATTATTTAACATTATTTATTCGCGTCAAATATTTCTGATATTATTTATTGTTGAAAAACATAATTTTATTATAATATATACCGCGGGTAATTTACTCGCTATGTATGATATTATAATTATTACACGATATATATGCGTATATATTGTTTTAAACTTTGATATTAGAAACTGTATTAGCTTAAACCATCTTCTTATTATGATTAAAGGTATTATTTGTTGCGTTTTATTATATATTGATGTGAATAAATGATGTAATAATAATTGAAAATAATAATCAAATAAAAGTATTTTCAGAATTAGTAGAAAGTAAATTGTTAGAGTAGTTTAGAAAATAGTGTCTTTGCAATTGTCGGAAATGCAATGTCTGCTTTGTATATACATATAGGCTTTTATAATGTTAAAGTAAAATAATCCTTTCCATACATTTCCTTCCTTTACAAAAATACTGTCGTCTACCATGTATCAACGATACTGTTCAACAATATTTTCTTATCACAACTGTCCCTAAATTATGCTGCATGGATTTAGAAGAGGGAGGCAATACCGATGTGGAAGCGAGCGATGGTGAGAGTGAATCTGAGACTAGCTCAGATACACATACCTCCACTTGTTCAGATCAATCTAATAAATCAAATCGATCGAACAACTCTACTTGTCTTACCGACGACGGTGAGTTTTGCTCTCTCCATCTCCTCCTTGGAGTTCTGTACCAACTTGTTTGAGCCTTTGTCTCTAATAATTCATTTTTTTTCTTTTTGTTGTTTTCTTTGGTTGTTCTTTTGATTTCCTGAATCTTTTAATATTGAATAATATTAATGTTTATTATATAATGTGAGAAAGAGCTGATTTTTGTATATATTTATATGGGCAAGTATACAGATATAATTTTTTTTTTTTTTTTTTTTTTTTTTAGGTGTAATATATTTTTTTGTTTTTTTTTTTGTTTTTTTTTTGTTTTGTTTACAGATTTTTAATAAAAAATTTAAATAAAAATTATAACAATATGCACTGTGTCGATAACTAATTCAATATATTTATTTAATTTTTTTTTTTACATATATATGGATAAACTTTATTATACAAATCAGATAATGAATATTTTATGCTTCAAATTACAGAAAAGAAAAATAGAGTGAATCGCGAAGAAACGGGATCACACAGTCCGCAATCTCCAGATGCGAACAAAGTTCCTTTTCAGGCACCCACTTTACCTCCTAAGCAACAAACTGAAAGTATCGAAGAGGGCAATGTACCTTCATGGCGACGTTCGGGTTCCTTTAGGAATCGGGGTCTTGATATTGAAACTGCTAATGCAATATCAGCCAGTGCGTATATATGTTTAACATTCAGTTTATTTATATAACTTTAAATAGTACAATTAATAGATTAACATGGAATTTCGGATATAGACAATAAATTACGAATTATGAAGTGAAATTATGAAACGAGGTAGGCTTAGAATTAGTTCGATCGCGAATCGTAGATTTATTTTAATAATTGAAGTTTTGAAATTTTAACGATTCGTCCCTTGAGAGGATTTTTTATATTTTCAATATCATTTTGAGTGATAATATTCCTGTAAAAATAGTCGCAAATTAAAGCTACATTTACATTAATTTGATAATACTATAAAAAAAGTTATTAAACATAATTTGGTATCATTATTTTTTATGTCCTTTTTACTTATTATTTTATAAAGTTGCCTATTATTTTTACTTACAATGCACATTATTAATACGCAGTGAATTGTAAATCAAATTAAATTTTTTTATTTAGTATTTTTCAACATTAACCGAATCATTCCTATAAGAATCCATATGTTGCTATTACGTTTGTCGATAAATTTAATCGCCTTCCTTATTTTCCTCATAGTTTATTTATAATTTTTATTTCTCTTATTTTTCCAATAATGTTCTATTTCTCTCTAATTCTCGAAGAAATTGAAGAACGTGAGAAACTAGCTGCAAAATCCCCAACGTCCCCGGTAAAAGTTCCAGAAGATTCGGAAGTCGTGCTTAGAAGAACTCATAGCTTCGAAACAGATGAAAAGTAAGTACTTGGATTTATTGTTGCTTTGTCTAACACGTGACGAGAATTTCCAGCGTTCATGTAACTCGAGTGTGTGTGTGTGCGCGCGCGCGTGTGTGCGTGTGTGCATGTGTGTGTTTTTTTTGTTTTGTTTTTTATTTTCACAATATACCTTGGTAATGTACTTTCATAAGCACAAGATTATTCGTTACTAAAATTCACAATAATCATTCGCACAAAGTTTTATAGATAGAAAAAAAAAGCGCAAATATTGCAGAAATTGGTTGAAAATGCTTTTCCATTACCGATATTTCATTGAACGACGAAGACAAAACGTACTTTAAAATTCTTTAACGTTCCTATAAACCAATATTATCCAAATAAAGTAAAAAATGAAGTGGAAACTTTAATGCGAAAATAACATTTTTAATGGTCCGTTGCATTATTATTCCTTTTGTTGTTGTACTAAACGAGTAAATTTATGCATTAGTTTATCAATTCCAATAAAACATAAATGATACGTTATTTCTCGTTTCGTACGATAGTTTCTTAAGTGAAAAATCTTTTAAAAAATTGAAAATTATAAATAGTGTCGTTAATCTGTAAGCATAAGAAATAATTAGACTTAAATTTCCTCGTTAATACAAGGTATATGCCAATATGGCAATCTAATATCAATTTGTCCATAGTCAATGGATTTTTGTAATTTATTATTAATGTGCAATCGGTTACGATATCGGACGTCATGTGTACGTACGCGTATAATCGTAAGCAGCCGATCGACAATTACCGAGCGTACATTAAGTTTAAATTTGCATCCAAGCGGAGGACGTTAGACCTAATTTACCCCGACAAAAAAGAGAATCGAATACAATGTATCATAAAGGTGTTAAAATTGGCACGAGAGCCGAGTCGAGTCCGTATATAAGTGTGCATGGCACGAATGCCATGTTGTGCAGGTTCTATGAGCAGTACCTGGCACTGACAGCCCGTATCAAGGCAGCATTATGCCCCACACTCCAACGCTGCAATCCAGCCACTCCTACTCATAACGACGCGACGACCGCTCGATCAGCATCCCTGCGCGACGATACTTACAGGTACGCGATTACCGCTCGATCAGCATCCCTGCGCGACGATACTTACAGGTACGCGATTACCGCTCGATCAGCATCCCTGCGCGACGATACTTACAGGTACGCGACGCCCTCGAACCAAAATTCTCATTAGCTACACAGTTGCGTAATTGCGCGCGCGCGCGTTTGTTTGGGAGTTGGGTGAATTGGAGAGAAAACGGCCGTCAGAGGAGCTTGTCGAGCGTCATTGTTTGATGATGTTTTATTGTAAAACAGGTGATTTTAATGCACTTATGTAAATATGAAGACTCTCGTCGTGATACCCCGTTTTATCTAACTTTTATATTACACTTTATTGTCTGAAGCATCGATTGATGGACGGTCGATATGATAGATCACTCGATGAGGATCGACGTTACGTAGTGTGAGATCAATAATGAGTTTAACCGTTTCTACGTGTCGACATTTAAAACCATCTTTTTTGCAGGTTAAATACCTATATCATTACGATTCGTCAGTAACACTTATTATTATTAGCGACATAAATTTTGCAACACTAAAAGTCATCTAATACTCGTAGAAATTATTCTACTAAATTTCTGTGTAAATTTAAGCCATTTTGTTAAATGAATTTGGCCTTTTGTTTTTATTTATATATTTATTTATTTTGATGATAAATGCATGCTAGGAATTTTGCAATATAAATTGTATCTAACAGTGGGCTTAACTAATGAAATTAACAATAATAACATAAAATTAAAGAAATTGTTTTACAATAACCTATATTGTTCCTTAATTAATGCCTTTTCACGTGATTTGCTCGAAGGAGCACGCTAGACTTTGTTAACAATTATATATAAATATAATTAAAAAAAAAAAAAGTAAATTTTGCACAGTTAAATTAAGTGTTTTGTTTTTCTCTTAGATTTTCTGATTAATAAAAGGAAATTAATTTTATAATTGAATTAAATTTTTAATCCCTTCGATAATATTTGATTTTTATTAAATTGATTAATTAAATACATTTATACAATACTTTATTAATACTCTAATATAAATCGATAGTTTTTAATAAAATTTACTTAAAATAAAAAACTAAAAAATCGTAGTAATATTAATTGATTAATTCACTTTTAGGTAGTATTTTGAATGAATTTCAAACGGTTATACAGGAATTACATATTATAGTATTAATATATCATATTTTAAGTATTTTAATTTTCTTAAAATTGAAATATCTCGTCTGGCTATATATATATATATATATAATAGAAAATTTTCAATATTGTTTTTAAACGAATACATATTTGACAAAAATATTTCAACGAAGTTCTTTCAAGTAATATTAAATATAATACAATACGAAATGAAATTAAAAAAAAATTAAATATTTAGTCAATATTATGTGAATACATTATTAAGTACGGTAAACTTTAATTGATATAAAGATCTTACAATTTTACTTGTAAGCTTTTTAAACTTTTAAACTATTACATTATATTTATGACATAGAATGGAAATATCGTTTTCGTATTGTGATAGTTTTGTATATGGCGTAACGTTTACAGGAGCAATTATTTTTTAAATTCATACCATCAAACTAGATTATTAAAATAGTAGCCTGAAGAATGAAAATTACAATTATACAAGAGTTGTGCCATTAATGCATTACATAAATTATGTTTGCAGGAAAAAGGACATAAAGCTGAATCTAGACTTGACTCGGGTGCCACAAGGTAATAGCCTCCAATCACCAACCATGACAAATAAGTCGCTGTCGTCGCCGCCGGTAACGACGAATCTCACTTCTAACACCGTCACCAGCCCTACACCGACAAGTCAAATTCGCAGGTACTTTGGACATGTCTATTTTTTTTTTTTTTTTTTTTTTTTTTTTTTTTTTTTTTTTTTTTTTGTTTATGCTGTGAAAAGATAAAGACGTTGTCTCGTGTAATCGAAATTGGACACTTTTTGTTTTTTTAATCTTTGCAATTCAATGGTTCTACGCGTTTTCCAAATTTCTTAGGCTTTATGTCGCGCCAAAAATAGGAGAACTATAAATTACAGCTCATGGTTAATGAAAATATAACTGAATTATACAAATAGACAGTTTATTGATGTTAAAATGGCTTAATCCACGATTAACATAAGTTAATCATTGAAATGTAAAAACATACATTTGTCGCACCTCTGCACGTTATACTTTAATATAATTAGGGAATAAAAGCATTAATTTACATCAAATTACATTTCAAGTACAAATAATACGGTATTTGTAAATACGATTAATTTTTTTTTTTATATAATTTTTTATTAGTAATTCATAAAAAATATTTATATAAATTTTGAAATATCGGCTAAAGCTTTTTTTCTTTCCATAAGGTAAATCCAAGTTATATAATAATTAATGCCGTTTTATCAGGGGTTGTGCACATTAGTATTTCCAAGACAGAGTAAAAATTGAAAATATGCATATGAATATTCGTAACGCCTTGTACATACGTAAATTAAGAAGATTAAAAATTTTTTTTATAAATATTTTGTTTAATCGTAAATAAGATATAAAAACAATATTTTCCTTTAATACGTAGATATAAGATTATTTAGTTAGTTGCTTGACAAATTCGACCGAACTAGTTAAATTAACATTATAGCTCTATCCTAATAAAATATTTTAGCTTTACATTCAAATAATACACTTATCGTATTTCAGCGGTACATAAGTAATATTGGCAATAGAAATCGATGTATACGATCAATGTCCATGTAGCTTTCAATTAAATCAAAATTCTATGAAAATTTATGGCTAAATTATAGTTTCTCAACCACCATTACGTTTATTATCAATTTCAATTAATACAAAAGAGAGAAGTTAAAACGATAATTCTACAAAAAGTGTCCATTAAAACGTAATGCAAGGCTTCTCATCCTTAAATGTGAGTAGCTATTTTATGCAGGTGATTTTGGGTAAATGCCTTTCGTATTGTCTCAAAGCTCGTTTTCATTATATATTACGATAAATTAATTATATGTTTCATTTTCCATTAAAATAAATATTGCATCGCCTTTAAAGTCAGCACATACTTAGTTTAATGAAACAACTTAGTTTATTTACGAAATTTAAAAATCATTGCTGACCATGTTCATTTAATATTGCCAATTTTTTTTCAAGCATTTGACGTAATGCCTTGATAACGTATCATCGTATACAACATAAAAATATTAAAAAAAAAAAAAAAAAATAGCTATTGAGAATTAATTGATTGCAATTAGTATATTATTAATTATTTTCGAGAATAATTTTTATAAAAAATAATTTATACGAAACATAGGCATGTTAATGTTTCTCTTTTATAAATTCGATATAACGTTAATATATATATATATATATGCAATTTTGAACATAGTTATCTCAAATAAGAGGCAAAAATTGTTTATAAATCGAACGTTGTTGGTATGTTTCAAAAGAAGCAATTATAATTTATACTAAATTCCAATCGCGAATTAATTGAATCGCGTGCTTTACGAGCATGCAACGGCCTTTAATATTCATTCATTATACTTTTGAAAATTCTAACCGAATTGCAACATTCAAAAGGCATACATTTCGAATAACAACAACAACGTACATGTAATTCCCACCTTTAAAAAACATAACGTTTTACGTTGTCTATATATATCAATAAAAACAGATCGAAAGATTTCAACTGCATTGTCGTATTGTCATATTATATGCGTTTATTAAAAGAGATTGAACAAAAGAAAATTGGCGAAGAGAGTATATTGTGCAAAATAATATTTATGCAATATCATCGAGTAGCATATCGAGCCCGGCCCAAGTTTCGCCAACAACTATCTCTACGTCGAACAATTCGACAACAGCGCCTGCGACTCCTACCACACCCGGTGGGAGCAAACTAAGTCCAGGAAATATCTTCAAAAATTTCTTCAAGTGCGTACTCACGTCGCTCGTCCTTCGAAAGGTTTACATAGTTGGAAGGAAAGCTCAAAAAAAAAAAAATAAAAGTTTATTTTTAGCTCGAGAGTTCATTATGAAAAATTAAGAAAAATTCTTATTCATAATATGATTCGACAATTTCAAAAACATCTCGTCACAAGTAATTTCATGCACTTGGTTATAAATATGTGTATTAATTAGTATTTTCTTACGCGAATGCCTTCCCGTAAGTTACATTACCATGAAATAATTGATTTTGACACTGCTTGAATATTAATTTCGCAACAAATTTCTATTTTATTTTCTTAATGTTCAAACAATTCATTATTGTTGAAAATAATTATTTCCAACTATGTATTTGAAGCGTGTGAATAATTGCGTATACAATTTTTGAAACTTTCATACCTCATTCATATTAGCTTTTGTTAATTTTTCTTTAATACAGCTTGCAGCCACATAATGTTCAAAGTGTGCTTTTTTGTTTTGTTTTTTTTTGTTTTTTGTTTTTTTTTTTCGTTTTTTTTTTTTGAAGAGTGAGAAATTCTTTTTACATTGTTTTATACATTTTGATATTTCTGTAGATTTTAATAGTCATTTATTAAAACAAGGCTTTAATAATTATTAATTATACTTTAGTGGAAAAATTCATTGTTATAATATAACGTTATTTAAAATTGTTATACATTATTTTACCGCATGTTTTATTGTTAAATACCGTTATCTATATTTATTTTTTTTTTTTTTTAAGAATGTTACTGAAAAAAAAATTTATGAAAGCAAAACACGTCGTTTCTATTCGTGGAAAATTCTTTGTTCTGTATTTGTTAAAATATTTGAATGCTTATGAAATTATTGGTCTAATATTATAAATCAATTTTTTTTTCCATTAGAGCATATTTATTTACTTTTAGAATTATATATAAATGTCAGAATAGGGTTTTTCAGTTTGTTTTCTTTATCAAGTTCTTTGATTTTCTTTTTAACAATGTGAATTTACGTTGCTTTATAGGCCATACGTTTGAGAAAAATATGTCGACTCAAACGGCGGGCTAACCATTTGAAAATTGTTTTGAGTTTTTATTAATCGATTATTAATAATTAGGATGAAAATATTTCCCAAATGTCAAATTGATTCAAAGTATCTAAGATAAACAGAATCTATATGTTTATATTCGCTCAATGAACAAATAATTTGCTAAATTTTAAAGAAAAAAGCTACCCATCTTATTATGATTATCGTAGAAAACATCACTTTGGAATTATTCTATTTACTAATGTATTCTTCATAGACTATAATATTAAATTGTAATAATAAATGTTCAAATCAATTTTAGTAAATTTTAATGCACATCTTTGTTAAGAAGAAAACATTCTGTATGTAATGAATAATATAAAAATGTAATATAGTTTCGTGGAAATTTTCTATTCTTCTTTTATCTTCTATAAAATTGTTTAACACATACAAACTTTCAATCATTTGACATTTCAATTGTCTTTTTTAACTTTATTATAAAGTTATACGATATTGCGATGTAATATTATTTATTTCAGCTTGTGTCTAATTTTATTGTTAATTATATCTCTATTGCCCTGTCATTTATTATCAATATAATGTATATATATATATATATATATATATATATATATATATATATATATATATATTGTTATAAAATTATGAGTTTAAAAAATATTGTATATGTGTAAATAGAATATCTTGTAGTTAAACATATAATTGTTTTTTTTTTAAGTATGCTATTGTAAGACGTTAACTACGAGCTACCGAAATACTATTAGATGAAGATCATTTTAATTTAATTAGCATTTATAACTTCTGTCCGATTAAAATTTTGGGAATTCTTAAATATTAATTAATTTTTTTCCATGCAATCTGCATGTTGAAGATATTAAATATATATTTATAATAATTTCATAATTATTGATATTAATAATTTTTTAACTCGTATATAAATGCATTGTGATAAATTAAAAAATTAACCTTTTAAAAGTCATTATTATTAATTGCAATTTATTAATAATACATCAATACTTAATTTACATTAATATACCTAAATGTATATTAATTCCTTTTTTTATTATCTTTGATACGGGACAATACATTTTTTATTGAAATTTTTAAATTATGCATAATATTGCACTATTTTCATCTTTTTTTTACGATATTGTTACAGTTTATAAATTTTAGTTAAAAAAAAAAAACAAAAAAAAAAAAAAAAATGTTAATCTAAATTTATAATCAAGTGTTTATTGCTACTTTGTGAAAAAAAAAATAATAAAAGTTTAGAATAAGATGTGTTGAAGTTTGTAAAATTCAGTACATTGATACATTTGCTAAGCTTTATAATTCTTCAAATCTATTTAAACCGCAGACGTGTAAATAAATTTTCAAAAATTAAGAACCGATGAAACGTATTTATAACTTTTTAAAGTTTTTGAAATGATTTCATGTAGAAATGTGAGCCTGTAATTTAAATATTTGTATTTCTCTGGGCTTTTAAACAGATTAGCTTTAAGCAGATATAGCATCATTGAAGTAAGTCTTTGTGCCTATAGATTTTCGTATTTTATTATATTATCTTAAATTAAATTATATTTTTTAATTTTGTATTTGATATTAGAATTATTAGTGAAAAACATAAGACCGGTAATTCATATTAATACATTGGTTATTGTATTTTTAACTAACACTCTAAGAAAATAATCTGTGCAATTCTATAGCACAAATTACTTTTGTATCCTGATTTATGTATAATTGTATATTTTGATTTTCAAGTCTTTTAAATAGCATTTAATTACATTTAACGTACACGACGGATAGAAAATCTTAGAAATAAAGTATTCCAAGTTCATTCGTTGTGTTATGTGAATTAAATCAATTTAACATAAGGTACGAAGTACAATTTTTTTTTTTTAAAATAACGCTTTACTCATTAAATAAGTATTGAAAACGGTGGTTCGGCATTAATGTTTAATTAATCGTATCGAAGCTTCGTCCAAGCTACTCTGCAAAAACTTTCATTCTGCGAGTACGGTAAGATCATCACTATTTTTTGGCAAAGTTGCTAAATTTCACACGATGCACTTGTCGCAATTGCTTTTGAATGGTAAAATAAAAGAGGCGTGTAAGGCCGAGCATTTCTTCGGCGAACCTCAGCTTGTCCGAGTCGGTGGTGGCCGTTGGAACAAGCCCTTCACATTGGCAATACTAACGCGCGATCGCACTTTCCCTTGTGCTGCCGCAGATCGTTCGTGCCGCCAGTACGCGACGAGGAGAGCGAGACCCAGCGTAAGGCCCACGCGAAGCGCGTGCGGGAGACGCGGCGCTCGACGCAGGGCGTCACCCTCGACGAGATCAAGAGCGCCGAGCAGCTTGTGAAGAAGAAGCAACAGCTCAACAACGACGTTGGGCTGCAGTCGGGTGCGGCCACTAGCACCGATACCGCGACCACGACGACCCTCACCACCAGTAGCTCAACGGCTGTAAACCAGGTAGAGCCCGAGCGGACGGACTCGGTCCTAGGGGCGAACGATTGCTGCGCTAAATCGTCGATGATCATGGCTGAAGGGCTCGAGTCCCAAGTCTTATTAATCAATATTAGTAAAGCAATTCGCATCCTAAAGCAATACTACCTTGACTTCTTTTTCTTTATCTTCGAGGCCATTAATCATGCAGATTCCTTTCGTACGTTCGCTCGTACTCGATGCGAACGAGGAACGCACGAAGTTCTCTATCCACAAGGAATTAATGATTCGTCCGGTCGTAGTCCCTGGCTGCACGTTTATTGAGTTTTGCAGCTATTATTACTGAATTTTCAAAGAGTGTCTTACCTTTTTTTTTCTCTCAAACAACATTGACGCAGCCTTAATTTACATTTATGTTTTTTGCTCTTTATACAATGGTATTCTAATATAATTGCTTTATATTGGCGTGATAATTATGCATTTATTATCACATATCAAATTAATAAATATAATATTCTCAATTGGATAGTTCGACTACTGAATTAAATTCGTAACGTACGAATCGATCGTGATGGGTCATTGATTATCTGTATTTGATAATTTTTTGTTTGTGTTGTTTTGTTTTTATTTTTAATAAATTCATTAATATTTATGAAAATGAAAATATTACTAAACTAGATGATCGTAAGTTAGATTTTTCTTTTTGCATTTTTCGAATGAATTATTGTCATTGGATTTATGTTAGAAATGTGAAAACATTTCATTTAACGGAATAATAAACGAAGAAGTGCAAATAGTTTTTGTAGTGTAAACAAAAATTTTACATATTATTTAAGAAAATTATTTTCGAAACGTAACATTATGTAGTGCCTTTATTTAACTTTAAACAACTTTAAAAAAAATAATCTTGCTCAACACCGGCAAAATAAACTTTTCAACGATCAAGAATATCTAAATCAAAGATTTGAAGATTTAAAAATTTAATGAGACCCGGTGAAAAGTTAATGCTTCAATTTAATTTTCACAAGTGAACAAGTGAAAAAGATGGGAAAAAATTATTAGATTTAATATACTAATAAACCATCAATTTTGTGTAGAAAATATTTCACGTCATGTGTTTTAAATAATGATATGAAAGTCGTTGGCTTCTTATTACTAACAAAAAATTTGCTATCTACAATATACAGTGCATAACCAATATTTAAGCTCTTTATTGAATAAATAAGTTAATTCGAAAAAATTTTCTTAACTATAGTCAAGTTAATTAAAGTACCTTTAAAATGTAAAGCAATTTTTTTTTTTTTTTTTTTTTTTTTTTTTTTTTTTTTTTTTAATAATGTAAATGAGGTTATGAAACTCGATAAAAATATATAATACGTACGCGCAAACACAAACACACACGACACTTACTTCGATACACATATATGTAATATGTGTATTGTGTTTATAAAACTTAGCTCTTTTTTAAGGGCATTAAAATTGTTTATTGTTAATAGTGATTTATTAATTATTGAAAAAGACCCATATTTTCAAGTTGAAAATTCATGAAATGCATAATCTTAAAGATACGTATAAGATTTAGTAAATAATTTTGACGTTTGCTTAGGTATATGTAATTCAAATTATGAATTTGTTTGTTTACATATCTTTATGTTCGTAAAGTTTTCATTAATATTTTATTGGAAATTTGACTGTTTAAAAATTATTTCGGTGGTAAGTTGAGATCACTAGCGATTCCAATATCTAGTTCAGAACATTTTGTTTTATGTTTATTAATAATAAAAGACTGTGCATCTGTGATTAATTTTAATATATTATGTGAATATGTTTTGACAAATTTTTTTTTTTTTTAACTGTCGTGTGAATGTTATTGTTTTTAAGAGAAATATATATAATACCTCATCATCAAGCGGTATGCATATAAAGTATGCTAATTTTTAAAGAAAGCTGTTACGAGAAAAATATTTTGAATTATTGATCGTGTATAACAAATTGTGAAAGGAATTAGATTTATGTAAAACTGTTTGAAATTACGTGATTGAATAATCGAAAATTTACTCAACGCCCAAGGATTAATGAGCGTATGTGCACAAGTCAGAACTCAAATGTAAGACCATATTTCTACATATTGATTTCTTTCATGACTTCATCTTAAATAAATGAAGTTTTTATAAAAAAAAATTCCTTTTAATGAAGTAATAAAGATTGCCCTATAATAATAAATATTCACAAATAATAAGGGATTTGAATGGTTTATTAATGATTTGTTTAATAGGTAATTTGTTCTTTCATAAAATTATTTTTAGCTTTATCATCAACTTAAAATAAATCTTTATTTGTATAAAAAAAAAAAAAAAATCATTTAAATTAAGTATATACAAAATAAAATTTTTTTTAATATTTAAACAGTTTGTATTGTAATAATTGTAATCTGGAAAAGTACTTTTCAAAAACTAATTTAGAAGTTATGTAGTAGAATTTGCAGGAACGATTGAATATATTTTGTCTGAATCTGCAGACGATCTTCGTAAATAATAATGCGAATTAAAATATAAAAGTTCTATTTGGGGAAAGCAACAAACCAGAAATATTTGAATTGTGACGAAATTTTTATTTATTTTTATTCTGATAAAGACGAAAATTTCATTACTTAATAATCCTTAAAGTATTAGATAGATCAGAAAAAGTCATGATATTTTTATTATAAAACGTAACTTTGTAAAAGAATTTCAATTCCAATTTTTCATCATTGAATCGAACGATGATTATCCAACATTTGACAATTATTTTATCATTATATTTTACAATAACAGTATGACGTAATAATAATGGTGCTAGCAAATATCGATAACAAATTTCTCATATTAAATTTCTTGGATGCATTTACTTTTGTTATTTATTAACTAAATAAATTGAGACTACCGCACAGTCCGTGCTCTTTTAAATCCTAATTTAAGAACGTACTATTATTATAAAATCAAGTACAATTACATTGGAATAATAGTTTATGTTAGAGTTGACTGATTTAGTCAATATATGCTCTACTAACTAGAATTGGGACACAAAATTTATTGTACTTTAGTCTTGAAAGACGTTGACCGTCGCGGTCTAGCAAATTAAATCGAGGCTTCCTTAAATTTAAACACAACCACACAAATGTTACACAAATATTCAATTTAAAGCGACGGTTAAAAGTGCTTAATATTCGAGACTCGCGGTATACAGAGAAGATGGACAAAGACGATAATTCGATTATCACAGATGTACAGTCCCGAGAAAACGAGAGGACGGATAATGTATAAAAAAGAAAAAAAGAAAAAAAAAGAAAGAAAAAAAGAAAAAACCAGAGGAGCGCTCGCTCGAGCCTCCAACGGCGGCCCTCGCTAACCTCGTCTGTTGATGCGGCAGTCCGTAGCTCCTGGTGCAAGTGTGACGACAACGGCCTCGATCACGGCCACAATAACGACAGCGAGCCCGACGACAGTGGGCCTGAACAAGCAGTCGTCGCAACAGCAGCAACAGCAACAGCAGCAGCAGCAGCAACAACAACAACAACAACAACAACAGCAGCAGCAGCAGCAACAGCAGCAGTCGGCGTTGTCGTCGAGCGCGGAGGTCGAGACGAGCTTGCCGGAGCGCCGGCCATCCTGGAGGCTCAAGGTCGACGCCGGGAGTAAGGTCCGTGATGGAATGGTACAAGCCCAGGTAGACACTGTCGCTTGTGAGGCGCGTCGCGACAGTGGCGGCTGGTGTGCATGGATGTTGAGTTTGATCGGTTGGGATTATAAGTAGGACTGTGTACATAATGCGCCTAGGCATTGCGAGCTCGCACGCACACATTCACGCATAAGCACGAAATTCATACGTTTAAATTTTAAAGCAACGCACACGCACTCACACTTACACGACAACAAACTGTTTCACACAAGATGTTTCTTTGCATTATTTCATTTTATTTTCTTTTTTGTTTTTGTTTTTGTTTTTGTAGACGTCAAATATTTGTAGTCTTTATTTTCTGCTTGCGTCTTAGTGTATTTGAGGACAAAATTATTTGACGTAATGCTTGCTTGCACTCGGAATAATTCACTTATGCGAATTAGCGAGAACGTTAAGTGTAATATACTGGTTATAAGTAGATTTAATCGAGCCGTAGTTGGGCATGTTAAAGCACACGATAAAGCAATTTTGTATAATCTTTGTTTTAATAATGTAGGAGGGGGAATTTTAAGTTAAGATTTTCTTTTATCGATAGCGCCTGATGGCAAGTAACGGTAAATGTAACTTATATTTATATATGTATGTATGTATTGGTACATAATAGTCGTGTATTAAATTTAATTTTTAAAAGTAATTATAATCAAGCATGAGGAGCTTGTAACTGTCTAATATATGAAATTGTAGCCTTAGAGTTTAAACGTAGATAATGTTTTTGTTTTTAATCAAGCAATATTAATGCATTTATTCAAAATATCTCATTAGAATGATATAAGTTTTGAACAACGTTGATATAATTAAAAATTTTAAAGGCTTTCCTTTAAAGTACATATTCTTGATTTTCGTGAAATCTTTTTTGCTTACAGTATTTTTAACGTACTCTGTATCCATATCCTTTATAATTATTATAAGATCAATAACGTAACGATATATATTGTGATCTACATTCTCGATCGTTTGTGCAGATTTTTAATAATTCCAGGTGGCTGACGAATGATCACGAAACTTTATTTGTATTGTGCTGTACTTTTACCACATCATTCCCACATTTTTTTGTTTACCTTGTCTATTCTTACTTGCGTATATTTACTTCTGTTTTAGCATCTGAAGGTATGTTTTTATTTTATTGTTTGTTTTATAACCGCAATAAGTGGATTAAATAAAAAATCAATCTAAACGTATTATTAGATGGAATGAAAAGTTCAGGCACTTGTTGCTATATTACAGTAGCTGTATTAATTATTCATATTATTTCTAAAAAGTATTTTTTAGTAAATATTTAATTGATTTTATGAGAAATAATCGTATTAGCTTTCGTGACAATAATCGTTAGAAGAAAATTCGTCTGTCGGTCAAACTATTGCATATTTTTTTGTGAAAATATATATTAATAAAATATCATTGATAAATAACACATCTCTTGTATTTCAAACAATCATCTATCGATAATTAATTGCCTGTCATTTAAGTGTCATTGTACGGGCAAGGATTATTGAACTCGGATTAACTGTTCGATTGAGATATGTTTTGGGGATAATCTATGAAGAGAAAAAATACAAAAAATTAATTATTAAATTGTGATTAATTAACAAAGCCACCACGTTGATTTTGTTTTGTAGATTGCTATTTTTGTTATTGCCGGATGATTATATTAAATTAAAATGCAGAATAAAGTCATAATGAAGGAAAGACGTGCAATGCAGAAGAGCTCCTTTACGAACACAATTCACCGATTCAAGGGAAATATTTTCAATTCATTTGAAGATTTGGCTGTGAAAACCTCAGTCCTTTGCAAATCGTTTTGTATGAAGGGTATCGATATAGTGAAAAGTTATCGTTAAAACACAGTTTACACTGATTTTGGAAGAAAGCTAACGTCGAAGAAGAACATTGATTTCCGATACTAAAATACTTTTTTCATTGCTACTCTCGGAACTTTTCATTCCACATAATGTAGCCAGTAATGTTGGGATATTAAATGTAAGTGCATGATTTATTTTTGGGGCATGTTAGTCCTTAACATTCTATTACCTATGTGCTTAATGCGATCCGTTATATTTATATGTTGCTATTTGCAAAATATTCTCATCACTGTATATATATATATATATATATATATATATATATACACAAACTTATTATTTATATTATTAATAGAATTAGAATTAGTATTAGAATTAGAAATAATATTATTCTTAAATCTGCTATTATTTTACAGTATTTTATAATATAACAATAAAATTGTTTTTGAAAGTGGTTAAACTAAATAAAGTTTATTTATTTCTTTGTGCCTGATAATTTGAGTGCTGAACAAAAATTATTCACTTCACTATCGGATAATTACTAACGCAATATATTGTAAACTAAGAATGGATTTGAATCGATGAAGCGGCTAAGTTTCATATTTTACTGGAAATATATTTGCGATTTTACTAATATAAACAATAGCAAACAAGATGTATATGCGCGAAACATAAATTTCCAACTAATTCAATTTGATGATGATAATTAGAGCAGTTTAAGAGCTTTCACTAATACAACTAATTTTTATTTGCGCCAACGTATTACGAGAATCTGATCTCGTAAGAAACGATATGTGTAAGCGGAAATATAGTTGTCGCGGCTTCTCCTCGAAATCGAAAGACTCGGATGGCTTGAGGGTAGTCTTGGTGATCCGTCTGTGCATTTGTCTCGTTTAGTTCCAGCTAGAGGACGCGAACAACAGATCGAGCGTCGGGGACACGACGACGGCATACATAAGGCGACCCTCCACCGGCACGAACATACCTCGCCCGAGTTCGGCGCCCGTCGATACCATATCCTCCAACACCGCCGAGACGACGGTCACTCTACCCCTTAGGAGACCGGTCAAGCCGCCCGAGGACAAAGGTGAAGTGTACACCGTGTACCTTAAGCTCAAATGAACGTTACATTAACAACACATTTCAAGGGGAGGCCCTACACACAGTTCTCATCGAGTTCTCAATAGAGATATTTGCTTTTTTTCTTCATTACATTGATGAAACGAACAGAAACTTAAGAAAGACAAAATCAAAACCATAACAAAAACAAAAAAAAAGTACAGTGTTTTTTTTTTTGGAACACAGGCGTATACGCACGTGATAAAGAATAAAAATCCAGAGGATTGCATACACGAACAGTTTCTCTCTCACTCATTTAGCTTTGCATTGTAACGAGGATGGAATATAACCTGTCTTCTGTTCTTCCGTATTGTTAATATTCTACGAAAGTGGATGTGACTTTTACTTTACATTTATTTCAAGAATTAATTTAGGTAAATCATTAATATCTTATTAATCAAGGATGGAGATTTCACCAATTCTATTAACGGGAGATGTAAGACTATTTATAAACTATTTTTAAAATAATAAAGTGTATTAATAGAATCGCTTGGAATTTTAACATAAAATAAATCATTTTCTTTACATGAGTGATTATTCTGTCTGTTTTATCTTATGGATAAAGAAAAAAACAAAAAAAAAAAACAAAAAAAAAAACAAAAAAAAAACAAAACAAAAAAAACAGCCATTAATAATCTCATTATTGGATCGAAATTTTCATGTTAAAGTCTGAAGCAATTCCATAAGTATTTGTTTATACTAAAAACAGTTTGCGAATTAAAAAACTTTTTAATACTTTAACAAATTATTTGAAAAAAGCTTCGTTGTATTGCTTAAATGTTAATAAGCATTTATTATTAGACTGTCGAATGATGTTTCGCATAAGAACATAAATAAGATAATTTTTAATTACGATTAAAGCTATAAGTCGCGTTAAAAAAATTTCAATACTAAACTTACAATATAAATTTACAATTAAAAATATAATTTCTTTAGGCAAAGTGCGTCATTAATTTTCCTTAACTATTGTTATTTGATTAATTATGGAGACTACGTTACAAAATTAATTACACAAATGAAATTAAGCTATACGCTTAAAAATTTTTTATAAAATCTCTCAAATATGTACGAAATATAATTTAATGTTGATAAATAATAATTCAATTTAATGATCGCAGACATAAAAGTAAAATTATAAACGTTAACTACACTATTATAGAACAATTGCCAAATCTATGAAAGTTTAACATATTTTTCTTGAAATGTTCCCTTGTTGAAAGATATATTTTAATGAAGTTTTTGCCAATTTCTGGCGTTTTCTTTCATACATAATTTAAATTATATTTGAATTATAATATAATATAATAAATAATAATAATATTATAAATATTATATAATTCAAATGATATTTTATGTGATGTACGTTACGTGATTATTCGCTATTAATGCGCGAATATTTAATTATTTAATATAGCTTTCGTATTTATTATCCTTATAATTAATTGATAAATATGTTTAAAATAAACCATCATAAAAATATCATAAATCTTGAAAACGTCCATATTTTCTTATATTTATTCATCAGTGTAAATATGTAGTGTAAAAAACTTAAAAAAAAAAAAAATTTTATTCTGGAATGAATCCCAACTTTAAATATACTAGAAAAAACATTTTTTACAAATATTTATAAAATTACATGTGAATTGATAAATGTATGATTGCGTGCGTTATGTTAAAGATTCATTCTCATAAACATCTAATTGTATCAAAATTAAAAATCATCATCTAAACAAAAATATTACAATATGATAACAAACACCATTGAATATTGGTAAAAAAATTTAAAAGAAATATTATTATTATATTTAAGCTTTGTGACGGCGGTATTAAAAAATTTATTGAACTCAAAAGTAAACGTTCATTATAAAATGTACCACATTTATAAACAAAACTATTAATTAACGAGAATAATATGTTCTTAAATGTTCTTAAATTATAATAATGTGATATTTTCCATTCAATTTAATCATAATATAATTAATAAAAAATTCAATTAATCGTCATTATAATGTTATAAAGCTTTGAAGAACGTGGATTAAACGAGGTAGTAGCACATTTTATTATTTAAATAAATCGTTGACTGATTGTTGATCACATAACAAAATTATATAGTTAAAAAAAAAAAAAAAAAAAAAAATTTTAAAATCTTAAGAATTGCTTAATAGTTTATTCAATTAGTATATTTTTGGCTTGCTGCCCATAATAAAATAATCACAATGGGAAACTAACAATAACAATTCAAATAAAGTTTTATTTAGATCGATGAATAAAGAATTTATCTCACTTTGATTTTGGTTCGTCAATGTTTCATTGTTTTTTCTTTAATTCCTAACGTTTTTTTTTTTTTTTTTTTTTTATAACACCGTGCACAAGGTTTTTTAAATAATAAACCTAATAAAAAGCGCACAGTTTTAAAAGTATATTACTGGTGAAATTCGAGAATCAAGTATAGAGGAATATCAATCTTTTTTCATTTCAGAACAAGATAAAGAAAACGATAGCCGAAATGCACAAGCGACGCAGGCTGTTATCCAAAGGAGGCGGAGACCAAAAAGAAGATCCACTGGTGTTGTACATGTCGACATGGACGTTAGTACATCTTTTTCATTCAATTTCCAAATTTCAATTCTGGTTTTATCAACGAAATATTACATAATACAATTAAAACCGTAGTAATTGGTTTTTATTTTAATTATTGATATAATTAAGATTATAAATTAATGCATGCAAAAATCATTAATTATATCGATCAGTTAAACAAGTTCTATAGGATTTTTTATTATATTAGATGTTATACACAAAACATACAGTTATTGATATTGTTTAAAATTATTATTTACACTTATTAAGATACGAATCAAACTATAACGATTATTTTACGCATATTTAAAGAAATTGTATAATTTTTTTTTTATTCAAATACTTTTAATGTCAATTCACTCAATCATCATTTGTGTAAACCTAAGTATATATAATTACTATTTATTTGTTTGGTTTTAGAAAATGTTTGCCAATAATTCCTACATTTCGGTACAAATAAAAATTTTCATCTATTGTAAATTAACAACAAAACAAAACAAAATTCTGACATTAATCATATCGAATAACAGCATTCATAATGGTTTATCTTTAATTTGGTGATTTACAAATAAAAAAAAAAAAAAAACAATTAAAATAAATGTTCTCTGGTTGCCTTTCTTTAAGCATGAGTAATTTGTTTTTTTTTTTAACATTATCTATGAATTTCACAATACAACTGACGAGTTTGGATAAATGAGGACAAGTATTAGTAAAGAAAATTGAATCATTGATCAGTTTTCAATAGTGCGAATGCCCGTGTCGTGGTGAATTCGCCGGGATCTCGTCGTGGAGCGTCGGAGAGGAGAGGGGTCGATGCAACCTCAGCACACTCGCGATTTTCAGTCTTTACGAATCCGGTCGCCACCTCGTCGTACTCGCAATTTCCCGAGTTCCGCGGCGATTGACCAGCTGCTGCTTTGGCAATAGCAGCCACTCTCCTTTTCTCCTTTGCCCGACCTCGTTGTACTTTATCGCGATACCCTACTTGTTCATCGGCTATTTGCCGTACTTAGCTTTAATGCTCGAGTAGATAAATTACGTAAATTCGATTTTACCGTTGTAGATATATTATTATCACTCTGCTATAAATTTCAAATTATAGAAAGAGAATAAATAAAAGTATTTTAGATTCAAATGTATACAATCAATAAGCTTAAATGAAGTTTGAATTTCCATATTTTTATTCAATTTTGTATGATAATGACGAAATGTATTTGTTGTTTCCGATAGAATAGGTATAGCTTTGATAAATTAATGTAAGTAAGTTAGAGGTGTTTAGTTATAATATTATTAAAAGTTTTATATATTTTTGTAAATAAAATAGTAATGTGGAGTAATGAAGAGATAAAAGTGATATAATCTAGATTGTTTGTATCTTATATATATATATATATATATATATAAATTTTCTTTTATTAGTTGCAGGATATATAGTAATATCTAAAAAAAATTTTATATTTTAATTAATAATTTTCATTAGACATCTCAAACATTATCGATGCGTTAAAATTGCGTGGGATGCGAGTTGAAGCCAATGTTACCATTTGACGTCAAATGTAAACATTTTCTATTAATATACATACTACTATGTCTTTGATTTCTATTTTCTAGCCTATTTAGTGGCCTTCGAAAATTTGTGTTTTATGACACACGTGTTATAAATGCAATTTTTCTTTTTTGTCATGTTTCAGGAAATCGATCCGGAAAAGCAGGACGTGTCAGCAAGTGGCGATTGTGAGGAAACTAAGAACAATCATAATGAGGTGAGTTATTATTTCCTTTTAATTGTATTCAATATAAAAGTTCTTATTGGGAAACTATTGTATTTACACAATTCATGAATACTAATTTTTTGAATTCCTGTAAATTTCTTTTCTAAATTTGTAATTCTATTACAAAATTTGAATGTAGATAGTAAAACAATATAGTACAAATATTTGCCGATATCCCATTATCACATTATTTTAAACGTAATTCCGATGTTATTATTTTATTTAAATTACTACAATGACACATTGAGTTACCAAAACCACTATATGATGCAAGCTTTTTGTTGTATTAATATGTATTGTGTAAAAGATGTTATAGGGCTTAAATATACAATGAATATATATGTAATTATAAGTATAAAAATATGAATGGCTGACTAAGTATAATAATTACTACTGAACTTTAATTATGTATATTCATTTATCTTTCAAGTAGTAATATTTAGTAATAATGCGTCATACGTGTATACGCATTTACAAGAAAATTATAAGTAAAACCAACAAGTATATTTTACAAATATCTCATATTATAAAAGTTATAAAAGCTATCTCATATTATAAAATAATCATTTTTGGTAGATATTTACATATGAAGTACTATTTTATATTATCTATTTATTAATGTTATAAATTAATAAAATACTTCATAAAATATGACAATAAGAAGGAAAAAAACATTTATATTTCAAGTGTTTAAATGAGTACTGTTCAAATAAGACTTTCTTTCTTTATAAATCGTTTTATGCATTTATGCTATAGACATTAATTTAATCGCGTGTATAGTCACGTGTCTTTGTCAGACATTGAGTTTCCTCGACTTCATGTGTTTGTAGTTACGATATCTATAAAAGTTAAAGTATTTTGAGATTATGTTTTATGATATATTTGGGAAATTGGGATGCAAGAGAAAACCCTTTAGGTCAAATTATAATAGTCTTTCAAATAAAATATAACTAATTGTGCTTTTCATATATTTTCAAAGACTTATTTATATAGCTAGGGGAGTTTATAAGTAATTGATACATGAAATTATCTTCACAATATTCGAGTTTACAATTTAATTTATACAAAATAAAAAAGGATTAAGTATTTGAGGATCATTTAATATAAATCTTTTTATAAAGTTGCTAGCATAGTATTATTTTCTGTCGCACATGCATTTAAAAAAAAAAAAAAAAAAAAAAAAAAAAAAAAAAAAGATTACTGAAAACTAAATATCGACGTTTGTTCGATTTAGTACAGTTATATACGACTTAATAAAGACAAAGATCACATCTATAATGCAATATATCTTTTTTATTTTATAAATTGTATAAATATTGAATACAAAAGTTTATTAATACCACTGACAGGCCTCTTACTTTACATTAAATCGAAATTTTTTTTATCATTAATAGTAAATATATTCTCCATTTAATAATATCTTGTTCCTTTTTTCATCTTTCTTCTCATTTTCCCTTCTCACTTGCAAAAGCTGCCGCATTTAAACGCAAATGTAAATTTAGATATCTCTACCCCCCTAAGACTATCGAGTTGTATTCTTGAATCGTTAAAAATAGTCAGATGTGCAGTACACCTCCTTCCCCACCTCTTAAACACATTCACTACCGTAGCATTCACTGGAAAAAGCTGGCATAAAATTGTCTTTCTTTCTTTCTTTCTTTTTCTTCTAAAGTTCTAAAAAGGTTTATTGATTTTATCCAATAACATCGTTATAATTTACATAATTTTTTAATTTTACTAAATTTCCACGACCCTTATGATCTAAATTCATTTAAAATAATAAAAATCTGTAACTAATAGTTTTTATAGAAAGAAATATAATTATTAAAATATATTATAAATATTCATTTTTACAATTTGTTAATGAGTTTAGAATAAATAATCAGTAAATTCTGTATATCATTAGAAAATCATGTTTTTTACAAATATACGATTTTTTATATTATTTCTCCATAAACCTACATTAAAATCGTAATTGGTATAAATGAAAATGATTGAATTTTATTATTTAATAATCAACTATCTTATGAGGGATGTCCAGTTGTATCCACGAAAGATAAGAAGTAGATTTTGTAAAGCTGTAACAAATGCGCATGCGTATGTTTAATATTTTAACGTTTGATGCTCATTGGTGAAGTAACTACGATACTTAACACTGTCGGGAATTGCTAGTTCCATCATTTCTTACCTCCACAGGTCTGGCGTTACACTAACTAACAAAACAGAAAGATAGATAGACAGACAGACAGACAGACAGACAGACAGACAAAGAGAAAAAGGTGATAAAACTATTTTTAGTTTTGGTATCGATCGTGGTATTTAAAGACGAACATACGTAGACTAACACAAACTGTGTTGCAGGAAGAGTTCCAAAGAGAAAAGAACTTTATGCATTTGTAGCATTTAATATTTGTTGGTTTATACGTGCATTTGAAAATTTTTTCTTCTACTACCAAAGAAAACATACGATTATAAAATATAAAGAAAATAATATATCTTGAAATGACACGATCTCCTCCAAAATCATATCAAATATCTATTTGATTAAGATATTTAAACGATTATAAATAATTTTGTTTACTAATGTTATGATAGAGTTTATTGAAATATGTTTTGTTTTACAGTCTTTCTAAAAATTTTATACAATTACTTATTATCTAAATTATTTTGATTATTTCATTTGAATCACTACAGTAATTCATCAGTATTTTAGTAAAATGAAATTACTGCAACAATGATTAATAATACTTTTAGCCATTTAAATAAATTATAGAATTAGTAACATTAAATTAAAAAGAAATAACACGTGTTTATTATCATTTAATTAGAAGATTTGAATAATAATTCAGAAGAACAAAGATAGTATATCTATTTTATATTTTATTTTTTATATAGTAATAGAATAATTATTGAAAAGAAAAATTAGTACATGAATTTATAATTCCTTTGGATGTATCGACAAGGGCTTAAAATGTGTCTAACTTGTTATTGTTTACAAATGCAAAATCATTACTTTTTATTCCAAAGCTATATAACATAATATTTAAATATTTTTTAATATTATATCAAATTATATTCTTTGGGTACAATACTCGCATATTTAACTAATTATTAATGATCTATAAGAAAATTAGTATAATGAACAATATTAGAAAAGGTAATATTGGCATTTGCAAATAATATATTAAATGATAAAAAAATAAAAAGCTTAATGTTCTAAATATTACGAAAATCATATAAATATTATCTTTTATTTATGCAAAACATATTATTTAAAATATGTTATTCAATTACTTCGAACAAAAAGTGTATTTTGATTTTATATATGAATATTTCATAAGTTTTCATAATTTGAATATTTTTAATCTATATATATTCAATTTAGTATAATATAACATAAGGCTTTAAGCAACGAGAATTAAAATTGAAAATATTTATTTATAATAGTATTAGTATTTGTATGTATAACAAAATTTTATTAATATTCTTCATAAGTCTAATTAAAAGAATTGCTTAGATTGATATATTCTTACATAAATAGATGTTATATAAGTGTAATTTATCATAATAATTATTTACTTTACTTAAAAAAAAAACGTTGAAGTTATATTTATTGTGAAATCATGATACCAATTGATTTTTTTTTTATCAGAATGAACAAATTGATGGAATAGAATATATGCGCTGTATTATTATTTGAACATTTTCAATTATTATTCTAATAGCTGCATTATAAAATTTTAATGAATTTTCGAAATAAAATAGCTGTTTGACAAATAATTTCTTAACGTAATCTACTACGAAATATATTTTTTCTTTTCATTTTGTAAAAAATCGAGACCTGAAAAAATCTTTAGTCAATTTAATATTAACTTGAAGACTATGAAAATTTGGCATAAAATATAAAATGTAATTAAGTTCATTTTTTCAATTGAGCTGCCAAGACCTTTATAACTATGTTTCTTTTTATAATATTATTTTGGAAATACAAGAAATTATCTTTCCTATCAATACTTAGAGTAACATGGACAACTTTTTAACTTAATTCCATTTTTTTTTTTTTTTTTTTTTTTAACTTACGATTATCTTTTTGACTTTTAAACTAAATACTTAGATCTGTATCAACATATATATGTATATATATATATATATATATATATATGGAAATTTATTAACAAAAAAAATTTATTGTTGTTTCTGTTTTATTCACGATATTTGCTTAAATTACTCAGTATATTATAATAATATCTGCGAAACTTATATAAAACTGTTGAATGCACTTATAATAATACAAAATCATTTCCATAAAGCGGTTAATAATAACCGTATATCGGTTAATTATTATCATGAAAAGAGTTATTTTTAATAAATTTTTTGTTCTTAGTAAGTTTATTGTACTATTGTAAAGATTGTAAATGATGCTAATTGATATTATACTAATACTATTTTATTATATAATGACAAAAATATGAAAATAATATATATAAGATTGGATTTATTTAATAGACTTGGTAAATTTGTAGGGACATTTTTTAGAATTAATATTAGAAATGAATTGTTCCAATTAATTATAATACTTTTATTTTCAATCAAAACAAGTTGAAATCATAGTATATATATCTTATCTTTAACACCAGACTTGCCAAAAAGTGTGTTTTGAAATTCAAAAGATGGACCAAAATAATTTAACACTTTATACCTTCCGCAACAATATGATTCACGCATCTTCATAAATATTTATGAGAAAAAAGTATATTGTATCGCCGCGCTAATTTATTACAAAAAAATCAATTTTTATTTATCATACAAGAGGAGTAATTAACAGTGCGACATTCAATTAAAATAATTACTAATACACTTATTAATTGTCATGCTATATTGTTTCAAACACAATTTACACACAAATATTAATCAATTATATTATAACAGGACAAGTGTTCGTTTATCCTTACATGATTATACATAATTATATTTTTTGACACTTACGAAAAACTTTGTTACATTAATAAAATGCTTATATTATTAAAATATATTATATTTGATATGCTATAAAATAGATTTTAAATAATTTTATTTTTCTAGTCTTAGTCTAAAGTGATTTTATTTTCTTTACCAAGTATATGTGCAGAATCCAAATACTATATTTTAGTTGCGAATTAATCCGATTGCATATTGTTTCCGTACATTCGTACTTCTGGGCTTCGTTACGACACTTCGTTTTACCAAATCGATATATTTCAATAGAATTAAAATGAAAATTATATAAAGCACAGATTTAAATAAATCTAGCCCATTCGTGTGGAGGAATTATAATGAAATAAGCGAAACGTAGATGAATGTTAGAACGGCTTTTATAACTTGTAGTTGCTTTAAGAAAATTACATCTACGCAGAGGAGTGAGCAATTTTCTAATTTAGAAATAATCCTATAATCCGTATAATCGACTTGGCTGAAATCCTACCTCTCCCTCTCGCCCCGACATTTCCCCTTCGCTATTGAAGTGCCTATTAATCCGATTCGCGGAAGAGCAAATGCAACAGGCGAGAAAGCAACTCGACTTTCAAATGCAATTGCAAGGGCCACGTCGCATAGGGACGGGGTCGTCGATTTACCGGAGCGACCTGGGCCGCGGCGTCGCTCGTTGCAATCGATTGCACGAGAGCCGCGAGCCACGTGTGGAGGAGAACCGTGGCTAATTCAAAATATCTCGGCTCCCCTCGCATTCTTTCTCCTTCTCGCGCCTTCTTGGCATTATTAGCAACGCTCGTGCGCGTGTAAATATTCACACGGACGGCTGAACTAGATCAAGTATGCGAATAAGCTGTGCTAAGCGTCGCCGAAACTGCGCAGCCCGTCGTCAGCTCGCTCGCCTCCACGTTGGTATGAGAAGCGTCGCCAAGAGTGGTAACCAAGTGCACGACCACTTATGGCAACGAGCACCCGTGCTCGTGCGCCCAAGCATGGTGTCCGAGACTTTTTAATGCCTAGAGGTGACTAAGCCCTCGCCTTTTATTCAGATTTTTTACTCAATTTTTACACTTACAGTTTCAATAAGCTTTAGTATTATTATATATAGAGAGGCTGTACAAGCCGTGATGCGATGGTTTTGGGTTTAGTAGTCATGATTTTTGACTCCGTGCTTGTAGTAGGAAAAACTTTTCAAGTCCAGGCAAAGCATTGCACAACGTTCGTCGAAAATTGAAACGAATTACCAACGTAATTTATATTTAAACAAATCATTGACACCAATAAATATATACTTTCAAAGTAGGGATACGAAAATAAAAAAAATAAATAAATAAATAATTAAAAAAAAAAAAAAAAACAAATTGTCTATTCTTTAAATTTAACTAGATCAGCTTTTTGTTTGCTCCAACAATTTATACGAATTTTACTGTATATGTAAGACTTTCATTACATGTATTGGGGAGTCTCGACGGTATAAATCTTTTACAAGCATTTTCAACATAAATGGTAGTAGCATAGTTCATTACATATTTTTGATAATACATTTTTATTTATTATGTATATTTTTAAAATGCTGCTGGTTAAAATAATTTTAAAATCTTAACTTTGTGGTGTGGTGTGGTTGGGGCGAGGAGGGGGGGGGGGATGCGTGCGTTCGAAGAGATTTAATCTTATACAGACATGCGTGGATTTATCAGCTCCTTCTATTTATGGGAAATTATTGCTTTCTGCATCGTATCAACAGTTCTAAAAGTATATTATTCTTATATAATTTATATTATGTCGCTAAAGAAAACAGTGTTCCTTTTTCGTGATAATCTTTCATTATTTTATGTTTTTGACACTTATTATAGAAATAAATATAGGACGAAAATAAACGTATAGTGTAAATTATATATGTTGGTAGTGACTTTTATAAAATTATCAAGGTTGACAGAAATATGGCACAAATATTATAAACAAAAATGTTCACTTGAAAATTACGAAAGATACGCTGTGAAAATTCGATGCAAATTATCTATCTCGATATTTTTATGCTATAAATTTTAAATTAAAGAACATCTGTTATTTAGTTGTAGTCCCAACAGTATACGTAGAGAAACAAATTAATCAAACTACTAAATTCGGCGAATGTAAGTCTACGTTGTATTAAATTGAGTTATTTAGAATTAAATTGAAAAAACAACTTTGCACAAAAATTAAAATACATATCGTATTTCTTTCAATCGCATGTGATAATTAAGTCTCTTCCGACAACACGAATCTCGCTTTTCCTATAAATATTTCTAAAAGTTCGTAATTAGAGTAGACTTTTAAATGTAGTAGTTTCTGTATGCTCATTCCATTAAAATTACAATTAAATTACAACTATAATTGGTAGGACTATGTGTGTATATATATATATATATAGATGTGTTAAGCATATATTAAAAATTTATTTTAAGTAAAAAAAAGAGGATAAAACACGGTTAGACGAGTGTATATTTAAAAGATTATGTTCAATATTTTCATGCATATTTACGTGACGCAAGTAGGACAATTGTCGCTCGCTAGCTTCAATATATAAATAAAAATGTGCAATGTTAACAAAAAATTTAACAAAATATAATTTCAGTTCTTATGTTGTTTGCTGTTAAAATAACGACAATAGCTTACATCAACATGAATATATATATATATATATATATGTATAGGCTTTGAATGAAGTTTGGAAGAAATTTAAAGTACATTTTGAAAATAATTATAGTATCGAAAAATATCTATTCGAATGAAATTAAATTCTACATGACGTATAGAGCAATATTTTTGGATGCCGGTTTCGATTATCTATTAAAATGACATATTTATAATATAAAAAGCGAACGTAAAGTACTGCGTTTCGCAATATTAAAATGAGATTGGGAATTTTTTGGGAATTAGTAACGGCGTCGGTGAGCGTAAGATGCTGAAGTGGGCCGAGTGAAAATGTTAGCTAAAACACTGGAGGCGCACGTTATTATCGGCGCCAGAGACGAGCGTTAAACCATGAAAGAATACTCGCATCGAATCGTCGTCGGTCCACGCTCTTCAATCTCATAATGGCGTTATTTCCCTCCTCCTCCCCCTCCCCCTCCATCCTTAAAATGACATGGCGAATAAAAGCTCGACACTGCAGTGGCACGTAAATAACGCGCATTTAGCGCAACCGTTCCGCAATTAACGGCGAATAAAGTGACGTAAATAATCAATTACGCGAGTAAGTCGGGCGGGGGTAGGGCGACGGTGAGGGAGGTAGAGAGGTTAGTATGAAGGATCGCACGAGACCGGGGTGATCATGAACGTGCCATGAAAGCGCGAGGGGACAGAAATAGGCGAGCGCGCTAGATTGACATTTGGAGCGGGCGCGTATGCGCGTTTGACATTTGCCGGGCGACGATCTTAAAGTCCCGCCTAGCTTGCTCCCAACCCTCGTCGTCCCCCAATCGTCAACTCGCCTCCCCTTGCCTCTTTCGCTTCTTTTTCTGTGGCTGACTTTTTGCAAGACCGCTAATCGTCGCCCCAGCGCTTCCTCATTTCCACGCCCGATCCGGCATTCAAGAGCAACGGACCAGCAATGGACCGGTAAACTCCGTTGCTGGTATCTGCACTCGGCCGTTGTCCACTTGCCATTCCATAGCGTGGCAGCTATATTTTACTAAATTAATGCTTATTGCTATTTGAAAAACGGTGCTTCGTGTTGTCGATTTTATATTTTGACGCGTTTATGGGTGGTGGGTAGCTAAGGCGCGCTCGGATTCTCTTGTTTTCCTTATCCTATTCCCTTCCCGTTATTGCCTCTCACGGGAAATCTTTAAATTGCGATAGTTTAAAGCCAACTATAATTTAATTCAACCATAAACTTTGAGCGTTTGTTTTGTTTCTCGTAATGGGAACCGGACATAAATTAAGGTTTATATATCTGGAGTTGCGCGATAAGCGTTTGAAAGCATCTAATTAATATTGAAATTGACATTTTACGATCATTAGAATGTAAATATTTTTCGTTGTTCTTTTTTTTTTTTTTTTTTTTTTTTTTTTTTTTTTTTTTTTTTTTTATTTCTTTTTCTCATACTTTTTTCTCCACTAGATTACGAGCATTTTATTTGTCGTATAAAAGTATATTTATACTAAAATATAGTCGACGAAATTAACAATAAAATTATACAGCGCGTTGACAATTATCGCGTGAGCTAATATTTATTTTTAGAGCATTTTTAGACAATTTAATTGTATAAATTATCAAGTATTATCGAATTAGTTGAAAATAAAAGATAATAACAAAAATCAAGACATTTAGAGAGATTTTGAACGAGCGTTTCCTTATTATCGTTAGCATAAGCTTAATTTTATGAAAAATGAAGTTCCATTCATAACATTAATCCCTCGTTATAATAAATATTAATTATTTTTAAATACATCGAGTTTCGAATTGTCAAAGACAATATTATTATAAGAATATACAAAGAATAAAAAAATAATCCTGTTTGTCACTCGTAAATTTTACGCATAGAAAGAAAGAAAGACGAAACACTCGCGTACGACTTTTAGAAAGATTTTTTAACATGACGAGAAGTTGCCAATTATTTCTTAAACTTTTAACCATTAACCCATCGTCGTTTCATCCATGCGATTGTAGTCGTCGATAGATAAATCTCTAATCCGCGGGCCAAGTTGCCTTCGCTTGTCATGAAATAGCAAAATACAGCATTTCAGCTCTGTTATAAAGCTTTAGAGATGCACTTCACTTGTGCTATCGTCATGAAGATGATATACATTCATTATTTTAAGATATTTATATTTCGTCAAACGACGAGCGACCAGTATAAAACTATTTTATTAAACGAAAACAAATTATATGAGTACTTGTTCTATTCTCATGTATCTATCTCACTTACATTAATCATTCAAATATGGATGATGAGAATATCTTTTAATTAGTTTTTTTTTTTTTTTTTTTAAATTAATTGTGTATAAATCAGTGAACCTTGCTAATTACTCGATAAACAAAAATATTATTTAATGATAATTGAGGCGAATTTCTTGATAGGTCATATTGATTGAAAAGAATTACGTGTAGATGTATGGAATAATCATGGCATTATATATAGACCGTATTTTCGAAAATTACCAAGAAAACACAAATTTAATAATTATCAATATTTCCCTCGTATAATTAAATAAATTATCACATTTCGAGGCTGTAAGAGCAATAAATTTTGATAATCAGACACGTATGACTCGTAAAGAAATCTACAATTGGCACTAAATTTTAGAACTTATAATCATTTAAGACACCCCTCCTCCCTCCGGGCCCCCCCCCCCCCCCCCCCCACCCCCCCCCCCCCCCCCCCCCACACCACACCACCAAATTCGATGCAATTCAATTAACATATTAGCATTAATACAACAAGTCTTTTATATATTGATATATAGTACATTAATATAATCATAATTGACAAAGCTATTTCCGTATGACTATTGGTATATTGCATTTGTAAACCGAAGTAAGCAATCCCGTGACTAACCTTGTGTAAGGGTACCCATTAGCGTACGAATATCGTTCGAATTCGAGCATTAAAATAAACTGTTTATTTATAAAGAATGTCAAGATAATGGCAATGTATCTTCGGCGAGGAGGGACTTTGAACTATATAAATGAACCTCTCGTCAATGAGCTAAACACTAAAGTTCATCATTCATTCGGGCTTAATACAATTTTAATTACCTATTTCGTATAAGACCCAAGGGCTGTAAGATAGACGGATAGAGGGACTCATACACACGTAGTTTTGCGCGATCATCTCTGCCTTGAAAAAACGTGTTGCCCTGTGCACACACGACTTCTTGCGCGAGTTCTACAAATAACTCGCATGGAAGCAGCAGAGATAGAAAGAGAGGGAACCGCCGAATAAGAGAAAGATACCAAGTCGGAGTATGTGAATGAGCGAGAGAGGGAGAGAGAGAGAGAGAGAGAGAGAGAGAGAGAGAGAGCATGAGAACGGAAAAAGAAGAGAGGTGAATCTCAGTTACCTCGGGAGCAGCGAGCCAGTCAGCAGTGTGCGGCAGTCAAACACTTGCTGTCAAGTTACAAAGTTATTGGAGCCGCGCTTTGCTTGTCCCATTTCCCCAACGCTTTTGCCCTTCCCACTTACTTTCTCTTCACCGCGTCAGGTCGTACCAGGCTACAGTGTCACGAATTTATTGGTAACGGTCGAGTTTCGCGAGTGCTTCGTCGGTTAACCGATGTGATGATACGCTTGGCGACTAAACGTATGTGATTATTGGAACCACAGCGAATGTGCCATCCACGATGCCCGTAAATTATGAAATTTTAGCCTCTCGTTTGGTAATCCCGGCTTAAGCTTACGCCAAGAGACATATATTCAAATTAACATCATAATTAGATTTTTGATTATTTGATTGTCGTAATGAGTCGTCGGTGAATTTGTAATTTAAATCGCACGGAGAATGGACGATAAAAATCGAAAAATATATATTGGCAATTCACATTATGTAGAATAGGAGATTATTACTTATAGTAGATCGTGCAAAAGTGTCGACGATAAAACGCAAAATTCATCAAAGATTCTAAAGATTCCAAGGATTCGTAATTCGTGCCTTGACCTTACAATCAACAGATTGTAGCTCACAAGCGCAAAGAGAGCGCGGGATTTTTACGAGATTCAGAAGGTTCTAAACGAAATGTCGACGTACCGTAAAAGAGCCCAACCGAGACCAACGACGGCTGCGGGTCTACGAGCCCAAGCTTCAGCCAGCGGGAATTCAATATTCCGTAACCGGCCAAGAAGCATTAGCGGACTCTACGGTAACAATCATCATCATGCGACTGGTTACTCGAGCTTCCTGGGCAACTCCAGCTACTCCACTCCCAGCTACCTCAACAAATCCTCCCCAACCAGCAGCAGTTACAAAAGTCCCTACTCCAGCTCCACCAGCAGTCTCAATAGCTATCAAAATCCCTACACAACGTACGGGGGCACGGCATCCGGTTATGGTGCCTTAACCTTGCCGTCGAGTAATCCCAACATCAGCTCCTACGGTCTCTCAAGCCCCTCGACTGCTTACAGCTACTTGAACAGCCTAGCTGGTAGAAATGTCTCGTCGATTAATCGGGGCGGCAGTTTCAACAAGCCCAAGCCAAAAGCTGATAGTACGAGTTTTGGCTCAAGGAGTTCGAGTTTGCAGAGTCTTGCTGGCTCCGAGGGATACGCCGTAAGGGATTATTATTACTTTCTCTCGTTCCTGTAATGGTACTCTTGTAACGTTGATGAGCAATAATTGCGGGACTGGTGGTGGTAACTCATTATATTTTAAACTCGTCGTGTGGTGAGTAATGCTAGAGAAGCACGAAGCAGTGGCTTTCTCGTCTCGTCCCTCTCTATCCTCGTTGTTTTCTCTCTCTCTCTCTCTCTCTCTCTCTCTCTCTCTCTCTCTCTCTATCTATCTCTATCTCTATCTCTCTCTCTCTCTCTCTCTCAGTTTCCAATATTAATAATATTGTTTGATCACGAGGTGAAAATTTTTTATACATCCATCGCCTTTAAAATGACAAAATTTATTTATTTATTACGACTATACCCAATAAAATGTCGCGATGAAACAATAGATTAAATAAACTAGACGACGTTTTTCTCGACTCAATTATTCATGGGTTGTTAATTAATAGAGTTGTTTAACCTGTCACTGTACATACAATATTAATCAACCGTGACATTTGACAATTGACGATTACGTTTGCACGATTGCAGTCAAGAATGCATAACACCTCTATGATTATTAATTTATGATTTTATGTTTTTTTATTGCAAAATAATATTGTTTATAAACAGAATGGCGAATAATAGAAAATTCTCTGACATGTATGATAAAATGAATAAAAAAAAAAGATTGAATAAAAATTGAATAAAAATATGCCATAATGTTTATTTAAACAATTTTTTTCACCAAGTATGTATATTTTAAACTTAAACACTTATTCTTGAATATATGTTGATCAATATATGTAAATTTTATATTTATAATATGAATTTATTTTCAAATTTTATGCATATATTAATTAAATATTTGTCATTAGTCAAAATTTTATGAATGTAATGTTTTAATGAAAATGTTAAGAAAATTATTTCAATTAGTTTTCATAAATCACTGAATCAGCAGTATAAAATACTTTTTGATTTTTACAAACCATGTATATGCGCAAAAAACTGAATATATAAATATTTATACTAGAAATGTGTATATAATAAAAATAATGCTGTTAATAATATTCGAGAATAATATTAAATTATGAAAACCGTTTGCAAATGAAATATGTGATATTGTAAATTTTTCGAATTTATATCGTTTCATTGTAATTGTTGCTCAAATATCTTTTCTACACACACACACACATACACACACATATGTGTGTGTGTGTGTGTGTGTAGAGAGAGAGAGAGAGAGAGAGAGAGAGAGAGAGAGATACCCGATTATTTGCATATCCATCATTATAATGTAGAATTATAATTTAATATTATATAGGACATAGAAAATGTCTTTAGTCTCTACAAATTTAAACATTTTTATATTCAATTTAATTATCTATTTTACTTTTATCTTTACTTTCAGAAGCAACTATAAACTTATGATAAAAATTTATAATACAAAAAATTGCTACGTTATACTTCTACTGCAATAAATTTATTAACTTTAATGCTATTTGTTTATTGGAAGAATTTTTTCGTACATATTTCTTATACTTTGGTAAAATGCACTAATGACACTTTAATAAAATTGGAATTGCATACTTAAAAACGTCTTATCTATATAATTTTGACTACGAATTAACTAACGTATAAACAAATATTTTACTTTTAGAAATTATGAAAGTCGAACTTGGCACTGAATTTAGCTTTGCCGTATAATTTTAGAATTAAATTATTTACGGTTTATCAATATAAAGGCATTTTTATAAATTAATTATTTTATCGCAATTAAGCAAAAGTTGATTATTCTTAACAAATCATTGACAATAAAAGATACAATTTACACTGTAATATATAAATTCGTAATAATTATTTTTAAAACAAAATTTTTATGTATTTTTTCAAAGTATTATGAGAGAATTATTTAACGTTAAATTAATTTTGTAACAAAATAATTTTTTATTGTGAGCCAGATTATTTACAATCTACACTTCCTTTGGCCTATCATTATAATGATACAAAGATCGATAAAACTAATGTCAAATCGATCATCAATATCATAATTGTCGCTTTTATTGGCTGACTAAAATTAAACAAAACATTTAAATTACTATACACTGTAGAAAAAAAGGTAGTTGTTTATTGCGATTAAATAAATTGTTATTAAAGAATCTATTTTAAAGACGTTGAAGGTTCCATAATTTTATAGTTTATTTCATAGTTAGAAATTTTATAATTTTGACCTACATATTAAAGCAAAGTGGTGTTAAATAATTTTACTTCGAAAATTGCATTAAGAATTATTCATATAAAATGTTATATTGTCGAATATTAATATTTAATGAAAAATTTATAGGCTTTATAGACATATATAATATAATTTTTACAAAATTCTTATTGACCTACACAATAAACAATTTATTATAATGTGTTTTTATAAGTGACCTATTAATAATTTCAATAATTCATTAATAAATGCAGATTATGTTAAACTGCACTGTGATTAATTGGAACCAAAAAACTTATATTCCTTTACGTAACATTTACAAATTGTTATTAATAAAATTTTCTTTTTAATTCAGTTTAAGTAAGAATTGTGTATAAATGTTATGTAAATAAGTTTCGATATAAATTGGAAATAAATTACTTGTAATGTTATTTATGTTTAGTTTAATATACATATATATGTCATTTGACTTATAAGTGGAGATAAATTTATTGTAGTAAAGTTACAGTAGTAAGTATATTTTACGGTGCATCACGAGAAAATTTATTGCGTTGTCGGTAATATTGTTTAATGTGACACGATGTTCACTTTTCACCATTCGCACTGTACGTTCGCCTTGAATTTTCAATAATAACCTTTGTGAAATAAAATTTTACGTACGCTTAAATATATTTGCCCTTATCAATAATCGAATTTAAATTAACCCTATTTACGAATCTGAATAATAGGAGTGAATTTATTTAATTGTTGCTATATCGTTAGAATACCTACAAATTTTCTCTGATATAAAATTACAAATGTGCGAAAGAGAATGAGGATCGTAACTAAACTATCATGACATTTGCCCGCCTATATATTTTATATACTTGTATAGAGCAATTAAATTTTAACATTTCAACGCTAAAATGTTCTCCTAATGATTAAATTACAATGATATTATATTATATATATATATATATATATATATAATGTATCTTGATAAATACAATATGTAAACGATCTTCCTCCCTCCCGTTTATATTTGCCCATGTATTTGATGCAAACATACCGTTCTATTTAAAATAAAGGAGTTTTTAAACAACAATGACTAATAACTTTTAACTAGTCATTAAAGTAACATCAGCCTGAACAAAAATAATCGGAAGTGATTTCTTAGATGTTTGCACAGCTCGCTCGAGTATTGACGAGCTCAATTAGTGAAAATAAATAGACGACGGTCAATGGGCAGACTTTTCAGATTTTTCATTAAAATATTATAAAAGACTCGGAGACAAGTGAGAAGAGTATAACGAGCCAATACAACAAATTGTTGCTAAAAGTTCAACCTCGATGTTGTAGAGTGGACACGATCGTTCAGGACGCTCCAGCAGATTGGGCTCCGTGTCCTCGCTAAGTTCCGAGAGCGGCGCATCATCAACACGAACGAAAGCGACACCTAGCGTCGGCGCATCCGAAAACGGCGAGCTCGATTATAAAAAGCTGTACGAGGAGTCACAGGTGGAGAACGAGCGGCTTCGCGATAAGCTACGCAAAACCGACGAGCAGCTGAAAGAGGCCCAGTCGGCCCAGAACAAATCCACCCTCTCGGAGACGGAGAAGCGCGAGCGCAGGGCGATGGAGAGGAAACTCTCCGAGATGGAGGAGGAGCTCAAGGTAAGCTTTCCACGAATGACCTTCACTTAGACTCTTAGTTGTCTTAATAATGAACTTTTTGGGGTGCTCGGTTTTAACGATGGTACGGCTCGGCTTCATTGGCGCTCGATGGTTTTCTATCCTCTTGGTGTGGCATCTGGAGTACGATTAACATTCTTATGAGATCGAGTCTCGAGTTATGGAGAGTCGATTCACTAACTTATGCTCGAAGCCATCATTTTTATCGCAATTTTTCAGTAGTTCCCGACGGCTTTCCTATTTTCGGTAAAAAGTCGATAGTAGCGTGTTCGGAATATGCATTTGACTCCATATGCTTTTCAGAAGCGTCCTCCTTCTCTTCTAATAATATACAAATGATCTATGCAGTGAAATGAAAAAGCCAAATAAATAAATACATAAATAAATAAAATGTAGCTTTATAAATATTTTCTAGGAAGACTTATTTAATTCAAATATTATAATTTATTCGCCAAATTATAAACCTCTTTACTTTCTTTTATTAATATTAATAAATATTAATTATTTGCAAACAAAACAAAACAAACAAAACAATACAAAAAAAAAAACAAAAAAAAAACAACAACAACAAAATTAAATCAGTCTTCAGGTCAATAACCGACAATTACAACCACTAAATCGTTCAAAAATATAATAAATATAAATAAAATATAAAACTCGTTAACACGAAACTCTATAGTTTCTAGGTACGCCTGAGCTTTATTCATAAATATAAACAGAAATTCCTATAATGTTTATAATTCTATAGATTCTGAAATATAAGACGACGATCTAATGATATTTAAAGTCTTATGAGCTGAGTCATATCATCTTCGATAATTGAGCGCATATATTGTACAAAAATCTTGATTTTAGTTTTATTGATAATTCATTATCATTTAATGGAGTAGCTAAAATTAAATAATGTGACAAAGGAATTAAATTATTGGTATAATATATATATATATATATATATATATTTTTTTTTTTTATTTTTTTTTACTGTATCCATCTGTATTTCTCTCTGTTTCTCTCCCCTCCCCTCCCCCCCCCCCCCCCCCCTCTTTTTTTTTTTTTTTTTTTTTTTTTTTTTTTTTTTTTTTTTTTTTTTTTTTTTTTTTTTTTTTTTTTTAATGCGACATTCCTAAATTAATTTGTAAATTTTCTAATAATTATAATAATATGTCTTTCGTGAATTGTCTTTCAATGAAAATTTCAGTCGCTACGTTTTTTTTTTATTGTTTTTCCCTATTTTAATGAAACAAATATTTTTTTATTCTACATCGATTTTACGATTTAATTCGAATGAATAAATTAATACTATAAATATATTATGATTTATAAAATAGTTATAAATATCTTATCTGCTATTATAATGAAAGATAATGAAATCAGATTTTAGTAATAAACTATATTTATATTTTAAAATATCGTTATCCATAAGTAATAAACTTTCAATTAGACTTTTTTTTATAATCGTACGGAAATTACTGACATTCTACAAAATGTGTGATTTATAAAATAATTAGTACATTCTTTGTTGTGAATCTTATTAAACTGCTTCATTCGCGTGTATCAAACAATATTGCGCAAAATTTGCTTTTCTTATAACAAATTTACCGATTGAGAGAGAAAAATTTTGGGAACGGCTTTAGCGCATCGCTTTCATTTCTTTTATTGCATAATCTATTCTTTTTCAATTAGCCATTACTTTACTCACGTATATTCTATCAAAAATGGTGGGGAAACTTTTTTTTATTTTCTAAAGTAAAAGTTTCCCATATGTACATAAATAGTATATGTATATGTAATAGAATAAAATATTTTACAGTGCTGTGTTATTAAGCTCAGGCCGCAGGTTTTTTCATTTTTCAAATGTATATTTTTATAGCATTAATTATTGATGCCATGATGCATTTGTTTATTAACAAATGATGTACTATTTTTTATTGTTATCTTCCTAACATTATAAAAGAGTCTTCTATGTTATATTAAAATGTGATAACTCAAGATCTTCAAATCTATCATTCTTTTAATTTACAAGATATTAAATGCAATTCAACATTAAAATAATTTAAAAATTTCAAATTAAATTTTTTCTTAAGATAAAAAGTAATTATTTGTGAAACAATGTATTCATAAGTTATTGTTAGTACCATTGTTTTTACAATTCAACAGAAACCTTACACTGACAAGCATAAAATAATTACGATTTTTTAAATAAATAAAGTTATCATTCCGTTAAAGAATATTGATTAAATATCTATCCATTAAGAAGGTTGTTTTTGTTTATATACAATTTTCAATGTTTAATAAAGTGTTTTTTTTTTATAATTCATCGGGCATAATACAATTAACGTAATGTCATTGTGTTCTCTATCTATGTTGTATGTATTTTCTCATAATTATCATAATTAAAAATCATGATATTCTGAAAAGAACACAACTTGAAAGTAATATTGTAAATTCTTAATCATTTATATTAATTATGATTATTTTACATAATATTTTACACAATTCATACTGGCGAATGACTATAAGCTACTTTTTGCCTTGATAAATATTTTAATTTTAATGCCATAGATTCTTAATATTGGAGTGTTATTCTTTTTTTTTTTTTTTTTTTTTTCTTTTTCTTTTCTTTTTTTTTTGTAACGCAGGAATTGTAAAATGATCGTTTCAAGTTTTAAAAGTCGTAGTTCATTTTAATTGGTTATAGTATTAATTAATGTAAATGAAAAAAATCCCACGTAGGATTCGTTAACTTTTATATTTAAGAAGACTTCGGAATTGTGAGGAACCTGGGGTATTCTGGGCTAACTATTTAACTGTTTACAGCAATTACAAAAGCTCAAAGCTGAAAATGAGAGATTGAAAGCCGAAAATCGGGCTCTTACCCGCGTGGTATCCAAACTCACCAATACTGCTAAATAGGTAAAGGATAAAAGATAACGACAAAGCATATCTGCGTTTAACAAATTGTTCCGTTGTATCTTACGTACAATAATTAATTACCATTGTTTCTTTACTTTAATTTTTCTGATTTTAATTTAATCATCTTATTTCTACTACTTGTTTTACTTATCTGTTTCTTCATCTCTTTCTTTCTTTTTAACATTTTTTTTAGACTGCAATAATTAAATTTTTTTTTTTTTTTTTGCTACACTCACTATCACAGCACTAAGCTTCTTCGTAAAAACTTATTCGAGTTCGAGATTTTTATTTGCTCAAAGTTCTTGTAATCTTAATCGCCAACCGAATATAAGAATTAAATTATCCAACTAAACAACACTTATCAGCGATTTATCTTTAATATATTCAATGTGGCTATTCTTAAATTTATACGATTATTTAAACAATTAATAAGAGATTTATTGCCACATTGAATTTATCAATAAGATCATCCCGCATTTGTGCAAATTCTTGTTAATACTTCAACATATCATCCAATAGCAGTGAGATATGCGGAAAAATGCGAATAGATGCATGAAGAAAAATTGTTAGATATTTTGCACACTTTATGGAATAAAAAATGTGATATTAGGTGATTATGTGATTAGAAAGAGCATGAATTAATTATATGTAACATTTATTTAGTGAAATGTGTATTTGACGTAAAAAATGTTTTCACACTATTAGTTAGTAAATCAAAATATATTTTGATCTATTTTGGTATCATCATCATCATACTAATATAGCAATAACAAAGATTTCGATTACCCTTCTTATGCATAAATCCTCTTAGACGTTTATATTAAAAAAAAAAAAAAAAAAAAAAAAAAAAAAATAATAATAATAATAATAATAATAATAATAATAAAAGTTTTTTTATATTAACGATTAATAATGTCATTTAAAGCTAATAGTCTTATAATTTTTTTATTTTGATTAATGATAGTATTATTATCTAAGAATTGATGCAGTCATCCCTTAAAATTCACTATTTTAATATAAAAATTATAAACAATAATCTGCTGTATTATATCGTTATTATTTATATAGATAATACCTGTGTTTTTATTACAAAACGCTGAAAATAAAAAAAGCAGAATTTTTAAATATAACATCAGGCATAATTAATTGTACATATATTATAAATTAAACATTTTAAATTACCTAATAGTGTTTTTAAAGCTCATTAGTAGTAGTATTTTAATTACCAAGACCTTTCAATAATTTATTATAAGATTTTTATCATTCAAAGGTTAATTATTTTTTAATTATTGTAATATGTAGGATACAATGTGTACTTGCACGAGCAATAAATTAATTATATATATGATTAATGTATGGAATAAACATTTTAAGCAATCAGCTTAATGTATCTAGGCGCTATTATATAATAAGTGAGCTAACCATGACTGCGCTATTTATTTCAAAATGATTTACAGTAACTTTTCAACATAATCTTGGCCTCGATAAGTTAAAAAGACATACTATATAGCTTTATAGTACGCAAACTTCTGCACGACTAATAATAAATTACATAAGCACTCACTCGTGACCTCGTATTATAAAAAAAAAAAAAAAAGCCAGGCTATTGGTCAATAATTTATAATTGCTCAAACTTGATACTCGCAAGAGCCGTTTAGGGAAAAGCTATATGTGAACAAATTCAGCTGTATACTTAGTTTTTTGTGGCCTTTTACATATCGCAACATTAACCCAAGCCTAAATCGTTTGACGTGTTTTCCTTTTCAATCTGTCCTTTACTTAAAAAATCACTTGATAAACCTAAAGCTGCATGAATCATTAAAGACTAGTCCTGCAGCGTGTGCCTTATTCGTCCTTTGCAATATTTACGTACGTACGTACGTACATGGACGCATGGACACCTATGCACGCGCACTCACGCATAAACATGCGAACAAACGCGCGCGCACATACCAATAAATGTATGTATAGAGTTACGTACCTTTTTACAAGCTTCACTTGATGGCACGAGGATAGCCTTCTAAATATAGCCATGTAATCATTATTATCATTAAAAACAACTTTCACTTATTTTTTTGTTTTTGTTTTTGTTCTCTCTCTCTCTCTCTCTCTCTCTCTCTCTCTCTCTCTCTCTCTCAGCATATATACAGTATTAGTTTGAACGTAAACACATAAGCATTCATTTATTTAAGCACGTTTTCAAAATGTGCTTATTTAATCACTTGAACGAGCACTCGATACTTTATTTTGCTATTAATTTTAATCGAAATAATTAATCGAAATATAATATGTAATTAAGATACGTAGTTTCAAATTCATTAGTCTTGATAATGCCATTTTGTGATATTAGCCTCGAGAACGAATTTTCTAATAATTAATTCAATTATAGTGTAAAAAATTAAATACTAATCAGTATGTATTAATTTGTATTAAATTGGCAATAAATAAACTAATGTTAATTATATTTTAATTAAAATAAATATTTTAATTTAGTAGTGTATATGACAAGATTAAATGAAGATTATATTGAAAATAAAAAAACAAAAAACAAAACAAAACAAAAAAAAAACAATAAACAATCATTAATTATTTTTTTATTATATAAATATAAATGTTAGAGTTCATAATATTTTGCACGCATTACCAGTATATCAAAAATACAAAATTAATAAAGCAAATTTATCAAATGCGTTATCATAATCTATTGGTTGTGCTTAATTGCATAACCGTAACAAAACAAAACAAAACAAACAAAAAAAAAAAAAAAAAAAAACTGTTTAAAATTCAGTTTTATCGAACCTGTCATTGCTATATTTCATATGTATCATTGATATACTTCACCGTCATATTGTTTAAACAAATCACAGTACCTATTACTGCAAAATCTAGCATCTATAAATAATAGGAATTGGATGAGAGTGAGTTGTTAAATTAAATATTTTGTAGATTTTTTTGTTTTAGATTTCTTCTTAATTGTATAATGTTAATAATGTTTCGCGTTTTATTTCAAGTAGTTTAATTTTAAGATTAAATTAACAATACAGATGAGATTCAAATAATTTTTCCCATAAAATGTATTATTAAATTTTTCGTCTATTGAAAAATGAAAGATAATGTTAAATATTATTAATATTCAATTTCATCGTTTTTATAACTTATAATTGTAAAACATAAATGATTAAATTTTTCTTTGAAAAATGAAAAATCACGGTAGGAAAATCATATTTAAATACATGATTTTATATTTATTATAATTAAGTAGAATAATTAAATATATTAAATATTATATTAATGTAAATAAATTAAAGCAATTTGTATTAATTCAATTTTCATTATTTATTAAAATACATAATCTATTTATAAAAATGAAATGATTGTTGTAATCAATTTTTGTAATGAAAATTAAGACAAATATAAGATTCTATTGTATTTAAGTTCATAATAATTCAATGTCCATAACATAATAACTACTTAATAATCAATTTTTATAATTTTTGTTAATATTAATTAACTATCTATATAAAAAAAAAAATATAAAAAAAAACATGTTTTAAATAAACCTTACTTACCATTCTTTTTTGTAATAATAATGTATGTATAATAATGTTCGTATAACATTTTTTCGTAATATCTATTAAAGTTGTAGAAAAAGAGCAAAGTTCATTTATTTAATAGCTCACTTTACTCCAACAATCGTTCACATATTCATTTTCATTTAATATTATTCCATACAACTGTTTTTCTTATATTTTATACATAAAAAGAGTTTCAGAATTAGCATTTAGAAGAAATTCACAATGATCTTTAATTAATATCTTTTGTTGAAATTTTGAAAACATTGAATAATTTGAAAAATATTATGGAATGCATATGACAAACTATTAAGTGCTTTTTAATTTCCCTTTATATTTGCTTTGAAATTGCAAAATTCTCCTTAACATGTCATGAATTCTTAATTAATAATTGATTATGCTAATATAATAATATAAATACTTTTGAGAATTAATATATTTGGCAGACAATTCCAATGGTCTTTGTTATTAAAATATACACGATCCATATTGTTTTAATATCGATGCTTCATACTTTATGTCTGCGTTTTGAAAATGTGTCTTTGGCAATATGTATATTAAAAAAAAAAAAAAAAAAAAAAAAACTATTACACGAGATTGATTTTTACTTTAATTTACTTTGAATTTAATATATCACTTTAGGATTCATCCTGATCACGTTATTGTCATTGTTTTCATTGTGTACATATATTTATTGTGAATTATTTAACCTGAATAATTAGTTTGAACACCAAATGAATATTTAATTTTTTTATTTTCTTTTATTCAACATCATAATAAAAGCTACTCTCTTTTGATCTCTTTTTCAGATAATGGAAACGCTCAAGTGCGAAAACCAGAGGCTAAAGGACGAAAACGGTGCCTTGATTCGAGTTATCAGCAAATTGTCGAAATGAGTGTCGAAAATAAACTTCTGAATTGTTGTAATAAAATGGCCTTTTGCCGTTTTATCAGCTAAATGGTAGTCGAAAGAAAAAACAGAAGACAATGAATCAAATAGAGAACTGCGAATACTGATTCTCTCGACTGTTTTAATCCGAATTGTATTTTCAATTGCGAAGGAACATTGTGAAGAGATAGAGAGATAGATAGATAGATAGATAGATAGATAGATAGATAGATAGATAGATAGATAGATAGATAGATAGATAGATAGATAGATAGATAGATAGATAGATAGATAGATAGATAGATAGATAGATAGATAGATAGATAGATAGATAGAGAGAGAGAGAGATAGAGAGAGAGAGAGAGAGAGAGAGAGAGAGAAAGAAAGAGAGAGAGAGAGAAGCAGATAAATATTAGCACTTTTTTAACATTAACAATACGTTATTATTCGCGTTAACAATAATTTACGTCTTTATTGCAAATGGATTGATCTTTTTGTGTTTAGTAATTTAATTTATTCAATAAATGGGGAAAAATCAGTTGCTCTTGTGGCTGTGCCAGACGAAGAAGAGAAAAATGAGTGAGAAGCAATGCGCCGAAACGCTTTATTGATTGTCAATTCTTCAGCCTTATAAGAAAGCACCCCGTGATCGACGACATACATTACGTGAGATATTATGTGAAAATCAATTTTAACCAAGTAATATAATCGTTACGCTACTGATAAATCACTTATACTTTTACATTAAAGTGAATCCTAAATAAAATTCTCAGATTTATAATTCATTCTTGTAATACTTTTACGATATAACGAATTTAAATAATATAAGATACTCTTCGTTTCAGCTACTTCAAAGCAGTAATATATTCATACGAATATGTACATAAATATTAATTAATACTTAATTATTCAGCGATACATCATACTGTTTAATAGGTTAAGAATGAATTTCACATATCCTTGAGTGTATATACAATTGTGATTTTCAGAATTTTTAAAGGATTTTTTAAAAACTTTCAAATGTACAAAATTTCTTCTTTATTTTTTTTTTTTTTTTTTTTTATAAAATTACGTATTTCCATAATATAACAATTACTGTGCAGTTGCGATTATCTATGTTTTGCCAAATCAGCTTTTGCTAAACTAATTGAAATAATCATAAATTAATAAATTATTTTATCATTTTAAAGAGAAGTTTATATATTCGTGTTATAATAATTGTTTAAATTGTGTATCAGAATTATCCGAGTGATTATCTAAACTGTTAATTAATAAAATTGTTCTGATAGGAAAGCTTTTGAAAGGTTAAGTAGACGACGTGGTTTTTTTAACATAAATTTTGCAAAATGCATTTTTTACTTAATTACTTTTAAAAAATGTAAAATAATAAAAAATGTGCAAAAATTGTATGTATTATAAATTTAATACAATCATTTTGTTTAATATGTATAAGATGTTCGAAAATCACGTGTGTGTCATTTCACTTTCACGATCCATGTAATTTCGTCATGTAAAAAGAAACAAGAAGAAATCGACAATATTACAGGTTTAAGCTTAATATGAGTGGCGCTATAGCCGCAAGACGTGTATATGTTATAATTATTTTCGGTGATTGTTTCTTTTTTTTTTTTTTTTTTTTTTTTTTTCCTGACTGCTCTCGTATAAGACGTTTGACGACACGCTTTTGTCGTTCGTTTATTATCTTGTACAGCACAACCCATATTATTATAAAACGTGTACCGAAGGAATTTGCGAAAATATGAAAAAATACAATAATAATATTACTAATAAGAATAATAAAATCCGCTTTGAGCGCGATCGACTATTGCAATATCATATTTTGCGTCTTTATAATACTGAGTATTACTCAGTGGGAAGTTATAAAAATTAAAAATTATGTTTTATATAAAATCGTATTATTATTATTATTATTATTATTGGAATGTAATAGCGAGCTCAAAACATTCATGTTTTGCATTATTATTATACAATTTAGAAAGAGAGAAAAAAAAAGGTGAAACGAAAAGTAAAATGAAAATGAATCCCTTCTTTTTTTCTTCTTTTTTTTTTTTTTTTTTTTTTTTTTTTCGTTAATGGGGATTATCGAAACGATCGAGCAAATTGTACATTATTTCTCTAATGATTAAGTAATGAAAACAATAATAAATAGATATCTTCGTTTCATTCAACATGAAGAGCGTAATAGTAAAATTGCAAAGTGTGGCCTTTCTCCAAAAAGACTGCTGTTTAATATCAGATGTTATTATTGCAATCTCGTGATCATCCTCTATTGATTAAAATTTTCATAGTTCGTGAAGGACAGAAATATATATATATATATATATTATCGAAAGCAATTTTAATTTAACGCACGTAATATGTAAGTTGGTAATTATAAATGACATTTCAATATTATTTATTTTCTGATAAATCACTGATCAATTAGTCATTAATCTTATTTTAATTTAAGGCGAAATAACATGGAATTCATAAAATAAATATGTAAAATAAAATAATTCGGTAATATTTTTGAAATACGCTTTTAATTCATTGATTTGATTATTTTATAATAATTTGTCTTATTTTAAAAACCGATGACTCGTTTTTAACAGAAAATTAAAATCAGCAATTAAAAATACGATGATTTATATGGCTTTCATTTTTTGTCTTTCAATTACCGATCACGAGTTTTTCACACTTTTTCTAAAGTAAAGGAAAATAACGAATTGCTCTACTACCTTTGTCTAAGATTTATACATAAGCTGCTTCCAAGAAGTATTTTACAGAGGACATTGTATCGATTATCGTACATTGTTTTCTAATGTGATTTTGCATATATATATACACATATATAAATTTTTTTTTTTTTTAAATATCCGCTAATTTTGAAACTACAATAAGCACTTTTGTGCAAAAATCGCTCGCGCAATTGTTTTTGTATAACATCATACGCAATTGCGAAGATATCGTATGATCCACTACTGATATACAGTTCAGGTTTTCTAAAATAATATTGTTGTATGCAATTGTATGAAAAATTATACGAGCCTAGCTGTTTCGTGAGGAAAGAAAGTTTGTCAAAAAAATAAGGTGAATTAAGCGTAACAATTTCGTAGATTAGCACTTTTATTGCATTGTATAATAGTGATATATATGTGCTTATTGTATTATATAGTTTAAAAATAGCGATCGGGCGAATTGTGTACGAAAGGACATTTGTTATGGTTCTCGCGGGTCGATTTTAATCAAACGCTCGCAAGACACTTATTTTACCGCGATCACAATTGTATTTGTTCAATTTTGTTGTGTTAATTTTTATTTGCTGAATCGGGTAAAATAAAAGGATCGTGCGAATATTTGCTTAAATGGTTTATTTTATTTTATTTTTAATTTTGAAGAGAAAATGAAAATAATGACTTGTCAAGCCAAACAAACAAACAAACAAACAAACACACTCGCACACTTTCACGTATATTACTTTGATTGATATACGTGCTAATTTTCGTTTCCCTTTCGATATCTTATGTCACTTAAGCCAAATACGAGGCATTTATTATCAATACTAATTGCAAAGTATTTAATGCAAAACAAAGAAAAAGGAAAAATCGGCTTTTTACATTCGATTAAGATTGAAGTCCGCCAAGTGACATGGTATTAAAGAAAATAAAAAAATATATTACATTATACATTGACGTATAAGTTTTAACAAGCGTGAAAAATATTTTTGGACAAAATGTCGGTATCTGATGCTTGATACGTGTTCTATTCATCAATTATGATAATAAAGATCATACACACCTTTATGCACGCACACAAAAATACACGTACTACTACGGCAATTGCGAGCAATAGCATTAAAACTACACTGGGGGACTGAGAGCTCTAGTCTCCGATTCATTGTATGACAAATATTTATTTCCTACTCCATTTTGTACTTGTAACTATGAACGATAATGCAATTAAAAAAAAAAAAAAAAATTTTTTTTGAACATGTATCTTATATTTTCAATGATTTTGCCAATGACCATTAGTAATTTTTTACACAAAACATTAAAAACAGTTGTGGTAAATTTTTATCAACATTAAATTGGAATATGTACTGCTCCGTGTTTGCGTTTAATTTCGTAAATGAATAAGCCTATATATTTATTTTAATATTTCATTCATGATTAATTGAAATATCGAACAATCTACCTTAAAATTCTCTTTTTTCTGTTTAAACAGCAATAACTAATTTCACGGAAAACAAATTGTTTACTTTATTGATATTAAAGCATTATTAAAGCATTCGCTTTGACTCGTAAGTCATATTTTATCTATTCAATTATTCATAATCAATGGCAGTTAAATTAATTAATATTAACATTCGAAAATCTTTTTATTTATAATATCTATGTTTATTATTTTAACAGTTCGTTTAATATTTGTACAACTTGTGACATATTTGCTCTTTCGTTTGTTGACTCTTTGATTTGACGGACAAAATACTTAAATATCTGTTTTTTTCCACCTTTATATTGTTTCACCTGACGTGGATATTTATTAAGAATATCTTGACAAATTTTTCGCAATTCATCATCGTTATTAATTTGAATCCAGTTATTCCTTTCGATAATCTACGGTTTAAACACACACGACACTTTAATTCTTTTCTTTATTTCTTTTTAAATTAATAAATTACAAGATACATGAAAGGAAGGATTACCTGGCTAGGAAACATAGTTTGGTCCTTTAAAATTTCCATTAATACATTGTCAATTGTCAATAATGTAATTTTCTCTGATTGTAAAAGATCGATCAATTCACAAAGATGATCCTTTATTGTGAAGCTGAAATTGAATCGCTCGAAATACATAATATTAACAAAATAACAATTATTCATTGAATTAATTGAAACCTACCAATAAGCTAAATCCAACTTATTTTTATAAATAAATGTTAGAGTTTGGTATACTAAGATTTTGGCAACAATATTTGGTGACCTTTTCCCATTGTTTTTAATAATGTAGAAAAATAATTGCAAGAGCTCCGGAAAGTTCTGCGACATACGAAAAGACAAATTAAATGAAATTATCTATCTATGCTCTAACGATGTACTCACCACCAAAACAATTATCAATGACTTGGATATATTAAATTCAATTTTCAGTTTATCACGTGTTTCTTGAGGCATCTCTGGTATTTGATTTTTTAATGCCACAGCATCGATTAAATTATACTTATTTTCAGAAGTCTCATCGGTATGAATGTGCAAAGGTGGTAGATTTGGTTCTGGCATGAAACGATAATCCTATCGATTCCAAATAAAAATATAATAAAAGCGAAATTATATTCCTTGAACTGAACTAAATACAGATTAAATTTAATACTAATATCAATCATTTATATTCACTTTACATCAAAAACCATGCATTTCTAATATTAATTCATGCACAAATTCTATTAAATTAAAAAAAATCTATAATAAAATATTACAATTATAATCGTAATAATAGTTATTATTTGGAATAATCATTTTTAATACAAAGACTAAATCTATTTAAATGTATATTTTTCTGTTCACCTGATAACTTTCTTTACCCCTCAAAAAAATTGTTTTACCAGAGCATTCATCCCAGTCTCGTGTCTCATTAACCACCACACCTCCACTATTACGTATGCTAATTTGTCTTTGGATTTCGTATTTAATAGCTGCGGCAACAGATCGTACACTTCCAATATTTTTCACTTCTGTCCGAACCCCTAACGCTTCATTACATTTATTAATGGATATATTAGCGTCCACTCTTAATGCCCCCTCTGCATTACATACACATTAACTTTACATTTACGAAAGATTTATTTTCAATTTAAAACAATATATAATAAATCTACCAGCCATTTTACACGAGCATGTGTCGAGTCTTTGTAAAATAAGCATAAGTTCTTTAACGAGTGCTGCTGCTTCCTCGCCATCATTCAGCGTTGGTTCAAACACAAATTCCATTAATGGGTTTCCAGCCCTGTTCAAATCTATTAGATTTCTGAAAAAAAAAGAAAGAAAAAAAAAAAAAAAAACATAATTATTAGTTTTAATTAGTTTTCATAATTCATAGAATATTAAAAATTGGAAGCTAATCGTAAGAAAATTGTAGTTTCTCAAATTTGTAATCGCACTTTTCTTTATCAACGTTTTGTAAAAATTATATAGTATAAGTAGCATAAAAACCTTTAACTTAAAGCAAAAATAAGGTCAATTGTCAATTTTCATTAATAATTTTATTTTACAATGATTCGCAAACAATTCATTAAGAATGTAACAAGTTGAAAGTACTTTCTATTCCTATAATGTAAGTGATGTCAAAATTAATGAAATTATTACTTTTGATTTAAGAAACTTTAAAATAAGATTCGTTCAAAAACAATAGAAATATTAATGTAACGAATACTATAAACAAGAAATTTATTAAAAAAAAAAATGTAATAAACATAATTTGAAAAGATGTTTGTCCAAAATATTACAACTTCATGTTAAATCAACTTTACTAAGTTTTACATTTATAACTTAATAGACAAAAAATAATTGAAACAATAAGATATCAGATAAAAAATTATTTGATGTTAATTGTGTGATTAAATATTTTCTATTATTATTAATTTTATAATTCTACGGTCGATTTGTATTACACTTTCATATAAAGTATTACTTAAATGATTCGTCTCATATAATACAAAAATTTAAATGAATATCGATAAATTCTTATTAATTGCAACAACAAAAAATGTATAGATACTGTATAAATTTTGTGGAAACAAATTTTCATAAAATTAAATTCATTTGTCATTGTTGATATGTCAAAAATCTTACTTTCTTAAATAATCATCGTGTATTGTTTTTCCACTGTCTTGCTCTATCTGTATTTGCTTCAACTTACATGATTTGAAATAAGGTTCTTTATGAATTCCAGGAGTAAATACGTGAAAATTTATTTTTCCATCTACAGCAATTGGTTGGCGCTGTTGAGTAATTTGATAACCAGCCTGTTTGCAATAATAAATATTATTAGTTTGAAAAAGATAGTCATTTTATACATTACTATATTAAAATATTAACATTAATGCTATTCAACTGTTTTATATTTTATAAAATGCTGCTCTAGTCTCATTATGGACTGTATTATAATTTAATGAATAAATTAAAATACAAAATACAAAATAAAAAACGAATAGGCTTCTATATTTTCTATTAGAATGCAGTGAAGTACGACGTAAATCTCATTTTACAATTTACTTTGTAAATATTTACATGATTCATTATGTTTAAATTTGAAGGGTAATAAATGATAATAAGGAGCCATAAAAAAAAAAAAATTATAAAATTGAAAGATTTTATTATTAGCTTAAATATTAATAGTAGCTTATAATAGGAATACTAATTTATTAATCAATCAATTAATTTGTATTCTATCGGACTAGAAAAGAATACATGCGCTACGTGATTAGTAAATTAAGAATGTACATTGTAAATATTGTTCATAAAAGTACTTACAGGTAAATCAGCGTAGAAGTAATGTTTTCTATCAAAGAGCGAAATTTCATTAACTTTACAAGATAAGGCGAGCGCTGTAATTACACTAGCTTCCACGCACTTTCTATTTAAAGCCTATAATTAATTTGAAATTTATTGTATTTTTCAAAATGATTGCTTTCAAATAATTGATACCTACTGGCAATGTTCCTGGTGTTGCACAATCGAAGTAGGATACACAAGAATTAACTGGATTTCCAAATTCAGTACTCGATCCAGAAAATAACTTTGAATTTGATGATATTTGAGCATGAATTTCAAGTCCAACCACAGAATGCCATTGTGTTCTTTCAAAAAAAAAAAAAAAAAAAGAAAAGAAAAGAAAATGAAAAACAACAACAACAACAACAACAACAACAAAACAAAATTAAACGTATATAATTAACAATTGTATTTGAAATTTGTTAAAACTATTGTTAAACTAGAAAGATTTTAATGAAAGTAATTATAATATTAATATTCTCCAATAAACTATTAATAAGAAATTTTTATTCAATTTATTGAAATTTCAGATCGAAGCAATTAATCATAAGAAATAAAAAATAATTCGAACGTTATAGCAATGTCTAATGTCCGAAGATTTCCAATTTTTATAAATTAAACTCAACATACAATAATGTCATTATTTGTTATAATTTCATAGGCAGTGTGTAAAATGAAATTAAAACGATTATTTCTATCGATATACAATAAAATCAATATTATTAAAAAATACGCACGACTGCATGAATATATAAATAAACCTATAAAATATAATTATAACCTAGTATGTCTTTTAGTGTAAATAAAACAAGTTCTTACTCTATTTTGTTATTCTCTTTAACTTTATTACAAAAACATCGATTTATCAAAAGGCTATTTTGCTTTAAACTATTATTACTAACATAACAACGGGAAATAGAAAATAGCTTCATACTGAGAGCACAATGAGATTTTTAAATAAAAATCCATCTACCGCTTCATCTTTTACATAATCGTAATTACTGTCCGGTAGCCTTTATAATTTGCCAATATTCGTATCTTGGTGATTTTTTTTAAAAGATTGTTCGACGAGACGTAAGTAATAGCCGCAACATAATAATGATCTTGGAAAATAATAATTTTCGCTCGAGACTGGAGACCCGAAAGCCTTGTAATTTAAGAATAAGAAAATGGTGATCGGCGAAGTGACGAAGTGTTATTAAAAGCATAACCTTAAAGATTAAAGAGAAGGAAAGATAATCAGAGTTGAGATTACGAATAGACGAACAGTCAAGTCGGATTTGTCATTCGATTGTGATTGAATCGCGTGCCACGCACTTTGTACCTTTTAACGCGTTTCTTTGAATAAATTTATTATTTTTATTGCTTCGAATTGCTGACCAATGTCCCATTGCTGCTTGTTATAAATCATTTCGAGAGCTTTGATAATAAACATACACACTGTTTCTGAAAGGAATACCGAACAGGTTTATTAAATATTTTCATCCTTTTAATCATACAAATGACACGGTCGAATGAATCTCTTAATCTACATACTTAACAGATTATTTAAAAAATTTTATTTCTATAATATAACATTTTTATCTTATATTTTATTTCAATAAACTTTAATTACTATTTTATAACTTGATCTTTTGATAAGCGCATCGTCCTTTTTAGCTTCAACTGCGACGATAACCTATATTGTAAGATATTTTAATTATTTTGTCACAATAAATCTTTGACGACGTTAACGCACTTTTATTAAACATTAGTCCAATAGTATATAAATACAAAAAACTAATTTAATCGTTAATGAAAATTTTACTTTATTTCTCGGTATCTCCGTAATTTTGAAAAAAATTTAAATAATTCGCAATTACAGTTATGTACATACATATATATATATTTCATTTTTATAAAATAATACAAAAATTACATTGTTTAAAATTTATCGTATAACTATTTATTGATACTATACATGCATACATACGTATATATATATATATATATATATATAAATTTTTGTTTAAGAATTATATTTATCTTTATGTTAATTTATCTTATTGTGAAATGTATGAAGAATAAAGTAATAAATATTAATTTTAGCCATTTATTTGCTAAAAATTTTGCGATCGAAACATAATGTAACATTCGAGTGATATTATAATTTTAATGGTATAATAAAATTTTGTCTAACGTCCTTTGTTTTTTAATTTTTCAGAACATTACCAGCTGAATAATTATCAAGTTGGTTACAATTATGGCAAACCACATCTGTCGCTTTACTTGTGAAACAATAATTTTTCGAGCTAAGAAGATGAAGATGGCATTATCAATGTGTATGTTAATTTAAGCTGAACATAATCAATGATTATTGTTTTATGTATTTATACAAGGCCTTGTGATTAGAAATAGCTTTTTTAATAATTAGGACACTATTTAATTTGAGCATTAACGCTAGTTAAAATCATGTTGAGGCTACAGCAAAGTATGTTTTTTCTTAAAATAAGCTCTGCTCTCGGTTATGGTCTATCATCGTTGATGATAACCATTGTAAATAAAACAGTTTTAACATCTTTTGATTTTCCCTCGTTTCAAGTATTGGGTATTGGTCAGATGTTGGCAACAATTTTGGTTCTCTTTATAGCCAAAGCAGTTGGTTACATTGACTTTCCTGGTCTAGAAAAATCAACGTTTCGCAAAATCTGGCCTTTACCACTAATTTATATTTGCAATATGACTTTTGGTCTTGGTGGAACAAAGCAATTAAGTCTTCCAATGTTTACTGTATTGCGCCGATTTAGTATATTAATGACGATGATTGGCGAGTATTATATACTCGGAGTGAAAGCTAAAGCATCTGTACAATTAAGTGTTTATACAATGATTTTGGGAGCTTTGCTAGCCGCTTCCAACGATTTGGCATTCAATTTAGAAGGATACATTTTTATTTTACTCAATGATTTCTTCACTGCCGCTAATGGTGTATACATGAAAAAGAAGTTAGATTCTAACGAATTAGGAAAATATGGTCTTATGTATTATAATTCATTGTTCATGATTGTCCCAGCTTTAGTTATATCTTGGTGGACGGATGATATTGAAAAATCAACCAAATTTCCTCATTGGACAAATACAATGTTTTTGATACAATTTGTAATGTCCTGTTTCTTGGGCTTTGTCTTATCATACAGCGTAATACTTTGTACGTATTACAATTCAGCTCTGACAACCACGATAATTGGTTGTCTAAAAAATATATCTGTGACATACTTAGGAATGTTAATTGGCGGAGATTACATATTCTCCTGGATTAACTTTGTAGGGCTAAATTTAAGTGTAGTTGGTAGCTTAATTTATACTTGGGTTACTTTTCGTAGAAAAGAATCTGCTCAACCGAAACATTCAATTCTATTGGAAGAACAAGATAATAAATTATGCGAGCCATAAATATAATTTGAATTTGCAAAATTGTTTTGAATATGTTTTAGTTATAAATTATGACATTTATATATATATATATATATATTTTTTTTTTTTATTTTTATTAATTTACGGTACATTACTAGTACTAAATAATGTTATTGTAAATAATGTTTTTATAAATGTTATTTTTAATGAAACTTTAAAGGATCAAATATCATACAAATTGTGAATAATAATAATAATAATAATAATAATAATAATAATATATATATATATATATATATATATATATTAAAAGAAAATATGCATAAATAATTATTATTGCAAAATACTTTTTACAGTATGAATAAAACAGAAGATAATAAGGATTACCCATAAGTCTTTTTAAAGAATTAAAAAAGTGAACAAATTTTGAAAAGAATATACTTCAATAATGTACAAACAAAAAAAAAATACACATTTACCTGCTTTTATAAATATATTGTTAATTTTACAAACAATTTATAAGGATATATTATAGTAAAATTATTTATTATCATTAGCCTATTACATGAGTTTAAAAGAAACGAGGTACTAGCGAGTAAGTTCTTCATTTTTTTTATTTATTTTTTTTTTTTTTTTTTTTTAATGTAATTTCCAGTGTGAATTATAAAAATATAGTCAAACATACAATATGGTCGAATTATGACATATCGGATAAAGATTTTTGAACAAATGTAAGTGAGCATCGTTTATGTGATTTTACGAGAGTGTCATAGCGTTTCAGTGTATGGTGATATTACTGCTGTTCAAACTTGACAAATTAGTAGTAAATTTCATCCTTAGGATCATACCAAAGTCGAGTTGCTGTTACCAGGATCATGTGTGCCATAGTACACAGTGACTTAAATGATTTTTTTACTTTATAAATCATTTAATAAATTTTGCATTTTTAAATTATTATAAATTGTAATGATGATCTTTGTGTTCCTAGCGTTTTACGTGTACAAAGAAACGAAAAAGATAATAAATCATATGATAAAAGAATTATGAAGCTATTTCATTATATGAATTCATTATATATCTTATGAATAATTTTCATCATATTTTCGGTGTATTTGTATTTTTAAATTTAGCGATTCTAAAGCAATTTGTTATTTCTATGATTAATTACAATTTAATAAAAAAAAAAAAAAAAAAAAAAAAAAAATTAAATGTATTAATATTTTATTATAGAAAACATTATTGTAGCATAAAGTTGCTTGTAAGGTAAGAAGTTTTATATGACTTACGTCATAAAATTTACTTAAGAATTTTGTTTTATATTTGAAGTTTGATAAATGACGTAGATCGATTATTTAATTAGACTACTATTACGAGATTAAATATTATTCCTTTCAAATTATTTAACGAAAACTTGTGTCTGTTGGTTTTAAAAATAAACTTATCGCCAAAAGGCTGCTATGCATGGAAAATTCATATTATCAAGAAGATATTTTTATTATGAAAATTATCATACAAGTGAGCGCTTATTATTAGAAGAATACTTTTACGTGTACAAATTTTTTTCATTCAATACATTAACTTAAAATCTAAATTAAGATTTATAGAAATTTAGATTTATATATGAATATAAATTATGAAATTTATATAAAACTTTACACTTTCATTTATAAATCTATATAATAATCTTTTAAATTTGATAAACATTTGAAAATATAGAGAATTAAATTAATGTAATTTAACTAGAATAAATTACATTTTATCAAACCTAAATTTTAAGATTTTATTTCTTCAGTAGTTTGTTTGTTTGTTTGTTTGTTTGTTTGTTTGTTTGTTTTTTTTTTTTAATAAATAGAATGAAATTTTGAATTATAGCACTTATTCGAATCTATTTAATTTATTTTCTCTATTACTTTTAACGATAATACTCGATAAAATTTTAATTATTTTGAATAATACGCTGACCAGATATAATATTACAAAATGATGTTGCTTATGTACAAATATGAAAGTGCTTGAATGTACTTTAAAAATTATGGAAGAACTTAATTGATTATGGATTGAAAATAGAATCGTTAATTTTATTCAAATTCTACGTATAAATGGAAATGTTGAAAAATCGAGCTTGTCATATTTTTTTAAAGCTTTTCTTAATCAACGTATGAATTAAAATTCTCACGGGCATAGATGCTTAATTATACATAATGAATGAAAAAAGAAGAAAAAAATTATTGTCACGTAATACGCCCAATTGGAAAGCAATGAAAATTAATTGCATGACACTTTTGACCAACGAAATGTGAAAAAAGTAAGCAACCGTGTGCAATAAAAATTCAAGGCTTTTGCAAATATCTCGTGTAAAGAAAAAAAAAAAAAGTGAAATAAATTGAAGAGAACAGCAGCATTGAGCATCGGTCGCGGCTATTAAAAAGGCCTTGCTCGTTTCAGACTGGCCATCATGCCGGAGGCACTGTTCCCACGAAGCCTTCGTCAAGGACTACGCGATCCACCACGTGAAGCTGTCGGGCCTGCAGCGCGCCCTCCTGACCGCGGGATCCGCGGCCGTCTCCATCCTCGACCCTTTCCGCGGGGACATGATCGCCTGCCTCGGCGAGACCACGGGCGAACGCGCCCTCCGCCACTGCCAGACCAACATCCTCGCTACCGCCGAGGGTAAGCGGATAATAGCCGAGAAGCCGCGTATCAACACGGGGACCCTCGACCTCGAGTACCTCGGGAGCCTGCCCGAGGACAGCCTCGGCAAGACCTACTGGAAATTTCTCGAGGCCAATGTAAGGAGGAGGTTGTGGCGTTGCGCGCGCTTTACGTCGGCGACGGTAACTTGGGACCGCTTGCCATCGTTTCTATTTGTCATTTAATAAACAACATTTACTGGCGTGTACGCGTAAGCACCACCTACTGACGCAATATTACCACGCTTTCGGGCATTTGAGGGGCACGATTGGCTTGATTTAGCTGAGCGCCGACGTCGTGCACGCGGAGCTTGGAAGCCTCGGTTAATATAATTGGCTAAGGTTGTTATTATTTCGCGAGGCGATACTTAAATGTAAATGTAAACGTTGGATCGGCAGAAGGTGTCGCCGAACGACAGGTCGCCGGTGCAGTTCGTCGATAACGTGGAGTTGGCGTACGTGATGCAGAGATATCGAGAGGTGCACGACATATTTCACGCGGCGCTGATGATGCCGACGACGATGCTCGGCGAGGTAACCGTCAAGTGGATCGAGGCGCTCCAGCTGCGACTGCCGATGTGCATTGCCGGGGCGATCTTCGGCTCCGGGAGACTCAAACCCAAGTAAGGCCAAATTTATAGCCCCCCCCCCATCACCACCATCCCCCATCCCCCCCCCCCCCCCCCCCCCCCCCCCCCCCCCCCCCCCCCCCCCCCCCCCCTCCACAACCCCCCCCCCGCCGTCAATGTTGAGATACTCGGGACTTTTCGAGCCTGAGGACAATTTACGAAAGGTAATATTTTGCATTTTCAGTGCTTTAAAGATTATTAATTTCCTCTCGTCGATTACTCTATTCAATTATATCTATCCTATTGGCAATATGCTCGCTGATTGATTTATGAATCGTTTTACAATGCAGGCAACGGCAACTATACTTGAAGTATCATTTGCCCTGGGCTGTGCAGACCGGCAAAAGCGCAAAATTCCTTCTGGCGGTGTATTTTGAAGAACGATGGGAGCAGCCACTGACAGACTTTCATAATGAAATGAATATTGTTCGGCTTGTTTAAAAGCTTCGACGAATAGCCTTCGCAATCTCATATGACAAGTAAAATATTTTGTAATATAGAAGAAACATAAATTTATTAGTCTGTAATTGGTGAATTAGCATTTATTATGTAAATAAATTAGAAATATTTAAATTATACGAAATTTCTTACAAATTGCTTAACTTCTAATTAATTACAAACATCTCTTTTAATTCAACAAACGAAAGTGTGCGGTAATATTACTCTTGTTACTATTCAGCGATTAAAAACTGTTTGACAGATAAATAATTTATGAATCGTTATAAATTCAAATGGGCGATTTCAATAATTGACCGCATACGATACGAAATCTATGAGGAAAGGCTTTCTATGTGCCATTTTCCTCGCACATTCATCCTCGTTTTCACATATAAATATTAATTATATTCTCTTGAAAAAAAAAATATATATATAAAAAAAATATATATATATATATATATATATATATATATATATAGTAAACTTCTTCAATGAATGTCTTCTTACGAGTCGTGTAATCTACGCCAACATACACATATACAATATATAATAGACATTACATTTTTATTCTTTTCAATGACTATATAGGTGAATGCCAATTATTAGTTCAGTAAAAGATTCATTACGAAACAAAAGATATTTATATAATAATTCGATTATAAATTCAATATCAATAGACAAACTATACATAATTTAAAGTAATCTTAATTTGCCAAACCTTGAATTATACAATTACTAAACGGATACGAAGAAATGTTGATATTTCGTGATATTGTGTTAGAAAATTATTAAATAAACATGCACGCGCTTAGCAAAAAAAAAAAAAAAAAAAAAAAAAAACATAAAAAAAAATAATTATCGATCGACCATCTCACGTTAATTCATTTATCCAAATTATTTTGTTGTAAAAAGAAAGTGAAAAATCTATTAGAAAAAAAAAATATACGCAATTTATTTATTTTGGTACTACTTGACAATGAATATAGTTTAATAAAAGTCGATTGATTAATATTGAAATATTAATTATTTAAGCAAAATTATCATTTTATATCGCATGAATGATCGTAATTTAGAAAATTATCTCATAACCTGAAACTTCGATAAAAGTTTAATTCACATATCTTTTTTTTTTAAAGTTTTCAACTTTTAAACGCTTATCTTTAATGTGTGTGTGTGTGTGTGTGTGTGTGTGCGCGCGTTTGAAATTTTACTTACATACATAAATCAAGAAAGTTTTAAAATAAAAAAAAACATAATTTTCGATATCCTTTCATCGCTTTATGTATTTTTAAAATATCAAGTTTTTCTCCTCTTTTTTTTCTTTTATGTTTTGCTCGTAACTTAAGTTTTATTATGAAAACGGGAGCGTTAATTGTACTTTTTGTCATAAAAAAAAATTGAAGAGATGCCGAGGTGACGGAAAGTAGGATTAATATTATTTCGAGGGATTACTTGTATCGCACCCCGATCCATGAAGAAGTCCTGACAGCTATTGTTATCCTAGTTTTACAAGCATTAGAATACAATAGGATAATCGTCCTATCGCCCGCTATTCCGGACGTTTCAACTACTACTAACGATTCATAAAATAAAAGACGATTTGCCAATGTGCTTTATTCGCTGTCTTATTCTTCGAACGATGTATGTAATTTATTAATACTACGTGGGTGTAATTTCTTAATACATCTAATGTCACACGTTTGTCGTTATCATTGAGATTATTTATTGTGCAGCTGCTCAATATTGTACATTAAAACACGCGAAAATGATAAGAAACATTCGACCGGTTTCATTTAAGAGCCAAAATTGACTCTAAATTATAATGATAATAACGAATACCGAATATTGCAGAAATTGAAAAAAAAAAATTGAAAAGCTAACGAGTGATTATCGCCGGAAAGTCGTTGAAAAATCTGAGTAGCTTGACAAATAAAGAGAAAGCCTAGCATAAACGCTACTTAATCTCACAAACACTCTTCTCTCATCCATATTAATAAATAAGTTTAATATTAATAAATCCTTAATGTAATTGTTCATTCATGTTTCGCTCGATTGTCGAGCATAACATTGAAAGTGATTTTATCCCTAGATTTTATGCAACAGCAGACGATTTATATCTAAAGCACCAATTACCGAAATCCACCGACACCGACCGTTAATTTACGTGATTTTGACATTATGAAATAAATATATTATTCGAGACTATAGGCATAATTTATGTTTTTCAAGGCGCCATTAAGATATTTAAAAATCATCATAATATTAATATTTAATTTGCTTCTTATCTTTAAATTAAATTTCCATCTTAAAATAAAATTATATTGGATAACATTAAAGCAACATGGTAATTAAGATATTTTAGCGAGAAAATACATATAATTAATACGAAAATGGGGTTTAGTTTTACCCTAAAATAAGGAAAACAACATAAAAAAATTGGATACTTTGATATTGGTTAGTTAAATCAAATATTTATCGTCTAACTGTTAACAGTTTGTCGTGTTTTTTTTTTTTTTTTACATTATTAGACTATCCATTAGATTTATAATAACATTGATATCTTTAATATACGATATTTTAAATATTATTCTTAATTTCTGAGCTTATGATACATATCAATACTTTTTTTCTTTTTTTTTCTTTTTACATATAACATGTTTCAAATGTACAAATCAATTTACATACAAAATGCAATCTGAAATTGTCTATGTAAATAATTTTTTATCTATACGATAGTAGACATTTAAATTTTTAGGTATAATTTGATGATTTTCACGTATTTATGTTAAAAAAATATCTAAACGCTTAATCTCTGCAATGATTTTCATAATAAAATTAATGAAGTTTTCATCGCAATAACAGATATTTGTTGACTATGAAGTAAGGTGTTGAGTATGAATTGAAATAGTTAAGCGACAAAGTGAATAATATTAACCGAGCCAACAACATGCTTTAAATAATTTCAAAATTACTACGATAACAATGATTGACATTATAAAATGGCCGAATCTGCGTTACAAGCGTTTCGTACGTACGTAAGCTCGTGTCTACATTCGTATGTCATAAACATTTGCCATTCATTGTGCAACATTAATCGATAATAACAATCGCCGTCGTTACCTCGTTTGTTCAATCACTTTCAATCGCATTGGTCGAGGAACTTGAGGCATAATTGACGTAGTCGATCCCTCGTATCCTTTTTCATGTTCTCTTTGAACCTGAGCATCAGCTCCATATCAACGCAAACCCTGTCCGCTTGTTTCTCAACATGTTCCAACTGATTCGATGAACTGGCCATCGATTCGCTTAACTTCGGGATCTTTTCGCGATTCGTCTGGCTTCTCTTCCGACAGACGTGCTTCGAATTTTCCGCCCAGTAGGCGCATAAATTCAAAAAAAAATCATCCATATCAAGATTCTTAGGTACATTGCCAGCAATGTACTCGGATAAGGCCATGGACAGGTCGGCTCGACCATTCTTCACGGCTAAAGCCACGGACGACAAGACGTCCATGCTCTGGCATACGAGTGTCAGCTCGTGAATAACCATGAAAGATTGTTGCTGCACGGACGAGTCCTCGTCGCTCAACATACGATAAATTAAATCAGCAACGATGGTTTTATGGGGCTCGCTGAAGCTTGCGGCGCATCTCGTAAAGAAATGGCAAAATTCCAGGCGAAAACCGCTCGAGGCGTAAGGATACATCATTGCCATTGACTCGAGTATCTGTGTGGCAAAAATTTGTAATAAGAATTTGTAATAATGAACATTGTTCATATGAGCACATGTCACACTCACGGATCATCAAATCATCAATCTTATAACCTTACTTTCAGCGATTTTATCCTGAATGTAATTGCATAAGAATATTGTCAAGTGCGAATATAAATGGGATAATTATTTCTGTATGAAATTTCAACGATTGATTTTGTTTTTTAAGATTTGCATTGTTAAATTTATAATTCGTCGCGTGGCTTTAGTGGTCACGTTGATCCAAGTATTTTCCAATTTATACCATTTAATAGACAAAATGTCATTTAATTATTACAATCCGATTTACCTACCTACCCATATTACAACATAAGCGATATATTGTTTTATATTTACCGAAGTTATATATTTATCTTGTTTCTCACGTGGCTGCATGACTCTTAATAGCGACGATCCAAACTTCTCTAATAGAAGTAAAACCGTACCGTCACAATCACTTAGAATATAAACAAATTTATTCCACATTTTAATGAAAATGTCGCATAGTTCTTCGTCTTGTGGCACATCATCAGTCTCAATAATTGCTAAATCTCTCATCTAAACGAGAATCACAATAAAATTATTCGAAATGTAAGCGTAACTGCTAGTCTTCTTAAAAATTGTTATTATTACTATTAGTAATAATTAATTATATCAATTTACAGCTACGAATAATATTTTCAACTACTTATAAATATAATCGACAATTGCACGATTCTCATATTAATTTTTTTTTTTTTTTTTTTTTTTTTTTTTTTTTTTTTATTTTTTTATTTTTTTTTCTTTTTTAATCGAACGAATGTTGAATCATTAAATATTTTCCATAATTTATTGAAATATACTGTGTATACTCGTGGCATTATCAAATTCTCATATATCAATTAGTTTAAATCAAAAGCATTGACTTACTAGTGAATCTAAACTATTTAACGAAGGCTGTTCCTCTAAATTTCTCAAATCTTTTGCAATTCGATCATGCACACTAATAACATCGAGCTTTCTTTGTAGCTGTTTCTTTTCCTGTACATCCATCACTCGTGTTATTGGACTCCAGGAGTGAGGATCGCACGTGTTTTTTAAGCCATTAATGTAGTCTATCTTATCGGTGTCCAAAAGAAAGTTATATAGTCGGCCAATCAAGTTACAGAGTATAACGACGTTAAGGTTATTTTTTCGTTCTTTAAGCATTTCGTAGATTTGGATTAAATATTTGAAATGATTATAACAGACTTCGGGTGAGCCTAATCTATATAATGACAAATAAGAAATTTTAGCTTATTAAAATGTCAAAATACAATGCTTAAAAATAATAGAGAATTCAAATGCAATTTCGACGACTTTAACATAATCTTATATTGATGTTAAAAATAAAAAAAATTGAAATTTCCCAATATAATAAAACATTAAATATACGAATATTTAATTTCAAATGGTAATTAATTTAAACATTTTGTTTATTTCAATATTATTAAAACCAATCACAATGTATATTTTATATTTATGTCATTCATTTTTATAAATAATCCACATATAAATAATAAAAACACAAGCAAAAATATTATATATATATATGTGTGTGTGTGTGTGTGTGTGTGTGTGTGTGTGTGTGTGTGTGTGTAAAGAGTATAAACTTATTTAATGTTTAGAATATAACTTATATATTTGTTTTATAATGCAAAAATTAATGCAATTTATTCGGAATGTAAGACAAAGAATTGAAATTGTTCTTATTAATGTAATTTATAATAAAAATAACTCGTATAATACATACCTGCAAATAAAGCACCAAACATCCGAGCTGAGTAACGAACTAAAAAAATTACCGCTTAATAAATATCTTAATAATAATATTGTAAGTTGAGAAAAATCTGAGTTTTTAGTCTGGCAAACGAGTGCACATATACCAAGGAACGTAGCTTCGTAAATATTTGCCGTATACGATCCTTGAGCAACATCTTGAGATACTTGTATTTGCAATTCTCCCATACAAATATCAGTCGTCACTAATAAACATAAAGTACAAATTAGACATTTATCAACATTTACATAATCTAGGCAAATAAATACGTAATTTTTTTACTTGCATTTATCAATATTTTGAAAACATGCGTCGATAATACATTGTTCCTTATTACACCATTCACGCTGATTTGCATAAGGTAAAGAAGATATTTTTTTTACGACTGCTAGTAATAATAAATGATAACCAATGATATTTTTATCCGTATTTTTCTCATAGTTAAATAAGGCCTGAAAACATATTAGCAACAATATTAATATAATTAAATAATGAGATATTGGGATAAATGGAGGGGCACAAACGTCGAAAGCTTACCGATTTAAAGCTATCATTTTGAAAAACAACGTCTATAAAAGGTTCGATGATAAACTCAAAGTTTGACCTAATGAATTTAATAAATTCGGCACTGTAGCCTTTTATATTGAGAATCTGTTCCGTATACCTGTACACATTTAAATAAAAAAAATTGAACAATGATGAGAGATCGTGAATTCTAAAGATCGAAATATTGCAAAACATACATATATACATTAATAATCATAACTATAATTTCATTCATAACATCATATGGAATGTAACCAGAAAAAACAGCGCATAGTTTTTCCAAAATCTTTATTAATATTCGGCAGCAAATTATAGGCCGCTCACTGGATTTAGCTTGCTTCTTTGGAGAGAGACAACAAAAAAAAAAAAAAAAAAAAAAAAAAAAAAAAAAGCCAACATATCAACGTTAATTCGATAAAATATTCAAAATTGTGCGCAAATTTTATTATTTTTTGCTTTGGAAAGACTAACTTGATTAATATATGATAGAACGCTAACGATACTCTTTGATAATCCTTTAAAATGATGCGTTATGGTGTCGGGTGAACAGTTTTTTAATTCATTGAAATATTTGCTGGTCAATTTACCAAATCGTTTCCACGCGTCCATTAATGTTTTTAAATCGGTATCCGCGAGTAATGTCGCGACTCTTGCCGTATTGTCCAATACTAAAAATAATATTAAAATATGATAGACAAAGGAGAGAGACCAACGTTTTATTTACATATAATTCTGAAATACTTGTCAATAAAATTGCCATTTCCTTTTCTTCCTCTTCGTCAAATGAAGTATTTGAATATACTGAATCTAAAAAATCGTAGAATAAATTTAATGCATCGGTGCACTGACAGAACAGAGATGTTAAATAGCTTGAAAGCACAGAAGATCTATCTTGATTATTTTTTGCCCTATAAAATATTTATTCTCAATGATTTATATTCTAGATTTAAGCATTGAAAATTAGTTAAAAAAAAAAATGTATTACCAAGCTTTGCAATTACTCAGTGTTGCAATAATAACGTCGAAGAAACTTTCAACGAAATATCTTATCTCGATTATGCGTATTTCTTCCAATTTTATACGATCTAAACATATGTTCCAACATTTTAATATTTTCACTAATATATTGCATGGATTTCTATCATCTTCAAAGTCGACGTTTTCTAAATCTTCATTAATAGCTTTGATTATCTACGTGCAAAAATTAATTGTAGATAAAACATATTCTTTAGAAATAAATTTAATTAACAATACAAACACAAATTTTATAATGGTTTGAATTTTTTATTTATTTATTTTTTTTTTTTATTTTCTTTCATTTATAAATGAAATATTAAAAATTTATTATTCAACGAAGAGAAATATATTATGTTTTAAATGAAGTAACGAATAAACAACAATTCACTCTTTGATATATTACATTTTTTTTTATACAAGTCCATAAATTATAAGATAATATGAATATTTTAATTACCTCGTATAATTTTTTTTCTCCATACGAAAGTGCAATGTGCAAAATATTTTCACTCCCAATATTTTGGAAACTGTTGTTATTAGTGAGGAAGTCATGTAATTCGTCTAATGTATCTTCTATACACTTATGATTATTTATTATATCGTATAGAACAATTAGTAGTTAAGGTCAATATTGCATAAATAAGTCATAAAAATTATTTAAAGAAAGAAAAAAAACTCATATAAATACTGTCCCAATAAAAAATAAATTAATAAAATATCATTAATTATAATATTTTAGAATTTTAATAATATTTTAATGAGACTGTACTTAATAAAGAAGTAATTATAAATATAGAATAATAATGATTAGTTTAAAGGATATTTTTAATAATGTAATCTTATTTTCAGCTTCCAATTGATTCCTCGGCGATTTCTGGGACATTGTGCATACGATTTAATCTTTTCTAAAAGAAAAAAAAATCACATTTCTTAAGTTATAAATATAATATAATACTTAAATATACGATAAAGTAAAATTTTAGAAATACCATAAATTTAATATGGTTTGCATAATCAATTTACATTCTAAATCGATTAATGAAATTGATATTTTATATTTTATATTTTTGACTTTGGAATTTATTCAAAATGTGCCTAATAATAAATTACACCGATATCTAATGGACAGAAAATATATAGAACATGCAATTAAAAATTTTTTATACATAATGCATATAAAATACATATATTAATTCTAATTCATAGATCATATTTCCTTGATAATCGCGAAAGTTTAGAAAAATAAATAAAATCTTATAACAAATATTTGATTATAAATTTATTCCCCAACTCTATTTACCACGTATTCATTAATTACAACTTTTGCTTGAATTTAATTCAGTCTCTTACGCTTAAAATAATTCTTATTTACATTTTTATAAATAAAACTGTACCAACATTATTTGTTTTTTTTTTTTTTTTTTTTTTTTTTTTTTTTTTTATTATTATTATTATTATTATAAGTATTTTTTTTATTCAACAATTATTTGCTAGATGTTTGGTTAATTTTATGTTAAAGTCTTTTTAATAAATGACAATCAATGACATATATATATATATCTTATTGAAATTCTACTTATTCACATATATTTTTGTATTTTCATAACGCCTTATGGATACGGGTAACGATGTTATTTAGTAATTTTAATAATTGTATTGAAATTATTGATAATATAAGTGTTGGTAATAATTAAATTAAATACTTTATAGTTGATATATAGTTCTTTTGTATTATGAAGTAAATTGATATCAATCGATTAAAATATGTGATTATATTCAAGTGTTTTTATACAATGGATACAAAGATGTCAGAACTTTTTAAATAAAGATCGAACATATTTTAGTAAAAGTTTTCAAGGTGTACCATTCTTTCGTTTTCGCTCTTTTATAAGTTAGCAGGATTAGAATGTACTCATAAATTCTCAAAACATGCGATATCAGCAATGCTTCGACAAATTGAACATGAATAGTTTACTTTATAAAGTAATCAGCCAATATATCAGTACAATGTATATGAATAATAAATATAGTAAATTATATTATTCTCATCATAGTATTATAAATCATTTGGGTGTTTTTTTTTGTTTGTTTTCTTTTTTTGTTTTTGTTTTTTTTTTCGATAAGCATTGTATTTACTTAAATTAATATACGATTGGATTCCATACAAATGGACTTGTATTTTTTTTTTTTTTTTTACGTTATTTATATTTACGTAGTTTATAATACGTAGTTTATATTAAAAATAAAATAACAACAACAAAAATAATAATAATAAAGTATCGCATCCTTGCACTTTTATAATACATACATATATATATATATATATATATATATATATATATATATATATATATATGGACGATTGTTAACAAGGCAGAGTAGGAGAAAAGAATAGGAATCGAGAACGTATTAACTGGTACAGTGCCAGCCACTGGTAACATACGTGTCTAAGCTTGGGCTTCTTAAATGCGGGAAATCGAAAGTAGAGTGTAAGCATATCGTACATGCCAAATTCTTGATTGCCGAAACTTTGGCGAATTGACTGCAATATGTAACGGTCACGAGGAGGTCAATGCACGTGCCGATTAGAATCGCTTGCTCGTCTTCTCCGAGCTTTTTATAAGATTACTGGATCCATCGAGTCGAGGCCGACGTATTAAGCCGATTTTTCAATCTACACTGACATTTCGTTTATGTTTATTTGTTTGGTGCCTTCGCCACTATTTCATCGGCATATATCAACATTAACATTGCAGATTGTACGCTCCATTTGCCAACAATGATTATTAACTTTAGCGCGCTAATAGGTTTGCTCTTTTTCACTTGTTTTATTACTATTGAAATTATTGTTAAGATCAAGTGCCGTGAGTTAGTAAAAGTATCGTAGTCGTACTAAACTATTTTTAAAACGTCACGGCGTGCCAATTGTATTTGTTCTTAACGAATTCTTCTTAACGTCAATTTCACAGATTTGCCAAATATGGGAAGAAAAAATTTACGAAAATTTTTTCGAATCACTGCTACAACAAGGAAAATCAATATCTAATATGTGTGTGTCCAAGTTAATTATGCTTGATTGCATTTCTTAAAATTATATAATATTTTTCCAACGTCTCAATGTCGGGTTATTTTGCCGAATGTCATCAGCAAGTGATTTTTTTTTTTTTTTTTTTTTTTTTTTTTAAAAAAAGAAAAATACAATTGTATCGACGTATAACCATTTTCCTTTAATTCCCTAAATTCACTGCCTTCCACGTGTCCTTTATTTATTATAAAATAATGGTAGTAAATGACTCATAACAATGCTATTTATTTTATTGCGAGCTATTAAAGCACATTTGTGAAAAATAAGGATTATCAAATTATCTCATAATAAACTAAAGCTTATCTATTTAAACTTTTCGCGCTGTGAGAGAAAGTGGCCTCTAAGTATTAACCTGCCAGACTATAAAAAGGAGGCAAACCTGACAAACGCATAACGAAGAAAGATTGTCATGTACAAGTATTAGGGATAAAAAAATTCAATGTAACGTTTAGACAGTTGGACGTAAAATGAAAAGAAAAAGAAAAAAGTAAGCTTAAAATTGCCAATGATCTAATTAATTTTTATTACAAATTTATTAGTTATTAGTTATTAGTTATTAGTTATTAGTTATTAGTTATTAGTTATTTTTATTTTTATTTTCTGTTTAATATAATTTTCATGTACGTACGTCGTGTTATGTCGCTAAAAGTTGCAAAGTTGCACGTCGAACGAATCCTCCATTCATTCGATCCTGTGACGACTAAATCATTAAATCTAATTACGCACAATAAAATTGAGCCAGTGAATTTTTATAGTGGGAGTGGGTGCCTTTGGGCGCACATATCAAATGTGGCGTCAATCATGCTGGACTTTTTACCGATCGTTTTGTGATTACTAGATAATATATACGTACGACTGATCGATCGAGCAGTCAGTTCATTTTTTCCTTTATCAGTCGGATGCTAATCAGTGTGGATGCTAACTGTGGACGCGAGCAATAAATTATCAAACCCCCTGTTCAAACCCTCATTAAATAACAATTATCTAAACGAATCCGAAGCTAATAATACATTTATGTATTCTATTATTTACGATATGATTAATTTAATCAAATTTTATTATTATTACCGTAGTATTTTATGATAGTTCCATTAATTATATTAATACGTATAAAAAATTTCACTGTAAAAATTTCACTGATAAAGTAAATGTCGAGCAAAATTTTTCATTATAATTACGCGATTAAAAGGAATATTCTAAGGAATTAGTTGGGCGATTGAATTTCAAGCTGAGGAAATTTCGCGGCAATGAAATGTAGGTCGGTAAGAGCGACGAAGTGCATTTTGCATTTCTTTCAATTCGTAAATGCATAATTGTAGTCTATCGGTAAATCGGTAATCGGGTGATTATCTGCGATAATCGTAACGCGTCATAGGCAATGGTGTTGTAAGTTCATACTGGCGCCAATGAGAAATCATAAAACAGCTGAAGAAACAATACAAAGAGGGAATGAGGGAGCGAAGGAGTGAGATCCGTGGCGATGAAGTGTGATTTGACTGATTGGCCCGGGGTCAGGATGCCATGGTAACTGCGGACAACAAGCTGTCAGATGATAGGCAAAGTCTTGATCAATAAAACAGGTGACTGCCGTGGAAAGAGCAAGAAGCATACTTTTAGGCAATAAACAGCGCCAAGTGAGGCGGAAGCACGTGAGAGTCTTCTTTCAGTGTCTTCATTGCTTTATATTGAGAGGAGGACGGTGGTAAGGAATCGAAGGGATGGAAGGGAATTGTAAGGTGAAAAATAAGATGTATAGGAAAACGACGAAGAGGATCGTTCGAATGGATTTCAGAAAGACCAAGTGGAGAAAGAAAAAATAACAATAATTCATATAATACGCTGCAATTTTAATTCTTTAACATTAAAGTGCACGAAGAAAAAACATAAATATTCAAATAGTTGCCTTGATTGTATTGTACTGAATTCTGTTTAATAAATTACTTTTAATAAATCGCGAAGAATAGTATTCGCAAATATTAATAATTCTTGTTATAATTTTATATTACTTTTAACACGAAGACATGTATTTTTAAATACAAACATAAATATCAAATGAAACTGTGCTCAGTGTAAAATAATTGAATTATACAAACAATAATAATATAATTGAAATAAGAATTTTCATTATACATTATAAGTATTACTGAACTACCACCATCGTTAAATTTACGGAAAATAGACATTTGATTTAAACGCGTTTAACATATATTAAGGTAAATTAATATAACAAAAACAATATTGGCATAATTAATATATTCGATCATAAATACTTTTCCACGTTTATCGGATATTAAAAACAATGTACTTATAAGTCTCTCTATTTAATTGAATTGAATTAAAGGTGAACGTACATGGAGAGATGGAAAGGACGCACCAATCGGATTGTAAATGTATTCTTGATTTTTAAGAAGTGTAACTTGAATATGCTTAAATGAAATAGGGTAGAGAAAAATTGGAAAAAAAAAAAAAAAAAAAATAAAAAAATAAAAAAATAAAAAAAAATGCAAATAAGAAAAATGATTATAAGAAATATTGCCGTTAATTTGCCATTATTATTTGCAATTATTTCTAATTGTCATCGTATAGTACAAAAATATTTTTTTTCTATTATTTCCACCACGATCCACCGCGCCTTACGTATAAACCTAAGCTTGCAATTGGCAAAAAAGAGCCGAAGCTCGTGCCCAGGTGCAAAGCACAAGCACCGCAATTAAACAAACAAAAAGGAAGGGTGAAAGAAGATAGGCGGGATGGGGGCGTCATTGGGTTAGAGAAGGGGCCACGGGGCTACAACAGTGGCGGCGGGAACGGGATCGGGGAGGGGGTAGGACGATAGGGTCGAGTCGGCAAAGTTGCGAAGGGAAATCAGTCGGCGTGAGTCAGCGCCCGCGAGTGAGTGAAACATCGGGGTTCGCGCGATGCCTCCCCCAATCCGCCGATATGAGTAGTGAACCCCAATAATCGACCTCCGGCCCCTCAGCCCCATCACGGCCGATCGTTAAATGGCCAACCTTCGGCTTTTTTCCCTCTTTATTTAAGCAGTCGAGCCGTCGAACTCCTCGCGCCGTCACCGTTCAAACGGAAAATCTTACGACGACGTCGTCCCTCCCATCGCCGAGGACGAGCAACACATACTTCCCAGGCCTGGGGGACTTGCTTATACAGCCGAAGGAGTGCTGCGGTGCAATGATACGGTGGGCCCATTCGTCCGCCGCCATGAGATTTTCGATTAGAACATTCCCGGTACAGTTGAGTTCGCATAACAGTTGAGCTTCCGTTCATTGCCTCTAATAACAAACAATCGCTACTCGCTTCGTGCAATTTATAATTATTAATTTACATTCGCGAAACGTTGGTGCTTTCTTATCGCATTTCGAATGTAATTCCAATTATTCGCATGATCCCCCCCCCGCCCCTCCCAGCCCCGTTGTTGTTCCAATCACGATCATTCAGATTGTTACTAATATTAGCATTGCCATCCATAATTTATTTACGTAAGTGTATTATGTACGGCGAGCCCTTAATTCATTATATTTTGAAGAAATACGATCGTAATTAAAGTATTCTTGCCTTGGTGTGCGCTATTTCCTTAAACTAATCGAGATAATCGAACGTTTTTCATTTTTATATTTCTACACATTTTCCTCTGTATTTGAAATTTACAACCAATTAGTCGCGCATGTACGTAATGCAATTTGATTGAAGTTGAACGACCGTTAGTTAGACACACGTAGTTACCTATCGTAGTAACTAACTCCCGCACACTTGTGCAGCGTGCTCTGCTCATGCACTGCGATGAGAATCTAATTGACGATTAGACATAGCCACGTAATGTCTGTTAACTTGGCAAGTAATCACTTTATGAATGAATTTTAAACATTCTCCTCGATAACTTGAAATCGGTCTTTGTAATTATATTTTATTATATACTATATATATATATTTCCAATCGGTGCATAAGTAACCGCGAGTAATTCCGGTCTTGTGAAAAACACCTTTTGCTCAATCATTGCCCGTACAAGTGCATTGATGAAATGTGTGTAAGTATACGTGTAAGATTCGGTCTTGTCGTGTCATAATGGAGTACGGATTTCATGGATCGCGTAACTGCGTTATTTCACTTATATATCGAGGAGAAGCGAGAAAAAAAAAAGAAAAAGATAAAGCATCCACATACAAAAGTAGTTAGTAATTTATTAAAAACAATATTTTCAGGTAGAATACTTCTTCAACAAGAAGTAGAAGATTATTAATCGTAATAATATTAGGAAAAGAATGATTCATTATGATTCAGTCATTATCATTTTGATATTACATAAAACTTTAAAATACATCAAAATCAATTGAATGCATTCACATTTCCTTCTATTCTACATATAAATTATTAAATTCCATTTTTTTTTTTTTTTTTTTTTTTTTTTTTTTTTTTTGGTCTATCGCTAGTTATCAACTAGTAAAAAAATCTATTCGTTATAACGAGTAAAATATGTATGCAATTTCGAAAATCAGTGGTTCTTATTTATATTTCATTACTCTAATTATTAGTTTACAAAAAATATTGTGCCGTGGATTACGTCATATTCGATTTTGAGCCGATACGCATCCACATCAAATACTTTAACAAAATAGTTTTCTCATCTACTGAATAAATCATTGATGTACGATATTAAGTTTCTGTTCTCGTCTCAGATCAATTTCAATCAAACTTTGAAAGCATTCCCGATTGTATTTATGTACATGTAAATTTCCTTTCCAGGCCTTATCCTCGTTTTAATTGTCCCTTTTATTCCGTTACAGTACCAAGGACATATTATAATTTTACTTTAATATTCCGATATATTAATTAATAATATTTATACGTATTGCCAGCAATATTGATTTTTTATCAATTATTTATTGATTAAAATAAAACATTTTTTAACTTAAAGTTGCTAGTTTATTTTGCATATTAAAACGCTCACTTAACGATAAGTGCACTATTGATAATTTTTCATAAACCTGCCAAAATATGTATCCGAATGACATCGGATTTATTGTCAGTCAAATTAAGGAATCCATAATCTTGTAAGAATCTTTTCCATTACTAGAGTATATCGAAAATTTTCACGTATTATCGCTCCGTGATCCACTAAAAGTGAATTCAATTACTTTTATTTAATATGATAATCTAAACACCTAATGCAATTAATATGTAAAAGTAGTAATGTTAATTGTTATAAAAATTAAAAAATTTATTATTAAAATGTCGAAGAAATATAATTGAAGCACTGTATAACTTGACGTATTGACTATACTTAAAAGTTAGTAGTAACATTGATTCTGAATTTAATATCTTATAATTCGCTTATTTACATAATTTTTATTAGTCTATGCTGTTAGTTGAGATATAGATATTTAAAAATCTACAATAAATTTATTATGACAGCTTTATTAAGATTATCCATTGTCTTACAATGAAAAATGTAAATGCAAAGAAGAAATTTTTTATCGACAACACTCGTGGCTGTTACATTAAAAACAACAATGTACATACAATTATAGTGTGAAATAATACTGTTGCGAGGAATTCGATTAAATTTCTATGAAAAATAAATGACTATTTATAAATAAACAGATATGTAATATATATATATATATATATATATATATACATATTGAAAATGTATAACTGCCAAAAATAATTTGCATACTTTAACTTACAACCCATATTTCGTTTCACATAATATCCCAGCATTTCTTCTTCAATTGTTATTTATTACAATTTTTTTCCTTTGATTTTTTATAATTATATTTTAGCACAAACTACGACGAAAGAAATATTTCTATTGAATTGTTATATATTTAATTCATAATAATTTATATTATAATGTGACAAGGCTCGATAATGATAGCATTTGGCTTATATAATTAATTACTACTTTCGAATATACAAATCGAAGGAAAAATAATTTTCATTAATAATACAATATCAGTGGGATTTAACAATTAAAAATTTTGATGCTTAATTATTGTGGTTAACTGTGCCGTAGGAATGAAAGCCGAAATATCGACTCATACAGCGAAATACACGATGAACAATAATAACGCCGCATCCAGACGCCCGGTTGGTCCAGTACGGCAGCACTCGTTACCGCAACCACCTCGTCATCAACAGCAGATTCGTCGTCAGAGATCAACGGAAGATGAAAATAATCCACGGATATACTCGACAAACTCGGTTGGCTATCGCAACAGATGCCCCGGCACATCTAGCAATCGTCAATCACCTACGCTCGACCGACCAAGAGTTCGAGTGGCCTGGAGCGAGCAAACCCTTAAACCAAAAAACGATGGAGGAGTTGAGATCGTAGCGCGACAAATTCCAACGGGAAAGTTGACTCGATCGACGAACGGCCGAGACAATAAAAGCGTCGCGGGGAGATGCCCCTTGAGAGATAGAGCGACGATACTTTATTCGAGGCAAGAATTAGCGGAAAGATTGAGAGAAGCCTGGAGACAAAGAGAGGTGAACAAGTCAAATATCGACATCTTTCTTGCGCACAACACCGTGGAGGACAGATGCGACTCGGTGATGTCGACCGAGACTAATCCGACGGTCCGGTCGACCTCGAAACTCCACAAGAAGTCGGACCAGCGCACGGACGGTGATCACGCGCAGAACGTAAAATTAATTAACGAAACGAATAATGCCAAAGATAAGAAATCGGACGGTAAAAGCAACGAAGGGCCTGATTTTCAAAAATGGTTTCCCTCAAGCACATGTAACAATGTTACGACTATAAGCACAGAGAGCCAATCACCTATCGTATATAATGTCGCTAAAGCAGACGATATTAAGGAGAGGGTCGAAGGAAGGGGGGACGATGATGTAAAGAAAAATGCAAGCACAGAGAAAAAGTCATCTATAAACATAAACTGCCATAATTGGAATATACCAAGGGCGATGGATAATGCGAATACGTTGAGCGTACATAGGGGCGTGAAGGAAGAGGCCGATTATTATAAATTATTGCCAAAGTTGTCTAAAGAGGCGGATTACTCGCAAGCTCGAATGAAGCGTGCGAATTATCAGAGTGGCTTGAACAAGGCGTTCGCTAGTCGAATAATCGAAAAGTCATCGAGTTCGCGAGTAGGCGGTCGTAACGATAGGAGACACGAGGAGTCAACGAGATTTCGTCGGACCAGCTCAGCCCCACCGCGGCAGCGCACTCGAGTTGACGTCGTCGTAGAAGGACCGGGCATGCCACTGTCTATGAGCAACGCCGAGCCCGAAGGATGGATAACGGCCGCGAACGAGCAGAGTCAATCGGCTGTCAAGGGTCCGATCCTTGACACGAATCGACCGATAAAATCAGCGCCGGCCGTTAAAAGACGTACAAAGACTAATAAAAGACGCGGCCCGAGCGTGGCTTACTCCAAGGACGGGGAGGAGGATGAAACGGTGTTAGACAATGCTCGAGGTAAAGCGAGGAATGTCAAGAAGACTGGTAAAAGTAGGCTCGCGCCAAGGAACACGGACGTGGTGACGATGGTGTCGCTCGTTAGCTCGGCAGACAGCGATAGCGAAATGGATGAGATATCATCAAGGGATGATAAATTAATATGCGAATTGAGGAACAAACTGCCTACCACGCCCATTATCAAGTCTTCCAATGGGCTCTCCACTGCTATCAGGAAGCCTTTCAAATCAGGTATAAATTGCATTGCCATTACTACATGCGTATTGACGATAAGAGAACATTTTTTTTCTCATCTCACAGAATATCCGTATTTATGGAAGATCAAGGTCAGTCGTCAATAATTCACGCGAATTTTTTGTAATAATACATTTAATACAGTCGGGTTTGGGCTCATCAATAAATCACGATTAATTAATTGGAATTTTTATGGGATTTTATGGTATTCGGAATGCGCAGTCAACAAATCAATTTCAATGAGCTTTGCTGGGAGCTTTATGCATTTAATAATCGCACGATTCTCCAATAAAGAAATTTTATCTCAATCAGTTGGCTCGGTGCCATTATATTGATATATATGTTTGCGTGCGTGTGTGCGCGCGCGTATGTGTATATATATATATATATATATATATATATATATATATTTGAATAATACCGTACAATTTTTCGTTAAAAATTTATTGAAAATTTAATTGAATTCCCAAGTAGAATCGAAACTATTGAGCTACATCTCTCATTATTAACGTTTTATAATACTTCTTTTAAGGATTCGCAAGCTTATAATTTTTGAATTTTAACGTTCTATTAAGATTTATACAAAATTGAACAGACTTGTTAATTGTATTCGACTTATTCCAATTTGAAAATATCAGTTTGCGTGAAATGTAACAAATCAAAAATTGCTTCGTTTCATTAAACGAACCGTTTTAAGAAGAACACAAAATTAATAACTTTCAGCTACGACGAATAACAGGTTGACAAAAGACCTTCAATGGTTAGGAAAACAAATCGATACCTAACTTGAGTGACTATTGTTTTCAATAGTAACCGAAATCAGCTCACATTTTTCTTCCGAAAGCTCCGATAGGTGGAAATACTTGATTTATGTGTATATGTAAGCTTACAACATTGTAGCACAGATAGGAGATTAATACACCTAAATCAATAAGACAATACTAATGAAGCATTCAAAATACCTTACAATGGGGATATTTGGCAACTTATACGCTTGAAATTGCAATTCCTTAATGTAAGCGTCTTTTTAAAAGAAAATTGTTTCTTTAGTATATTTTATAGATTATCTTTGTAATCTACCGTCACTTTCAAACTCTATAAAAATTTTCACAATCTTTATAATCTTATATTGACAATCCCATATTGCTTAATTAATAATAGCATATATTTTTGTATAAAATAAAAGTCCTACCAATAGATTTGAAGAATCGCATCAATTTGGCATTCAATGCAGTTTTGATAGAAAATTGTACGATTTTAATATATACAATTATTCATAAATAATGGATAGTAGGTGACAAAAATAAATAAATAAATAAATAAATAAATAAATAAAATAAAATAAATGACGAGAAAGTTCGTGAAACGAAGAGGTCTCGTATTTTTTAACGAACGCAAAGGTCAAGTGTACGAATTGGCATTTTTGCACGTTGTTAATGCGAAGAAAGTCTGAATATATAATTGGCTAAACTAATTATTCAGAATGCGACATGCAAGCTTTTGCAGATTCCAGGCAAGCGTGAACTGCACAAATTGAAATATTTTTATTCACATGTTCTTTACAAAATTTTAGTCACTTTACTACATAAGTAAACACGAACTGCTAACTAAGTTAAAGCAAAATGATTATGAAGTTTTTGTCAACACGTCAGTATAATTGCCTACTTGACTATTGTCAATTAATACAATTTTTAAAATAACAAGTTTATTCTCGATACATTTCATTTACTAGACATAAAACATAACGTTTATTGATGACTTTATCTCTCTTTTTTTTATCTTCAAATAAATACTTTATAATATTAATTTTACACGTTTCAATTTTTCTATCATTGCAAGGTATTCTAATTTTAATTAATTTTACTATAATTATGTCGAATATTAATATTGTATAGATACATTAATTTATTTATTACTGGATCGCGCATATCTCTCTCTCTCTCTCTCTCTCTCTCTCTCTATATATATATATATATATATATATATATAAATATATAAATAAATTTTACAAAAATATTTTCTAATTTAAGTGTTTATAATAGAAGCTCCGTGTAAGTTTATCTAATATTTATTTATTAGATTTTCATTGTTTTAATACGATTTACAAAATGTCACTGTAATTTAATGGTCTTTTTTTTTTTCTTTTTTTTAATCATATCTCATTTACAACAATTATGTATTTTTTTTATTTTTTTACTTTTATTTCTTATTAAATCACATTTATTTGTTGTTACTAAAAATCAATATTTAATCGTTTATATATTTTACGACGAGACTTGAAATGCAACTTCATAACCCGAAATCATTAGAAGTCGAAAATTAATCTCGACAAGCTCGTTATTGTATTCCTTACATCAACTGGCCTACTTTTAAGCAAAACTTTTTAGCGACTAGGACATTATCTATCACGTGTAAATATAATTCAATGCGAATTATTGTGGTAAATAAGGAAATGGAACGGAACGCTGAACAATTCCCTATTATTATTCTAATCAATCATTTCTTTCGTGTCTTCGGTGATTATGGTAGAGCTCGGGTTACAATATTAATTGTACAAGAAAACGGTCAAGGATGTACCATCATTCGGTATCATGAACTTTCACGTGTTCCTTTTTTTTTTCTTCTTATTTATGAGGTGGAAATTCGAATGCTACCATTAAGATAAAGTGACAGAATGCATAAAAGTGATATACAATTGTTTGAATTTTCTCCCCCCCCCCTCTCTCTCTCTCTCTCTCTCTCTCTCTCTCTTTTTACTCATTATTTTCTTAAGCCATTATCTATTTATTTATCATATTGCGTAAGAGAAATTTTAACCATTAAAATCATTACAACTGAAATACTACACGAGTATATCTGTATCAACAATTATTACAAGAAATAAATAGATAAATTATTATTATATCGCTATAGTTGTAATTATAAGATGCATTTATAATTATTTTAATTAAGGTGCCTGTTGCACATGCAAATATATCAGCTTTTATAATAGATAAATTATTCTATGAATTAGTATTAAATATTACTATTAAATTTATTATATAAATTTTTCCCTCATAACTCCATTAATTATATATAGAAAATAATAAAATATGTAATTTTTAATAAAAACTTGTGTAAAAAGTATAAAGAATAATTAATTGCATTAAATATTCATTATTATATAAATAAATTTATATTAAATTTGAGATAGATTATTAATTTTCTTAATGACAAACTACAAACTAAGAAAATACAAAAGCAATATAATATCTCTTAATATATTATCATTAAGATTGAAACAATATGATTCAATTACTTGTCTTTGAATATCAAATATATTGTACGAAACAATAATGCAGTAAGTATAAAAGGACAATAAAATCGTTTTTTTTTTTTTTTAAAGTTTTAAATACATTTATAAAACTCAACGTTTAATTAATAATTTATTAATTATATAATCATTTTGCTTCATATAGATATTTTGGAACTTTTATGATTCTATACTATTCTGCAATTTATCTTTTGTGTAAGAGCGTGTGTGTGTGCGCGTGCGTATGCTGTATATCCGTCTGTTTGTCTGTCTGTCTGTCTTTGTGTGTGTTATGCGCGTATGTGTAATATATTAATGTGCAAATATATATTATATGCATATATATATATATATATATATATATATATATTGTATATTCAATATATGTTAATGTATAAATATAGAAAACTTACAGTAGTTGTAAATCGTTTAAAGTTTTTATACAAACAAAATTAAGTTTTGTCTTTATTATAAAAATTTAAAAGTGAAAATAGAAAACCTTAATATTCTTCAAAAAGTTATTTACAAAAAGATTTAGTTAGATCTAATATCTATCTAATGACTAATTTTCTTTTGTCAATTTTAATTAATTACGAATTAATATCCAATTTACAATAAAAATGTACTTTAAATTAAAAAGCGTTATTAATAACTACTTTTAGAATAATAAATTTATAAAACAAATATTTTCTTACTACTAATGTTCTATATAATTAATTTGAATATGCAAACATAAATTCTACAAACATACCATGCAGGTAAGAAGACAGATTGCAGGGTTTACTTTATTATTTCATTAATTTTTTGTTCATTATATTTTTCTTTTCATAAAGAAAACAACTACGACAAATTATTATTTTTAATAGCCCACGTTATAATTTAACGGTATTTATTTATATAAATTTTTATATATTCTAACTAGAGTATTAATTTTATGTTAAAAATTATTTTCAAAAATTATCATGTGACCTTGGAAGATACAATTCATTGTGTATACTACTGGAACACGCGATTTGTCCTAAAAACTCAAGAACTTTTAAATATAAGAAATCAATAATAATATATTAGAATCAATTTTTTCCAAATATTTTACTTTATCAGTCAAACGACATGAAATATGCATATACGAACGTTAGAACGAAATGTTTTTGAACTGTAGAATTATTAAAAATTCAATAAAATTATTTTTTATTACTATTTTTTAAACATTCTTTTAATCAATATAACCGTAACAATAGTATTTAGCTATTTTATTATTTTTCTTTATATTTAACAAACCTCTCTTCAGTTCAATAAACGAAATTTTGCATAAAGCTCCTTTAATCAATTAAGAGGGTAAATACTTTATTTTATAATTCCAAATTTACAATAATTAAATTTAATTCCAACATGAAATTTGTTTGATTTTGCCTACGTAAGTTAAGATTTAATTGCTATATATATATATATATATACATATACATTTACATATATATATATATACATATATATATATATGGATGCTTGGAAAGATTTCACTTGGAAAGAATCAAATTTAATGAAATGAGTCTTACAAAATATTTGATTTTGATAATATATTGGCTAGCTATTGGCTAATACTGAAAAAGTATTATCGTATGCTTAAATTTCAAATTCTATCGAAACTCGCTGTTATACCCAGCAATTTGAACAAAAAGTCATGTCCCTAGTAATCAAGCAAACTTGAATTATCATTAAGTCTTGATGTCCCCTATTGACCTCTCGACTCAGTTCGACCGATCGCGACGACTCGGCTCTGCAGGCGGATGCCGCTGTTCGCGAAGACACGAGGACATCCTTGCGGAGACGTTTCATTACACTGAGCAAGTCGAACGTTATTGGAAACGCAACCGTGGTCGGTCCTACGTCACACACGATATCACCACTGCCAACGCCCTGGAGGACAGCGACGCTGGTGCCGTTTCACGTAGAGAGGATTCTCGGCCCGGCCGAGGTCACCCTTACTGATCGGGAGAAACGCTGTCTCGCGGTGCCCATCGTTGACATTAGTGATAAAAAGCGGAAGCTGCTGAGGTGTCGTAGCGCGGTCGCCGCCCCAAAATCCAAGTTAGTTGACAATTAATTTTCTATTGTTTTGAACGTCTACTTTCGCTAACTTACTTGCTGGGGTTTAATAGATGAGACGTCACTCACACCTACTTGTCTTTACTATCATTTTTTCTTTCAACTTTAATATCCTTAAGCTGCAAATTATAAGACATTATTCATAATTATCTTTTCACATTCAGAGCTCTTATAGATTGTAGAATATATATATGATTTGCTTCGAGTCAAATGTATTTGTAATTAAAAGAAAAATTAGAGATTTTTCTTTCGAAATTGGATTTATAATATTTTAATTATTTTATAATTTAGAGATACATAATGGTACATGGTTGTTTCGAATATCTTCGAATATTAATTTATAGCTTCTTTTTTGTATCGGATATTTTATAATATTATTTGTAATATTTTACACTAAGATGAGTATTTATATAATAATTTATTTTTCGTGTATTTTGTGTATAATATATGAATATAAGTGCCGTTATTATATCACAATGTTACAATATTTCTTTTTATCTTTTGTGTCTATTTTAATATACGACAATTCACTATAATTTTAATTAACGAAATTAATTTACTTTAGAAATGAATAAAAAGTACAGATTGCCTTGAAGTACATGTCATTTGAATGAAAAATAATGTTAAAAAATATGAAAATTATGGGTTAATTCCTGATCGTAGAGAAAAAATATAACTATCGATTAATTATTGTAAAGGAAACGTAATATAAAAAATGCATACGTTTAAAAAAAAATATTTTAATGATAAGAGACGTGCATTTTATTCCTTCTTATTTGATTTTAATTTTTATGTAGTAAATAAAGAGGCTCAATTGTCTACGGTTTATAAAGCAATAAAATTTCTGATTTGTGTAATTAGATGTAATTTGACGATTATTTTTGTAGGCAAATCACAGAATGTAATGAAGTACTTATAAGCAATATACAGCAAGTAAAATGTTAACAAAAAATTTGAATAATGGCTTTTCCATGCGACGTCTGGGCAAATTTTATTATCAAATATTTGATGGATATTATATATTTTGTAAATTTATCATATTGTATTCTATTAAATCGATTAATGATTCAATTTATTTGCTTTTAGTGTTTAATTTTCGTAGATATATCTGTTGTCTTGACGAAGAGAGTAAAATAGTTAAAATAATATCGATTGTAATAATACTTAATTACAAAAGCGAGAGATAACGAGACTTATTTTGCCAAAAACTTTGTATCCAAAGCTTAGATTGCTAGTTTGCGTTATTAATCATGGCTCGGTTTCAGTCACGTTATATACAAGATATAATGTACCAGAAGTTAAGATAAAGACTATAGAATTCGAGCTAAACGAAAGTGTATTTTAAAGAAACGCAATAATGCTGTAACGTGCATGTAACCGAACATGAAAATCGCACATTGGCTCGTACGTACACAACACTAAGCTCTAAACAAATTACAATTAAACGGCAAAAGGGGCTCTTCGTTGGGATATTGTCGCTTGGTCATACGAAACGACTGAAATAATCTTCAGACGATCGTTGGTGCTACTCTCGTGATATTCATGTTCGCTTAGCAACTCTTTGTCTCAGTTTTAATAACTCTTTGTCATGAAATATTTGTTGCTAATGTAAAGCTATCGGCAACCAGTGTGAATATTTTAATATTTTGGTGATTTCAATCTTGATTAATATCTTTTTTATTGTTCCACGCACGGCTTTGCTAAACGACGTTTTTTTTTTTTTTTTGCCGAATTTTTACTTTAGCGCCTTCTAAGTCATTGATTATTATAATTATATAAATTAGTTCGTATGTTCTACTTTAAAACAAATTACCTCGTTTGTGTGCGTTCCCGCTCGCATGCACTTTGTTTGCGTTTCAACTGAATTACATATTAACGTCCTCCTATATTGACAATGTAACTTTCCGTCAATGCGACGTGACATTTTAGGGACATTCTTTACCTGCACTGTTCACACGGCGTTTACGTAAAAACGTAGCAATGACAATAGATATCTACGCTTCTTTTTTTTTTTTTTTTTTTTTATATCCATCCAATCACATTTCCGTCACTGCTTACTTCATTTTGACAACTTTGTTGAAAAAGTATGAGACGTACAATGGATAATTCGGGATGCGGATAATGAACATGCAATGGTTAATAATTAATAGTAGATCTTGAGCCCACTAGAGGCCAGCGACATTTTAAGAAAAAACTCTAGTTGAATAGCCGATTACATATGTTGAAAGGAATTCATAAACTAAGTAGTTACAATGACAATCGAGAAAAACAAGTCTCTTGATGCAAAAAAAAAAATCTGGCAAGTATCTAAGAAGCGATACATTCTTACTGTCGACTACGTATATAAGGAAATTTATTCAAACATTCAAAACGAATTTAGAAGATTAATTATTAGCTTCAAATTACTTCACACATTGATTATTACTACATTACATTACTACATTACTACATTAGCTGCGTCTAACCCTACATTATTTCTTCTTTTTTTTTCTTCGAAATCATTCCAAATGCTATTTGTAGCATTTTTAAGTATAATTATAAGAATGGATTATAAGAATAAGCAAAGGAATTTTCTTGACGGAGAAAATGTCTATTGCTCAGCTCAATAATTAACGGACATCGTACAAAAGCTAATCCACCCTTAACATACATATGATTTGTATTGAAAACGTATTGAAAAATATTTTGAAAATGATTAAATAATGTGACGAATTTTTTGAATTTTTTATCATAAAAATAAAATATAGTAACGATCGTTATACATCGACATTAAACTACAAAACTTTATCTTTCGTATAATTTTCATACTAAAAAATCTTCATTTACTACGAATTATGATAATGATTAGAATTAATAAAATGTTCATTATTTTAAGAAAGAAATTTTTTAAATCTGATAAAAAGTATGCAAATAAGATTTTCTATTTTGAAAAACTGTAATTTATTTTTCAGATGGAATTTTATAATTTTAAATACTATATTATACATTATATTATGAAAATAGTAAAATATAAATAAGCTACATATGTGCATTAATATATTTTTGAATAATTTTAATCTTGGTCCTTTTTCCGTTATGTAATAAAAATCTTCAGAATAAGAATATTTTACATGCATATGATGTAATATTTTATCAATCTCGCGTTTACTTAAAAAAAATTTTAACGTGAAGAATTTATCGACCATAATCTTGTACGATATGAGGATTATGCGTATTATGCATTCTTTTTACTTATTTTCACTGGCCGACATTATTTACCAGCTTTCATCACTATCCACATGATTTACTTTTAATTATACACATATAATAAGATATACGTGGGCGTTACTTCCGATTTTATAAAATAAAAACAAAATATAAATACGCGAAGCATAATTTAAAATAATTTTAATGGACTATGCGTCATTTTATGACGTTGACATTAATCAACACGTGTCGACATTTTGATTTCAATTATATCTTTTTCATTTATTTTTTTATATCTTCTATTTTTTTCAAAGAATTCTAATAAATTTGACCGTGTACATAAAACTTGTACATGTACTTTGGAAAAAGTATCAATCATTTTGGATAAATCGATATTTGTTTTATTAAGCTACTTCAAGCATATCAAAGCAAGTCAATGGCAAAATTAGTTAATAGGTAATACATTCGATAGTTCTTTTATAAAACGAAAATTATGTACTATAAATAGCATAATTCATAATTTGTATTATGCATATATTATTGATAAAAAAAAAAAAAAAAAAAAAAAAAAAAAAAAAAAAAAAAAAATATGAATACTCGAATTTCATTTAAATAAAATTTTACAAATAATGCATTATAATTTCAACAGTTAGATTATTATAAATGAAGTTGAATAAAATTAATTTTTATGTAATGAGTGATAATGCTCTAAACATTCTTTATATTAAATTTTTATCTATTATAAATCATGTTTTAAAGTAATAATAACGTAATTGAATTACATTAGAATGAAATTCAAGTAATAATTAAATTTCTTAATTTAAATGAAATTTATAAATTTTAGTAACTTAATAATAATTAAAAAGTAATTTTTCCGTTGTTATGCTACAATCAATATTTCGATTACAACACATTTCGATTTCCCTGCTATATAATATTCTAAATTAAAAAGTAAATAAAATTTGTTGCGAGTTTTATTAGCTTTATTAGTCGGCTAATGTCTTATTAGTCGTTGGTAGGTTTACGAACCTAATTACATAAGCATTTGATATATTTATAATTGAGTCGTAAATTATATTCGCCATTTTTGTCGCGCTAAACTTGTAACTATAGATTCGTCGATGGAAAAAAAATTTATGAATATTCAAATGGATGATGATTACTGTAGATTTTGGTTCAATTGCAATTCAACTGATGGACGATAGCGTGATTTTATTTTCCTTTCTAAAAACAATGTTTCCCTAATTTTACAGTAATACTGAGAAGCAGTTATCGGATACAAATCAGCCGTACTTACAAGCGGAAATGCGAATGCCACAAATGATTTCACGAGCATCTCTTCTTCTACAAGAAAGCAATCCTTTGAAGGTACGTTTATTTTGTCAATAAAACAATGAAAGTTATTGGTAGTAAAATGGTATAGTACGAACGACACTTTCAAACCTTACATAAAGTAACATAAAAACATGCTTTATCATAAAGAATGAAATAACAATTATGAAAATTAAAAAATCTCATAATTAAATAATATTTTATTATACGAAAAAGCTTACTATCGCTATAAAACTATTTTTTTGCATTAAAAATTCCAACAAGACTAATTAATTATTAAATATGAAAATTCATATGTACATTAATCATGTTAATCGTGTAAATTAATGAGCGCATCTGTAATGTCATTATGCAATAAAGTGACTAGAAAAATGGTGACATAACAAGAAGAAGGTATAATTTGACAAGAAAATTCTCTGTAAATTACTTTTGCGAGCAAAAAAAAAAGATTTTTTTACCTTTTATAGGTTATTACAAATCCGTCTGCGTTAACTTTAGACAGAAATGTAGAAAAAAATAAAAAATTGCCGGCAGAATCGTATTGTCAAACACCAAAAGAGAAAGAATGCTGGCATTTATATCAAAGAATGTGTGACAAAGGAGTGTTTGTATCATTCGATACAGTTTTAAGGTAAATATAGAAAATTGTTATTAATGAAAAAAAAAATTACATTTAAAATTCAATTGTTTTGCATCAAGAGAATATATATTGAATTTACCATATAGCTGTGTAACATTATTTTTCTATACTTGAAACTTTATTTCTCCATATTTTAATAATTCGTATATTGTATTCAAGTATCGACATCCTTGGCTTCTTTCTTTTTCTACATCAAAGTAATTTTGTACATTCTATCGAATAGCCAATATATATATGTATATATATATATATATATATGAATAACTGAGTCTCTTATACATAACTTGCGCATATGTACATAAACACAGAAGCACTCACACAAAATTAAATCGTAGTATTAATAACACATAATATAATATAATGTTTAATATGCTTTGTTACTACTTAGAAATATATTTATTTTTCAGAGGCATGCTAACTCCAACAGAGTATCGATTGCGCCAAAAAGAAATGAGCCAAAACTGCTAACAGTCATGAAAATCTTTATATGTTTTTAACAATAACGAAATATTTTAAATTAAAAGAAAATTTTAATAATAAATAAAATTCATGATGTTTCAACCATTTTAAAATTAAGATAAATATTGTTGTATAATTATATCTTAGAGTAACGTGACATATATTATTATTACATTGTAAAATTAAATAATGTAACTTGCTTTAATTTTTTATTTTTTTTTTTCATCCTTCTTTTGCTTTAAATTATAGATAAAAATGTGATTCCGTGATTAATAATAAAAGTATCTTTATAAAAAAGTTTATGACTTTCGTTTATGAATTTTTTATTCCCACTCGAAAGACAAAAAATTCATCCAATGAATGATATCATAATGGTATATTTCTAATATATTGCCTAATAAGTATCGATAATGAAACAAATATTAATTGTCTAAAAATCATAGTTTTTTTAACAATTGTCAAAAAAAAAAAAAAAAAAAAAAAAAAAAAAAAAATATACGATCTTGTATGTAATCATAATGAACGTGGAATTTTACAAGCTGTGAATTATTTTTGTGGTCGTTGTAAAATATGTACAGATTTTGCATTAATTTGGATTCAGTTGTTAACGTCATATTTTAACTTAATATTAAATGTCATCGTGCATCCATATATTTCACGCAAGCACGGAAAATGTTTTTTTTTTTTTTTTATTTAAAGAAAAAAGAAAATATTGAAAATATTGAAATGTTTACTTCCACAATACATTTTCTTACGTTTACTTACACAATAATATTTTATCGCTACAATTGTACATTGGGAATAACGCTCGAGCTCAATATAATGTCTCCTCGGTTAATTTAAGCTTCTTGTAGCGCGCGACGTTTGAAAGTAAATGACAAGAGGCCGTATACTTATTTATATTGTACAGTTAACGATTAAAACTGCCCTATATACCGATTTATTCGAGAGAGAGAGAGAGAGAGAGAGAGAGAGAGAGAGAGAGAGAGAGAGAGAGAGGCAAACAAAAACGTGCTATAATCAAGACGCCTCTTGATTTTTACGTATTCCGCGGCTCAAAGTGACTACTGCTAGTATCGAGCGCATTGACAAACTAACACAGCTGTGATGTCACGTAATGTAACGTTAAGGAGAGAGTGATAGTCGGGTGTGCAGTCCCTCGCATCTTTGGGTTTACTTTAAATTTTGCGTTCTGCAGCAGTAACCTCCAGCTTACCTCGGGGGTTTTGCCTGCTCGGTGACAGCGGAATGTCCCCGGCTGCCGACACCCACAGGAGGACTGCGGTACCTTGGTAACATGGGAAATGTAAAGGCCCGAGAGGAGATTCGGGTTTGATTGACGGCGAATATCATTGGCGAGAGGATGGAGAGTTCATGATACGCTGGATGAAGGGGTCGAGGAAAAGGTCATTGGCTGTCATGACATGTAAACAACGATGTCTATCGTTCGGAAGCTTGGGAGCAAGAGTAAAGTCGATTACAAGACCAAGCTTGAGCACAAATTGTATCTGGTATGTAGGGAGAGTGGAGATGTTTTCGATAATCATGAAAAATGCATTTAGGATTCCGTCATTCGCGTTCATCATTTTATGCTTATTTTTATTTTTGTTTTTTTTTTCTTTCATTTTGTTTCAGTTTTGACTCAGCGACTTTGGATTTCCATGTATTATTATTAAACATTAAAAATGGATTTTGACGTAAATTCATGGCCGATCGCCTTCATTTACATTTTTCTATGTATTAGCTTCTGTTCATTTAAATAAAGCAATTTTGTGTACTCTTTAATAGTAAGAAGAAAAAAATATTTATTATGTAGATTATCGATTGCTAATGATATTAAATTCGTTATCAAAATGTAGTAGTTTTCTTATAACTAATGCGATAGAAGGAATTTGTCTCAACATCAATGAATACATTTGCTAAGTATAAAAAATTTCTTTTCAATCTAAAAACTTTATTAAACAAACTAAAAACATTAGTATACAAATTAGAAACGAATGCACCAATTAATTTTCTAATAATTTTCAAAAAAGTACGAAATTTTTCTTTATTTACTGAACAATTAGTAATAAATTATTGTTAATTATGTGTCTGTAATCTGCAATATCTTTAATAACGTTAAAATAACATATATGCAATAGTTAATTGTAGTATTGCTCTTTTAGTTTGATTTATGCTCTGCGTCTAAATTTTCAACTTATATTAAAGAATATTTCATTTGTTTAGGCCAGGATGAGTCCATCTTCAACTTATGATATTTCTGAATGTAATTTAGAAAATGTACCGTCTAGTACTTACATACTTTGCGACGTTTTAAGAAAAGAGACATTACTGATGCAGCGCAACAAACTAAAATCTTTGTCAGGTGGTGGTGCCTTAAAATACCTGTCTCTTATAACAGTTTTAGATGTACAATCCAATGAATTGAATAATTTGCCATCGGATATAGCTCATCTTATATCGCTCAAGGTACTTTTATTATTTGTCACTCGATTATGAACCTTATGGATTATAGATATAATTAAAAGTTATAATTGCTAAAAAATTAATTATAATTATAAAATTGCTATTTTGTAAAGACCATAAATTGTCGCGTAACATAAAATTTTTTATAACCATAAAACACAATGTATTAGTTATTATTAATAATTAAAGCGATTATTCATACATTCGCGTTACAGGAATTATATTTACAAGAAAATAGTATACTAAAATTACCAAATGAAATTGTACATTTGAAGAATTTATCTATTTTGGATATATCAAAAAATAAACTCAAATGTTTACCCGAGGCAATTGGCGAATTGAAAAATCTCATCTTTCTGAATCTCAGCCACAACAAGTCTCTACAGAAACTACCAACATCATTGGGATATGCGCAACTAATAACCCAATTGGGAATCGATGGATTGAAGCTATCCTATCCTTCCGAAGAAATACAGAGCGGCGGAACAATTGTTATTATAGCTTTCTTAGCCAACGAATGTGGTATTAATTATTCTCCAGAAAATTGTTTTTCAGAATCTGAAAAAGCTACCAATTCCAAAAATATTCAAATGTTAACTCATAATAAGGATAACGATATTCAGGTAAGAAATTAAAATTTATTAATCCTAAATAGTACCTCTCTCTTTCAAAGGCATACCCTTAATTATCTCAATTTTCATTGCATTACTTTTAATTTATGTAAAATGAAAAAATATCTATCATACTAATTATTATGTTTTACATCGCTATATAATTTCATCATTTTTTATGTTCTCTTTTAGGCAACATTATCGAAGTTAGACAAAATGAAGGCACGTGGAAACATATTTAATTTTATTTTCTTCATATATTAATCATTCATTTGCCACACAATCCTTTTTGTCGGAAGATTTTGTACACGAATAAATATACTTAGTCAAAAATCACCACATTTAACAAATAAGTTTATAAATACGATAATACTATAATACTTGAAAAAAAATTCTTAATTTATGAAATAGAAATTATAAGACAAGTCATTTTAATTTGTAGGAACAACGACAGACTGCTCTTTTAGAAGTTGAAGAAAATATCAAGCAACAACAAAAGCAAGAGCTAGAGATGCAAAATAAGTTAAAACTTAATAAAAAGAAGCTTCTGAGTGATTTAGTCGATCGAGAAATTCAATTACAAAAAGAAATTGAAAAAGTACAACATGAAAAGGATAGTAATCGATCTAGATTGTTATCCTACATTTATAATGGTACATTTGTGCCTTTATACATGTTAAATGAAATTCTTATAATCATCAAATAGAAATATATTTATAAAATATATAAAATAAACATATAAATTATTATTCAAATATATTAAATTTATTTTAGCTAAAACGGAGGCCAATAATGTAATAAAAGAATTTTTACATAATAGCGAAAAAGAACGTCAAACTCATGCTGAATTACTTGAGATAGAGAAGAATGAAGAGATGCTGTTACTTTCTCGTAGTCATTCCGAGCAATCTTTACACCGCACAAAAGATACGCTTTGTAAGTGTGATAAATTAAATATATTTACTTATAAGTGGATGCGCGTGTGCGCGTGTGCGCGTGTGCGCGTATACATATACAAGCGTTAAAATTTAATTATGCTTTTACAGTCGCAATGAAAGAGTTATTGGAAGATGAACTATGTAAAGGAAGAAAGCTTGCAAAATATACAGCATATAAAAATTTTAATGCTCAATCCTTATTAAGCATGTAAGAACAATTTTTATAAATTTAACAAATTTTAAATCTTCCTTAAATGTAAATATATTTTACAATTGTCCATTTGTTAAAGCACAGCTTTCAATTAATAGAAATAACTGTATAAATAACAAATTAAGCAATAATAATAGAAAAAATATTTTAACATTGTATTTAAATGATTTCAGAGAATCGAAAAGTAACGATCAGCTGTTGCAAGTAATGCAAGATCAAGAGAAAAGTAGACAAGATTTAGTAATTAAAATAAAAGAGGATGAGCACTTACAGAAGGTAGTTGTGACAGCTCTATTAGAACGGAGTGATGCTAGATCTTGGAGTATAGTTCAACAAGTAAATTTAGTCCAGTCACAACTAACAGCACTGACAAACATAGAACTGGGGAAAAAAAAATTACAAATTAATCAACACATAGTAAATTATTTATTTACTATTTACATAAAGCAAATATTTTCTTTGTTATTGATCATCTTTTCTTTCACAATAGAACGACGTAGCAGATAAAAGAATTGCTTTAAGCGCAATTTTGATTAATCTGTTAGAACAGCAAGAACAAAGAAGACAACAGCTTTTGGAAACAATGAAACAAATTGAAGAACAACGAAATATTTCGGTTAGCTTTATTTGAAGTACATTAATATTCTTCCGTTATTTATCATAAGATTTAGATTTAATCTTATTTAACTAATTATTCGTTTTTCAATAATTGCTGAATATGCTTAAAGCGTGATATTTTTATTTTTTTTTTTTTTTAATTTAATTTAATTGTTTCAATTAAAAACAATATGCACAGGTTTCTACATCTATTATAGGTAAAATTATTAAGAATATTTTAATATTCTCGATATTTATTTATAAGATTAAGAATTCACGAAAATCCTCATCGACTTCCGTCCCGTGAATCAATGGATTTCAAATATCCTAATGGTAAATAATGATTGTACGAAGCTTTAACGTATGAGCCGCGTGTATCATCACAATGAAATATTCTCTTGTATTAACTTTCTCAGAATGATCAGCATCAATAACCCAGTATTTGTAGTGTTTTCGTCTGTTATGTAGTTATAGGTGTCAGATTTCTATTTTTTTTTTTTTTTTTAACGCGAGATAAATGTATTAGAAGCCAATCAGCGCGTTCAATTCATTTCGGGGAGAAAGACTTCTCTTGTTTTTAGAAGAAATTAAACGCGAGCAAGTAAGAAATGTATAAATTCATTCGACCGTTAGTCATTAGTTGGAGAAAAGAAATACTAGTTGTTGTAGTCTTCCTTCGCTATTGTTTCTTTGTGATATCCGTAATATCAGGCGCTAGAGGACCTATCGGTAAAGTTCATCCTAACTATTTGTAACGGCTAAACAATAAATTGTTATAAATAAAGTCTAACTGATAATTTTATTTACAAATAAACTGATATTTTATAATTCGTATATATATATTTTTTTTTTTTTTTTTTTTTTAGGCCTTATCCAAATGCAACAGCTCATTTTGGTTACTTCAATACCAAAAATTAATAGAAACTCGACCTCAAGGACTTTTAGAAACTTTAGATTCTGCTTTAGTACGTAATGTAGCAATGGCAGGGGTCTTGCATTGTTTACCATTTTTATGGGCACTTCCGTCATTACTTCCTAACTTAGATGATGAAAAATTAAAATCTGTACGTATCGTATTATAGCCGATAATATATTATTATAAATATTAATATTGTGTGGTTCGTAGATGGGAATAGCAAATGAAACCGACAGAGTTGCAATATTAATAGCCATAGAGAATTATTTGGAAGAGAAAAAATTAAAATCTTGCCAATGTTCTCCGTCTGCTCCATTGGAAGATGAGCCTTGCACTAGTTTTTCAGATTCAAAATGTATATACGAACCAAGTGCACCCGCAGAATGCACTGTTTGCATGGAGATTGATGTAAGACTTACTTTAATGTATTGATTCATTTGCAATCAAAATTAAGTTAAAAATTATTATTTTCTTATTATGATTATTGTAAAAAGTTTTTACTATTTCCTTATAAATGATTGAACTAGCTTAATTTAGACAAGAAGCTAATCAGTTCGTTGATTTATTTCTGCTTTATATTAACTTTCAATTTATCTACTTACGGTAGTAAATTTATAATTTCAAATTCATTATGTTTACAGTGCGAGGTTATTTTCTTGCCTTGTGGACACTTGTGCTGCTGTGCAAAATGCGCAGATATGATTTTAATAGAATGTCCTATGTGCCGAACTACAATAGATCGTAAAATTAAGATTACAAAGCAATAAATACATTTTAATTTAAAAAATATACTTATATTGTGTACCATATTTTAAACCATTAATTAATAATGCAAGTTTTTCACTTTATAAATATCAAAGGATTCCGCAATATATAATTAAATATAATTAAATATTTTAAGAGATTCTATAATTCATGTCATTAGTTTTGTGAAAATTTTCTCAATTTTGTATAAAATAATACAACTATGTATTACTCAAAATAAATTATATTAGTCTTTAAATAAGTACAGTATTGTTTATTTAATATAAAAATAATTTCACTTACACTTCTAAAATAAAACTAGAGGGGAAAAAAAAGAATACATCGGAAATAATTACTTCACTCATCTTCGTGTATTTCTCCAGAGTCATCTTCATCTTTCTTCTGTTGTTTTTTCTTTGTTGAAGCATCTTTCTTTTCCTTTTGATTTTTCTTAAAGTTCTCCAATGCTTCTTGTAAAGGCGCGATAAATTGATCAAATTCTATGTCCTCCATAGCTTGTATAACATCTTGACCACTAACAGTTTTTCGATTACTTTTCTTAGCAATTATGTTTGCGGACGATGTTAAGTATAAAATAAATATCGAAGCTGCTTTTGCTACTGCAGCTCGAGCTTCTTTGGCTACAGTAACACCATCGGGTAAGGCTTCTCGCACTATCCTCGTTACTACAGCGTTAGGTAAATTCAAGTCTTCTAATTTTTCGGCCATCTAAAATAATACTTTGTATAAATTAATATTCTGCATTACTGTAAATGCTTTAATGTGAAAGATATTTAGGTTATATTTTCATACGATACAATTAAGAACAATTAACAATACTTACATTGGTTTCTTCAATTTTAAAAGACAAGCTACGATTACTTCTATCATATAAATAATAATTCAACTAAAAAAATTTATGATACTGATTTATAAAGACCGGTCGGCAGATAAGTGTAAGCAGACCATTTCTATCTAATCTTTCCCGCCAGGATTTTTCTTTGAAAGGCATTCCGAGAGCGAAAAATCATAAACACAAGGAATTCTAGTAGAATACTAACTGACTGACTGAATATTAAATTTAATTTTATTGAAAATGTATGCCAATTTTATTATCGACGGAGTAGCACAATCGAGGGTCAAATTAAACGAAAATTTAATTACACTTTATGCTTGCATTAAAAAATTATGATAAAGTTTTAATGCTTTTTAATAAATGTCCTTTGTCTTAGATAGAACATAAGATAAATAACTTGATGCAAATTACCGAGGTAATTAATAATCGCTTTAATGCTAATTCACAATATATAAATATTAACAATGAAATTTTCAATGATAAGATAATAGGGAAGAAAAAAATGATAATTCATCGAAATAATTTCATAGTTGAATATAGATTAATTTATTATAATGATCGATAACTATTAAGGAATAAACAATACATTAATTCATATCACAATTAAACAAGAATTGATTTATTTAATATGCCAAGACTATTTTGTCTCGATTAAGCATATAATTAAAGATTAATTACAATACAGTTCGTTAATTGTTATCATAAAAGACCAAAAATTGATAAAATTATTTAGTTATTTACATGTCATTTCTATTATTGACCCTATGTAAGGTGTCGACCCTATATAACATAAAATATAAAATATATTTCCTTGTTTCAAATGATTTTAATTGTATTCAAATTTCACAGATTAAAAAGATTAATATTAAAATTCTCTTTAATTTTGTCATTAAGCGCATTAATGTGCGAGAGTGGATTTAGATAAAAAGTAACCTCAAATTATGAATTTGTACTTACTTATTATGAATATTAAACAATATATAGTACAGGGATTATTGATTATATTAGATATAAAAAATTATTTTAATCAATAAAGTAAATACGATTTATTTGTTTATTATATTAATCAATTCTACTATTGAAGATCACGTAAAATAAATAATTATTGATAGTTCCCCTTGTAATGAAATAATGTATCTTACAGTTAGAAACGAAATTATGTTAAATTATAAAAACGAAATAAAAAGAGAATTTATATATTAGATACGAGTAAACTTTTATAAAAGCTAACTCATCGTATTCTTCACTGAATTTTATTAAGAATATCATTCTCCTATAATCGTTATAATTCTTTCAAATATCGCGCTATTTTTGTGTCGACATCGATACTTCTATTTTCTTATCAATAGCCATCGATAAGATGTGTATTCTCTAAGTCACAGGGGTGCTTAGCCAAAGGGAAGGAGTAAAAGAGACAACACGATTCCAAAAAAAAAAAGCAAAAAAAAAAAAAGGACAAAGAGGACACGAACACGTATTTCAGCTTATGTCGTCTGCAACATTTGACGCGTGAATATATACGTATGCATAGGCGCACATGTATTGATATCGGAATTTTGCACGGGGCAAAATAATTCTGTACGTTTTACGCATATATCCTTAGAAGGACGGGGCTGGAATTTAACGATTTCTACTCCAGGGGTCCTGTTTTCAAAGACGAAATAAGCAACTCTCTCAGACAAAATTCTCACAAAAATGTCGAAGATAGAGGAGGCGAACGCCCACATACGACAAGCGGAGAAGAGGTAAGGGCGAATGATAATAGAATATTTGTATTTTGTTGATGTTTTAAACTATAAATCAGACGATGTTTATAAACATTTGTGTCGTAGCTTAAAAACAACTCTGCTTAAATGGAGACCGGATTTCGAGGTCGCTGCGGATGCATATACGTTAGCAGGTGATCTATTTTCTTTCCTTGTAAATTATTTTCAAGTATCACAAATATAAAGTAAAAGTAGACTTATCCAGGTTTAATATATTTTTGTTTTTATTATTATTCCAGCCACCTGTTTTCGAATTGCCAAGGATTATCAGCAATGTAAAGAATGTTTGATTAAAGGGGCAGATTGTTTTAAACAAAATAAATCGTATCCTTTTTCTATTTATATTAAATTGGTTTCATATTTTGTATTTTCGTTTATTACGTGACCTAAAAAGTCTTTACGACCATTTAATTCAACCATTGAGCAGATTTATAGATTTAAACCATATATTATCCCATGTATATTCCTTACAACTTTTAATATAATCGATTAGATGGTTTCATGCTGCAAAGTAAGCTTCCTAATTATTTATTACTTTTGCTTATTTATGAAAACTTCAAAATCCTGCATGTTTTGATAAACAATAATTTTTAGAAATCTTGAACAACTTTTATTGATATTAAAAGAAATGGGCCAATTGTCAGAAGTACCTAAATTAGCACATAATGCTTGTTCGTTGTATCAACAGCACGGCTCCCCAGAATCTGGTGCAAATGTTTTAGATAAGGCGGCAAAAATGTTGGAATCTACAATGCCGGAACAAGCTTTGGAATTATATCAGCGAGCTGCGGATGTCGTTATAGTACATATACAATTAACATCAATTATTTTTATAAGCGAAATTAAAATTTGCTAGTTCATTTTAACGTATTATTTATTAGATATTGAAAATACTTTATATTTATTTTTCATAAAACTATTTCATAATTTCATTAAAAATTGTTGTGAAAAATTAATTATGTTCTATTATTAGGGAGAAGACAGTCCTAGACAAGCGGCTGAATATATGAGTAAAGTGGCAAGAATTTTGGTTAAATTAGGTAAATATGATCAGGCAGCCGATGCAGTTCGTCGAGAAATCGGAATGCATCAACAAATCAATCACCAACCATCGGTAGGAAGATTAGCAGTCGCTTTAGTGTTAATACAATTGGCAAGATTTGATCAGGTTGCAGCCGAAAAAGCTTTTAAAGAATGGGGCAATTACTGTGATGCACCAGAGGTAAAAATTATGAGTATAAAATTAAGGCAAAATATAGAACATTAAAAGCTTAGAAATATATTTAAAAAAAAAAAAAAAAAAAAAAAAAAAAAAATAGGTACAAACACTAGAAATGTTACTACAAGCTTATGATAACGAAGATGCGGATGCAGCAAGATCAGCACTTAATAGTCCATTTATTAAACACATGGATGTAGAATATGCAAGACTGGCTCGAGGTCTTCCATTACCACAACAGGAGTATGCCGTACCACCGGTAGGTGTACGAGCAAACGCAGCTCCTTCATATATATCACCTAATGCTAATAAAGTCACTGGTCAAGCGACAGTAGAAGCTGAAGTTAATCAAGTAAGAATATAATTAATTTATTTGCGTACTGTATATTAAAATAATATTTAAGTCTTGATGTAAATAATTCTATACTTTTATTATAATAAATTTCCACTTAATATGATTATAGTAAATAAAAATAAAAGAAAAATTCAAATGAGTAAAAAATTGAAATCAATTATAATGAATTATTAAACTCATCATTTTATATTCATAGATTAATAATTGATATAGTAATAATATATTCTTCGTGCATACAAAATGAAAGAAAAAAAAGAATATAAGAAACTATCCATAATTTTTTTACAATGACAGCTACTTATTATTAATTATTTATAACGAATTATTTATAATTCTTTTTAATTATTTGTTATTTGAATATAATAAAATGTGAAATAAAAATTTCAATTTTAATTGCTAAATTTAGGATGAACTATCTTCATCGTTAGTTGAAATAGAGGAATCCATGAAATCTACAGCAATTGAATCACAATTTGAATCGAAACTTGAAATTAGTCAACCACCACCTCCTTCAATAGAATCAAAAGAAGAAGACGATAAAGACTATGATGGTGGTTTATGTTGATCCTACAAATGTTTTCCTAATTTGATTATAGCTATAGCATATATAGCTAAATCAAGTTGACATACTGTTGTATAAATAAATAAATAAATAAATATATATATATATATATATGCATATATATAAATGCATACACACACACACACACATATATATATATATATATATATATATATATATATATTTATAAAAAAAATTTTAAAATAATGCTTAATAATTTCTTTAAAAGTGATGTATATGTTACACATCCAAATGTATGATAATATTAAAGTTGTGTAGTAAATGTCACATGAATTAAAAAATTATTTTTGAATATTTAGCTTGAATTAAATTGTAAAAGAATATTCGATGAACACAAAAATTATCTTCGAAAATGGTTGTCATTAAAGATATATTTGAAATTATCTTTAAAAAATTATTTCATAGAATAAAAAATTTTTGCGATATTTAATAGGTGTGTGATATACCATAAATTAAAATCTTATACATGTTGAAATGTGTAAATCTTAAAAATAAAAGCATTTATTCTTAAATAAACCTTATTAAATAAACCTTAAATATATAGATATATATATATATATATATATATATATATTAAATTTTTATATACTATTTCGTAAATACGTTGAATGATAGTTTAAAATTATTAAGTATAGCACAATATCAAAATAAAATAATATAAATAATTATATATTATATACAAATATATCTAAACATAATTCCACATCTTAGAGGTTATGGTAAAATTGAAAATGAATAAAAATCAAAATATGTCACGCACTTGGTACAGTACATTCGTATATCCTCCAAACTCACTTGATCGTCACTATCCCTCTTATCACAACAATAATTTAAATAACGAGTACTAATAAATAAATGATTTTAATGTTATTTATCACATTCTCAAACATCCAATTTAAACATACTTTATTCATTTGCTACCAAAATTTTTCCCGCTATTTCACAATCAAGCGTACATCAGGCGAATGTTCACTAGACTTTTAGATAGCGAATAATTTATTCATTTATATATATGTTTGTGAAAAAAAAAATAATAGAGGTCAATTTCATGTTAAACAACAACAACAACGACGACGACGACGACAACAACAACAACAAAATTCTTCACACTTGTTATAGACATTTTTAAATTAATTAAATATTATATTTATTTATCATTATTTTCTAACTATGCTTCAATATTGCAAGTTTCAATTAAATGCGTAATAACTTTAATCCTTAGAAAGAATCATGTTTATCGGAAAAATTTTACGTAAAAAACTAAAAATTATAACATTATGACATTGAGCATTGAATGTCAAATTTTCAAATTAATCTAAATTATGCTAAATATACTTGAGAAAAAACATTCATTAGAATTTCACATTTTATTAAAAATTAACGACATGAAAAATTACTATGACAACATAATATTTTTATTTTTAAAAATAATATAAAAATACTACTGTATAAGTGAATAACACGTATTAATAAAAATTAAAAAGTTACGTATTTAAAGATATATATATATATATATATATATACATTTATTTATTTATTTATTTATTTTGCACCTCAGTCATCTCATACTAATAAGTAATAAAATAATTTGATTAATCTTACTTAATATTATTTCTGTTGATTAAAGTTTTTAAACACCAGTCAATTACAATATTAAAAATAACGGAAATTCTGCGATACTCGTGTGTTGTGGATAATTAGATTATAAAATTTAAGTAAATAAAGTATACACACACACACACACACACACACACACATATATATATATATATATATATATATATATATGAGAATAAAATTATTTTCTATAAACAATAGATTAAAAGCGTATAAATCAATAAGACGATTTAACTAGTTGCTCGTACAAATGACAATACTACTTTGCTAATGATAATATAAAAATTAACATAATGAATATTCTACGATGGTAATAATAGAGCTACAAAATTTATATTTCGTTTTTTAAAAATTACGTCGAGGAATTCGCGTAAAATAGATCTCCCATAATTCCATTACTCGTACTGAGGATAATAAGAAAAATCCAAAGCTAGGCGATGGTAAGTAAATGTTTGATGGATATTTCTAACTTTGAGCTAAAAATCATTGTGCGTGTATTAAACATGAAAAATGAAATTTAAATACGTCATTTAGATTTGTTCATCGTTATGAATGAATTATGGATGATTTCACAAAGGCAAATTACCATCTAATTAATACTTTTCCAGTAAATATAATATTTAAAGATCGAAATAAAAAAAAAATAAAAAAAAAATAAAAAAAAAAACTAATGCAATAGTAAATATAAATTGTTAATGTGCGTGAATGCATGCATTCACGCGACCACGCGCATACACAAACACGCCAATTATTATAAATGCATCCTTTTTTTTTTTAAGCACGTGCGTGCGCGCGCGCGTGCGTGCGTGCAAATATTTCATTTATCATTCTCAAACTATATCTAATTGATCGGAATATTGTATGTTTCATAAATAAAGATTATATAATAATTCAAAATTTACTAATGTGAAATATATGACAAATTTAAACACAGTCAAATATTTCATTAAACAACAATGGATATTTAATTATTTTATTGTAATGTCATATATCGATTTAAGCATGGAATAAAATTCTTGTCATTAATATGAAATGAACGAGTTCATTATATTAAATCCCAACACAACTGTTACAGCCTTATATTACGGTGAAATTTTTTATAATTGATACTTTCACATTATCTCGATTGTTCGTGCTTTTTTATTAAATCTCATTTTCACGCGCTAATGAATTAAATTTAAATGAATTTTTAATCATTGTGTAACGTTAAATCCTTATGTCTATTACTATTACTGAATTTCATTTGGATGAAATTTCAAACGTACCATTTACCATTGCTATTGTACTCGATAATTGTGATCGATATTATTAAAAATAAATGCAACGACGGATATTTTTAAACGTCAAAAATATGGCGCTATAATGAGCCGCAAATTAAAGCCAATGAAAGCTTAACGTGATAATGACGTCGTGATTATTTTATGATATATACAATTCGGCATTGGTGGGCTGGAACGATAAAAATCTAATTCGTTGGCCGATTATAAATGCCTGCCACTGTCATGTAGGAAAACATTAATCGTGTGCTCGCACACATGAGAATTTAAATGAAAATTCTTTAGTGACGATAAAGAGGGTCACAAAGCAGAAACAGTTAGAAGGTGTTGTACCAGTAATTTTTACATGTGCTGTCATTGTGTTTTTCAAGATTCCATTCGGACATTACGATCAAGATTCAAAGGCATCTTATATTTTTTATTGATTTTGAGCTGAGCAGAATGGTTCATTGAAGTTTTACTGCTTCACCTTCCAGCCATTCCAGCCAAACTTGCATGGCGCAGCATCGCGTAAAAGGTCAACGCGAAAAAATCCTTTATTGTATGCCCCTCGCCTACAATTTGCGCGTAGTTTATGTACTTCATTCGCATTAGTGTGACTCATTGGACTCATTGGATGATATTTTTCTATTTACTTTGTATTTCATAGTCAGTGAAATTGATAAATATTACAGTGGGAGGTTTTGTATTAATTTTTCTTTGTATGATATTCCATTCGACCCAAAGAGTGCACTATCTATTTTCTATTAACATTTTTTAATATATATATATATATATATATATATATATATATATATATATATTTGTAAAAGTCTTGATTAGAGATATTTCTCATCCAAATATTGTGAAAATGGATGCTGGATTTTCTTCATACCATAATGGTGGTCCTACCAGGGAGCAGGACTTTGGTAGATTAGCTCAGACAGTTGGAACATCGATATTAAAAATATCACAAAATGGTACTTACCTATACTATTTTAAATAAAATAATTTTTACTCCAATGCTTATTCTTCTATTATTGCATATTTTTAATTTTAGTATCCTCAATACAAAAAATGGTTAATCAACTTGGAAGTTCAACGGATTCGCAAGAACTTCAACATCAGCTGTGAGTGAAGATTATTAAAAGGAAATTCAATTACCCAGTATTTCATTATTGAAAATTCTACTAATTATACGTCTTACTAAATATTTCATTATCGTCCCATCTTATACTACATCCTAATGTTTATTTGTCACTTAAAAAATTTTATCTTTATTTGTTATTAGTCATCAAATACAACATTATACCCAACAACTTGCAAAGGATACCAGTGGACATGTTAAAGAATTGTCGATATTGGCAAATAATTCAGGGTCTACTAGTCCCAGTGAACATCGACAGTACAAAATGCAAAAAGAAAGACTCCAAGATGAATTTATGACGGCGCTCCATAATTTTCAAGTAAATATAATAGATTATAAAAATTTATTTAAATATAAATCAGACTTATTTCACTTATTATTATTATATTATTTTAGGATAATCGCGCACATTTATATTTTTTGTAATTTTCAAATCTTTGTAAAATATATTAAAAATTATGATGGCAAATTACATATAATTTATATCGGAAAAAATATGGAGTTTAAATGTTTTATATATTGTTTAATAGACGGTGCAAAGGTTAGCTGCAGGAAAGGAAAAGGAAATCATTGAAAAAAGAAAGGCTAACGTTGCAATAGGAATCTTTGGTGAAAAAAAGCAAGAAACGTTAATTGAATTACAAGATAATAGGAGTCAGAAGCAAATATATCAACAACAGCAACAGGATGAATTAAACTTAAGAATGCTTGAAGAACAGGAGGCTAACATTCGGCAACTTGAAGTTTGTATTATTTTAATGATATAAGATTCTTAAATAAATTAATAATAAATTGATAGTCTAAAATTTATTTTCAAAAGTTACAAATTCTTATTTTAAAATATATTTTAACTTATTATTTCAGAGCGATATAAGCAATGTGAATAAAATATTTAAAGAACTTGGAGCTATTGTACACGAGCAAGGAGAAGTCGTAGATTCTATAGAAGCTTCGGTTGAAAGAACAGAAGTATTTGTCAGCGAAGGCACGACACAACTTAGACAAGCATCTAGTTATAAAAATAAATTACGCAAAAAGAAATGTATTTTAATAATCATTGCTGCAATTATTGTTTCTATTCTAATTGGAATTATTGTTTGGAAAAGTTCCTCTTAGAATTTGTAAGTAATTCATTAGTTATATAAAAATTTTGGATCATGTTTGCAAATTTTAGTATAAAATAAATAAATCGCGGTTGCTTTAATAGTTGGCAAACAGGTACAGGATAAAACGATGTGTGTGTATATTTATGTGTTCGTGCGCACGTGTGCGTGTGTATGTGTGCAACTGCGAAGAAGGTAATAGAGGATAGGATTGTTAATTTTCAATCCTGTAAGGCTGCTTTGTTAAAGATTCGAGATAATGTTTATGTTAAGAACCTATCTTTAGTTAATCGATGAAAAATAATTGAAACTGGTGTCCATGGTTTGTATGATGCATATTTTGCCATGAATCAACGGAAATGTTGATAGTTTGTTTAACATAATTTTAAGAATTATGGAAAAATCTTAGATGAAAATCTATTTTAAAAAAAAAAGTTAATACTATTAATTTATATTATCGATATAATTGATATAATTGATATAAATAGATTACATTACTACCATCTATTTTTATTCTTTTATTAACAAATTTATTTATGGTTACCTAAAATTTGATTATCTTTAGTTTATGCAATATTAATTAATAAATTGTGTTCATGAAGGCATGCATCTTATTTTTATTTTTTATTTTTTTTTATAATTGTTAATTAAATATTTATTCGTAAATGCTATAATTTTTTAAGATAAAGTGTATGTAGTACATCAATTTTTGAAAATACAAATAATATTTTTCACGAGTATTTGTGAATGAATATCCTTATAAATTATAAAATCTTTTGTGAAATTGCATTTTGAGAACTCATCGATCTTACAATGTTATTTATATTCGAGTTCCTAATTTTCTTATCTATAATATTTTTAATTACATGCCAATTTTTTGAATAGTTAAAAAATTATTTGATCCTAGAATGATCAGGTGGATGTTTTATAATGCTTAAGATGGCTATCGCGTACTACATTATCTAAAATTCTTATATGCATAATATTTAAAAGATTTTTGTCTCTCAAAACGGACCAATCTCTTCATAATCAATATAGCATATACAACAGTGTTACTTAAAAATCTTTGGTTTACATAAAAATATGAATAGAAAAATTTGAATTATTAACCAAGAAGACAATTTATTCAAATAATTTTAAATTAAATTAATATCTTCTTTTTTATGCTTATATTATTTTGTAATTGAACATATGAAATACTCTTTGTTTCCGTATATGTTACCCTTTGTATCTGTTTGTTTATTACTTTTATTTATTTATTTATTTATTTACTTTTGTTTTTTTTTTTTTTTTTTTTACACACATTCAAGTTTACTCGTATACGATTAAGTATTGATGTTTTGTTACGTATTGATCTACAGACTTGATATTCATAATGTAAATCTTAATTTCTTTATTAATTTTCCAAAATTTAATTTCAATTTATTTTCTATGTTATAACAGACTACAAAACATTGTATATCATTCAAAATGAAATGTATCTATGGTTCATTTTATGTAACATAACTATTAACATTGTATATATATATATATATATATATATATATATATATAATTGATATTATAATTCATTTAAAAAAGGATAATCATGATTGTTAATATGCATAAAATATAATTAAAAAAAAAATATATATATTAAAGGTCGTATGTTTTATTGTTATAAAAAGGGGCATCGGGCATCAAATAATCGAATATGAATTTCAAATAACAATCCATTCACAGATATAAGGAAACGATTAATTATCTGTATCTCGTAAATAATCACCAGATTTCAATTATTCCTTCAGTTTTACTCAGTAAAACCTCTTAAGTTTCAGAAATTTCGAGTAACATTATCTTCTTATAAAAATCACGTTCATCCACCAACCCAGGTAAATGAGATTTATAAAATATTTTATCAATGTTGAAATTATTAATTTATTTGGATGTTTTAAGTTTATTAAATATTTTATGATTTCAAAAATGATATTATATGATTATAAAATTGCAATTAGATAGAGTATGATATTGAATTTAAAAATTTTATATTAGTTTTAAAAATATTTATAAATATTATATTTTGACTAATAGTTATATTTATTTTATTGAGCGAACACATACATAATAAAACTAATGCGCTAATTAACAAATTAAAATTGAATTTTTTTTTGAAAACAAAACAATTATTAGAAGTAATTTTATTATTCATACTTACAGATATTTTTAGAATATTATACTATCAATAAATTGATTTATATATTTTTTTACATTTATTTATCTTCACTCACAATATTTATGTTCAAATGTGAAAACTGGTTAACTACAAGCAACCAACAAATACAACTAATATTGTAAATATATTCATTAAATTTATGATACAGTAATTTTCAATACTATTATCATATTATTCCTCGATTCAAAGCATAATAAATTATATTTTCATTATTTTAATTAATTTGAAAACTTGATTATATAATATATCTAATAAAAAAAAGCGTTTCAATTTTTGTTCTTTTAAGTCCTTTATCGGGCAATCGTTGCTGCTGTTACTATCATTATTGTTGAGTTTTATTTATTTATTTATTTTTTTTTTTTTATGCTTAATAATTAATTATGATTTTATTGTTTATTTTTATAATCGTCAAGTAAGTTTTTAAATGATTTCAATAAATAAAAAATCATCTAGTAATTAAAAATAAAATTTAATTCTATTTGATAATTTATTAAGTAGCATTCTATGTAAGTAGCAACAATTTTTCAATTATTTTTTAAAGCAACCGTACACATTAGATTAATACAACTTTTTACATAGTTAAAGAATGAATCGTTTATGCCTTTAAAAAAAAATAAAGTTAAAACCTTTGCAAATAATGATAAATCTATATGTTTATGAATTAATATGTTAATCATAATAGTAGCTGGAACATTATGATAAAAAATTACATTAATTTTTCCTACGAGTGCACGAGGCAAACCTTTTTCGACCAACAAAATCTTCCAAGTATATTAACGTTTATTTTGTTTTTTGTTTTTTTTTTTTCATTATATGTATGTATGAACGTTTTTATAAAATCAAAAGGATTTTGTAATAAACAATATTCTAATCTTATATATTTCACCATTCATAAAATACATTTGATCATCAAATTTTAAGAATGAATAATTTTTCGTAAATCTTTTTTTTTTTTTTTTTTTTTTTTTCGCTCATTGAAATTCTTTTCATTTTTGCATATTTAACATTTGTATTATATTCAATTTCCTTTTTTTTTTTTTTTTTTTTTTTTTCATAAATTATCTATCAATAGAGTTGCATCAAATTTAATGCCAATGTATCTTTTTTCTATCTGGTTTTAATGTAAAGATTTTTAATAAATACATCAAATTTAAAAAATACTCGATTATGTTAATCCATTTCCATAAAAAAATTTTCTATATATATACGCATCGATTGTATTTCTATTAATTTCAAAGGGCTTAGGATAGCATAAGGGACCATAGAAAATCCTTTTGGCTTACGTCTTTTCAAGGACTAGAACATGTTAAGTCGAATATATAAAAGCCATTAATCGCGCTGTCTACGACTTGCTTAATTTTTTCGACTAAACTTTGCTTAACGATTATTGATGAATAAAATTAAAAGATGCCGTTCGATATATGCGCAGGTGCTTATCAGTTTACATAGGCATTTTCAAAAACTTGCAATGTATTTGAAAAGCTACGCGTAGATGTGGCAATTGCTCAAACAAACGACACCTTCGACATCTTTTTAAATATCAATCGAGGGTGAATATGATGAATATGTGAGTATGATGAGTTCATCCATGAATTGGAAGATTAATTAACCATTAATCAGAGAATGTCCGAGTCCGTTTTGGTAATTTGGAGTCGTCGAAAGGAAGCCATAGTACATGGACACGAACAAATCAACCGAGATTCGAGTGGTCACCTCGAGGTGACATAATGGCCAGGGCGATTTGGTAATCGTATCTCCAAGCAAAATCACGAAACTCATAAGCAACGTCTTTGAGGGAAGAGAGTTCGTATCGTTCGTATTTAGATTCAATTTAAGTATTTGCGAGAATCTCGCTCGGTAGTGTGTATAAAAGATACCCAAACAAACGGCTCGGCGTATTTATCGAAAGCTCGAAAGCTCGAAAGTTGTTAAAATTTGTAAATTTGTATTTAATGTAGGTCGAGTACGCTAATGTACATGTCTATTGGGTACGCAACCAAGAAATCTAAAAGTGTATAAAACAAAACAAAAAAAAAACAAAAAAAAAAGCAAAAACATGTTCACGGTTTTACCAATTGTGCGTGCAGGCGGGGCGGGGGAGATATTATGTACGACGTTCTTTCTATTACGTATGCATCGTTAATTCATAAACGCCACCCACAAGCTCGATAATGTCAAGGGCTAGAAAATCGAATCGACAGTTCCCTAGCAATTAAATCCCCCAGGATATCGTAACTTCGGCTGCTAGCAATGACAGTATGGCGCTAGTTCCTTTGCTCCTCTACTGGCAAAGTAGCCAACGATTTATATTGGTTATTGTTAGAGGCATTCATTGTATATAAAGTAAAGAGGAAGCAAATGTGCAAACGGAGTTTTTGCAGCTCATAAATTTATTGGCTTAACCTGGCGACAGGAGTGAAGCTCGTACCGTTCATATATACGATTACACCAAGAGATTTCAGTTTTATTATTACGTGCAAATGGCCATGTCGTCGTGGGATATCATTGATCATCGATAATTGGAAGAAATTAATACGATCTACACTCGAAACGAAATTAATTAAAGGGAATCGTGTTGGCGAACGATTTGTCAAGCGACTGCATTGAAAAATGTGGAAATTATTCATTGCAAATGTACTTTTAATCTATTTCATACAGTGCAAGGTGAGAGTGCTTGGTGCTTGCTCGGTACTCTTAATTCGTACCTCACATAAATTTAGCGATAATTTAATTACTTTGTGTTAATAATAACTGTTATAAACTTGCGTACATTCTCACACTTGTGTATTTTTGGCGGGGATTTTCGCGATTTATCTTCTCTCTCTCTCTCTCTCTCTCTCTCTCTCTCTCTCTCTCTCTTCTAATAATTTTTATGACTTTTAGGCTCAATCATATGAAGATAAAAGATGCAAGTGCATCTGCCCGAGTATTGCTTCTGTATTAAACACTACGTCAGGTGATAAAAATGTTTTAAATTTTATTACCAACGTTCCAGCAACTAAATGGTAAAATGAAAAATTTAAATTACATTGTAAAAGATTTAATAATATCTACCTAAAACTATACTTTATTATAAATTTATATTAATTCAGTAATTGCGAAGGAGTAGTCTTACCCAAAATTGGAGATAAAATTAAGGAAAAAGAACAAATCTTCTGTCCTCGTTGCGATTGTAAATATGAAAATAGAAACACCACAATTATTAAAGTAAGGAATTCTCAATATTAATTGATTTTATGTTTTAATTAGCAGCATATTTGTATAAATTAAATAATGGACGTATTTTAAAAACAATTGAATATAAAATGATTTGTACTGGGCTGTGTGTGTGCGTGCGTGCGTGTGTATATTTATGCATATACATATGCATATATATATGTATATATACATATATATATATATATAAATATATATTTGTTTTTTTATTGCAGATTGTAGTTATAATTGTTATATGGGTTATATCT